ACGGAATCAGGAAATCTTCCGTCACGTCGACGTACTCTCTCTTCTTACCAATCAGATTTCTCAAGATGTCGAAAATTTCATAGCGGCCCCTGCCCAAAAAGACTTTTTGTACCACGTCAACGAATCTCGCAACAGCCATGGCGTTGGCGCGTTCACTCTTGCCGACATCATCAGACGCAAGTGTGATTGAATGAACTTTCAATATCGCCGAATAATGTTGCTCTGTTTCCAGGAGCATAACTGCAGTATTCAGACCATCTGAATCCTGCCAGTTGATGCAAGTTATTGGATTCACACCTCGGGCATTCAGAAACTCGTCGATGTGACTTGGATGCTTCTCTTCTATCCAGCTGCAGGTAAGTAGAAATTCGAATTCTGTGTTATTATGCCAAGGACCTTCAATTAGGGTCATATGCGCTTCTGTACCGACGGCAATGGCGACAATAGAACAGTAATCTTGGTGTGCTCGGACGATTGTGGGAAGTGATCTGCCTTGCAGAAGACAAACGATATCGCCTCGATAAATGCGCTTTGATGTTGGCTGAAGGGTCCAATCAGTGGTCCATGACATGAGATAATCATCGAAATCTTGGCTATCGGATTCATGCCGAGCGATAGTAACCAATTGTTGGTCTTTCCAAGTGTCTTCATTTCGCACCGAATGAACTACGCCTATAACTCGACCTGGAATCGTAAATAACGCAGTCTGATGCTCGTCAATCGTGGTGACCAACAAGGACCCCGGGAGTAGTGACTTGATAAGGTGAGAAAACAGATCTTTCCATGGCATCTGGTAATCGGGAACCATGCCATTTGGCGTGTCGGTGCTCATGCCAAGAAGTGCATAAATCTTGTCTCGACGATCTGTGGCTTCCTGTATACGATGCAACTCTATCAAATACCCGAGAGATGAGATTTGCAGAGAAAATTGTTCCGAGGTGTTGTTGACCACAACTTTAAAACGAAGTGTTGCATCCTTGATAAGGTTGACAGTCGAACGAATCCGAGACCGAGAATCTTCATCCTCGAGAAGCAGACTCTCTTTCATCCGGTCGAGCCCTGAGCAGAAGGCTTGGCCATCAATCTCGGCGAACTTGCAAATGATCAGAACATGCCGAGTGGCAGCAACCTCTTGGACCACCTGGTTAGGTGTTGTTAGTCGTGTGGTCTGCCTCTTTGCTTATTACGTTAAGCCATGACTTACCCAAATGCGGCGAAACCACGGTCTTCCAAGTAGTTTCTCAACGGCCAGCCTATCCTGCTCGTTCCCAGGAGACGCTTCGTTCTCGTCGTCAGGAGATGCTTTGTCATCGTCGTCGAAAGGTGCCTCTGGCGATCTGGTTGCGGCATCATCCAACGCCCGAATTGCTTGGAGGCCAGCAGCCTCCGACCTCGCTATCAACTAGGTGATCGCCAGTCACATCTTCAAGCCAGACGATAACACGACTTGCTCTAGCAAATATCTCTGCCATGAGTTGGACCTGCAGGCGCTTTTCGTCTAAGTCATCCTGGTTGATGCAGATAGCGTCGATCCACATAATTCGCTCGAGGGCAGGGTCCCGAAGGCGTAGAAGTGCTGCATGGAGGTTTTCAGTAATATGTAACAAGCCCTGGTCCACAAAAGCTGTCTGAGACTTCGTAGGAGAGCCCCAAAAATAAGAAAGAGCTTCGTAAAGATGAGTTCCTCTGCTTCTCGTGCTTGCGAGAGAATACTCAAAAAGCTGACATCGTATCGGGGCAGTGTTGTCTTGGTGTGGACTCAGGCGAAGCAGGCGGACACAGCCGGGCGGCAGACTGCGGTAATTGTACGTAGACATCGTGTATCGTCAACTTCGGTCTGCAAACGAGTGTTCTGTTACAATCTAAGTTGCTGATTCCAGGAAGATGAGCACCAGATGGTTTGCGAGAAGCGGGGTTGATGACGGATGCCTAGCATGGACGTTGGGCGGCTAAACCAGGCTGCAGGTAATCATCGACAACAAGTCTCTCGACCAATCGTGTGGATAGCCTATTGTCTACCCACACGTCGTCTCATTAGCCAGGCGGTTTACACTGTGATTGTTGGCGCTGACAGCTGAAAGATTCTTTTTGCAGCCCTTCAAATGCGGCAGAGTTGTTACAAATATGCGGCCAGCCTTAACTGAGCCTTGCTGTCGCAAAGCTGGACGTTACTGCAGGTGTTACGCAATGCTCTCAGTCCGACCTCAGCAAGTCGCCAAAGTCCACTTGTCTATGGGCGTCCAATGTTCTTAGCACCGACAACGACGCCATGTCACCCGATCATCTTGTCAAATAAGCTTTTGCCATCCGAGATACAGTCGCTTGTGGTAGTGATAAGCTCCTATGAGCCCGGCATACTTCAGGGAAACTTGGAAAGGTTTCTTCGAAACTCTCTTATTCAAGCTTACCAGGGCGATTGGAGTGCGATGGCTGAATATCTCAGCCCCGTGGAGACCCAGCGTACCACAACTCCAGCTTGGAAGCCTGTTATTCTTCTGGAAGCGCGTGTTTCCTCTCAGAGAATGTACATTTGGATGGGAATGGGTATGGCGCTTGTGGCATCTGGCCTTCTCCTGATGATCATTCAGGCGACCTGCCAAGCCAAAACTGTTAATAATTCCCTGGTTGCTGCTGTCATGCTGGATAGCTCAGAAGTGGCTCGGAGGGATGCTACTGGCTTGTGCAATGCCGTAGATATCGGAAAGGGCCACGGCAACGCAAAGTTGAGACTCAGGTTGAAAGTCAGCGATACTAGCCAAAGCTATACGTCGACTGGAAGTAGCTATGCGCATCCCAGGTTGATGCCTGACGCAATCTGAGTCGGTAACGTCGTCTGGATTATGCAATCTAGACCACCGTCTAATCTGCATGGCCATAGCGTGCTGTGTTGCAGTTTGGTAAACTTCACGGCACGGAACATCTCTGGGTCCTCCAACTCTAGTTTGCTCATGTGAGACTTTTGAGAACCTTTCACATTCAATAATAATTGATCGTACAGCGGCGAGAAATGGTCCAGAGCAACGTGTAGAGTCTGAAGGAAACTAGGTAGATGTTTGTTCATAAAGAATGAAAGATAATTAGCGGTGTAGTGGTCTATGAACCGTGCATATGGAGTCGAGTGGAATTCCGATGCAGCAAAGACCATATCGCGAGTCTTCCTGGGTTGTTCCGGCATGGGAAGAGCTAACATGTCGTTTATTGACACCACACTTTAGTTCAAGAGGCTACCATCTGGAAGGACACCTTTTGGACTGCCGGATAACTCTGATGGGATATAAAGGGTCCTGGGAAGCCTCGATAACTATCCTTCAGGGTATACAAAGCGGTTGCAAGTCCTTATAGAGGTGGCCACCAAGGTATTCCCCATCACACCATCAAGTCCTCGCCCCTTACCAAAGTACCCCCGTTCATCGAGTACCATCCTGATAGACAATACACAAGGCAAGAACGATATAAGAACGGCCTTAGACAAGCTTACAGACCTGACTCTCTAAACTCGTCATTCAATAGAAGCCTTCGGGAGCTTTTCATCCAAGTATCATCGCATTGGAGCTAGTCACACTACCTATCTCGATCAAAAGTGCGATGATGGATCCACCTGGGACAACTTTATATGACGCTCTTGGCTTTATGGATTGTTTGAAATCAGCCTACCCCGACAGCCCGAGCACCATCAGCACGTTTTGTAACATCATGTTTGATTGCAAGGCTAAAAGGTGAGCACGTTCATCTAGTGAGTGTGGCAGCAATAGACATTAATGTTTGTCGCAGATTATCTCTAAGGGAGGCCATGCACAAAGTCAGAGACCTCTTTTGGGACAAGCCTCAACTCATCAGGGGTTTCGTGCAGTTCTTGCCTGAAGGGCATAGAATTGAAGCTGACGGGACCATCGTCACTCCTCATGATTAGAAGCCTAAACCTTCTATGCGCGCTAAGGAGACCCCGATGACGTTTGCAGTTAAAGGATGCACCGGTCAGAATAGACAGGCAAGAACTTCGGGGCGGTTCGGATTATCCTTTTGAGTGTAGAGCATGGCGTTTGAAGGATTGTTCTGTATTTCAAAATCCGAATGTGAAAGTTGCGTCTTTTTGACTTCTTAGCTACGGTCTAGATGTGTGACTTTTCCTAAGGTTTAAGTGCTGAACGACATCCTTGTGGCATCGATTATCCGCAAGCCTACTAGCTTAAAGTCGCATCAACAGCGCTCTGCGCCTCTTCTCAAGTCTCTATCTATCCCTGAAGCTCATCGCTAGGCAGGAAGAAGATGGGAGTCCGCAACAACTTAAGTTCTTCATCCTCAGTTTCGGAGAAGTGTTATGAGATTGCGATGGAAGCAAAGACGCTGGGCTTTGCACCACCCCATATCAACCCTTACCGTCGGATCCGGATGGGAAACATGGTCGGAAAAGTCTCTTGTCAGCACTGAAGGGATTATGCGCTCTCTCATAGAGTAAATATCTGTCCGCCGAGCCATGCGATACCTCATTCCCCAGCCACACGACGGCAGAGGCCAGCCTCGGATCATGGATGGCATCTAGGAAGACGGTCCTGTATGTGATTCTCCGCATCATACCGCATGGATAGCCAGCATCTCAAGCTTCAAAAATTTTAGAACTCCCTCAGAAAAGGAACCATGCGATGTCCTTTCTTCGGCAATCCGTCGCTATGACATAGCTGGGGCAGAAGCGCGGTCTTTCCTTATTAGCTTGGGACATGCCCAGTTAAGGAGCACCTGGTGTGTTAGACGGCGGGGGCTGGCCTGCAGCCCCGGCAATGATTGAGAGCAGAATTGGAGTGCCGACCAAGGTCTGGGTAGTGGAGGTTTCTGCAGTTTCTGTGGGTGTGGGAAATAGGCCGGAGGGTGCACCGCCCGAGGCGCTGCCAGGAGGATTGCTGGGAAGGCTTGTTGAGGGATTCGTCGATGAGCTGGCGACAAGACTGCCTGGTGTGCCTGTACCAGAAGTGATTAATGAGCTGATGCTGAGACTGCTTGATGGGTTAATGGCAAGAGCGCTTGATGAGCCGATTAGTAGACTGCTTAGGCGGGTACTTTGGACACTGCTGGAGGTCGATGAGGCCGGATTCAGAGAAGATGAAGAAGAGCTGGCTGGCAAGCTGATTTGTGATGTAGGGGCACTGCCCGAGCTCAGAAGCGCACCAGTTGAAGACTGGATTGTAACGACGCTTGTGACGGGAACTGATGTCGATATTGGCGTGGAAGGGGCATTGCTTGCAGAACTGGTCGTGGTTGATGATGATGGCGTCTGCTCGAGTGTTGAAACTACGCTTGAGGATGAATTTGTAAAGCGGAAAGACATGGAAATACCCGTGCTGGAGATTCTGGGCGTCGACGACGCGACTGACGTCGTCGAAAAAACGCTGGACAACTCCGGAGTACTTTGAAGGGAAGTCTGCGATATGACTGCTGAAGAGATTGTCGTCCTCGAGCTCGACATGTCAGGCAACGTGGGCTGCATAGACGATGTCGTTGTCTGAATGGACGACGTTGACGTTGTTGGAGCGGAGGGAGAAATGCTCTGAGACCTTGAGGAAGTCGAAGCGCCGGATGTCGACTGTTGAACTGTAGTTGTGGACGACGATAGGCTGGTGGGGGTTGTTGTGGAGCTTTCGGTGGAACTAGTCACGCTGGTTGCGGTAGAATCTTGAGTCGAAGTTGTGCTTGTGCTTGTTGGTTGCGTCACAGAAATAGTTGCAGTTTCAGATGTCGTTGGTGTCAAAGAGCTCCCGGTGGTACTAGTGGAGGTGATGAGTCCCGTTGACGTAGTTGATGACGCGAGTGTGCTTGACGATGTCGTCGTTGAAGATGTTGTGGACGTGGTGGAAGAGTCGGTTGAAGTACTGCTCGTGGACTGCGCTATCGTCGAACTTGCAGAACTCGCCGAGCTCGATGAAGTCGTCGATGTAGAGGTTGACGTAGCTGTTGCAGTAACCCCAATGGTTATGGTCCCCGAGACAGTGCCGGAAGCCTTCACCGTCGATGTGAACTCCTGCCCTGCTGCAACAATGACCGTTGTTGTCACGTAGTCGATTATGACTTGAGAATTGCACTGCACGCAGCCACCCGCCTTTAACATAAGAGCGGAGTCCCATTCCGTATCAGCGAAGTCACAAATGGCAAAGACCATCTGCTTCGTACCGGTAGCCGGTATTCCTACCAGAAGAGGTGGGGTCGAGCCTGGGTACGATGAGACGCTGTCAGGCGGCGTGATGACGATCGGCTGGACAAAATAAGGGGATGTTGCCGTGATTCTTGCCCCGCCATAGCCTATGGCATACTGCTGGCCGTCGAGGAAGATGCCGATGGGATCAGAACTTCCTCTGTCAAGTTGTCAGCAGTCTTGACTCATCAGATAGAATTTAGAAGATGAGCTGCTGGCGAGAACGTACCCTTGTTCTTCCGAGGCCATGATAAATTCGACTTGAACTCCGTTGTAGCCATTGGAAATAGCGACAGAAACACTCAAAATTGCAGCGTTGAAAGTGTCAGTGCCGCAATATGTATCGCTTCCGGCCGCTCCGTTGTTCACATAATGGTCACCGTTGGGAAGAGCCCCCACGGCGTTTCCAGTCGTCAAAATTGCACCATTACCGATGCCGCCAAGGCCGTTTGTGAATGTCCCTGAACTGGCCGATGATCCTGTAAAAGTCGCCGATTGCACAACTACTCCGGGGCCGGTAAAAATGGCATTGGCCAAAACGAGTGCGTTGTTCGATGCGGTAACGCCGAAGCAGTGACAACGAGGTATTACGGCCGCGAGGGCCGTGATGAAGGTAGAAATCCTAGCCATACTGATTGGAGATGGCTGCGTTCAAAGTAAATGGGGCATCGGAAAACATCGACAAAATCCAACCTGTAATCTGGCAGAGACCAACGCATAAATCAACAGGTTGCTGAGCGATTGTGATGACTGTACAACGCGATCCCTGAATGTTTACAGAGGCTCTGTCTGGGTCCCCGGGTCTTCACTAAGATGGAAGAATGTCTTCTACAGAATCTGCAAAATGAAGCAGATAAAGACAGGCCTGTGAGAAAATATGCTAAGGGTTGGGTTGCAGGGTTTACTGGAACGCGGAAGACGGTGGAGCGGAACGCCATCGTCAACCCAGGCCCTGGAAGTCTCAGATTACGGGACCGGTCCATCACTTGCTAACGCGAATCACAAAATAAGGAAGAGTTTTGCTATCCGGGCGGATATGTAAAGCTATCAAGACGGGTAGTGGGCGTAAGGAAACGATAACAACGGCAGCGACGATGACGACCGCAGAGAAAGAGACAGATGTGGACAGGTCCCGGGACGATAGGAACATTGGGGATGACAAAACTGATTCTTTTAGATAAAATGAACCACTAGAACTGATCTAGTTAGTTTTCGGCCCGGATAGCAAAACTCAATATGGGAAAGGGTAAATGACGATATCACGCCAAGATTCCGACAGCCATTCCCTTCCTAGCCTCGTTCCGTTCCTCACGCTTTTGCAGCTGTTCCGGTCATCACTAGTCACTCATTCTAGTTTTGAGCCCCAGAGCTGTAAGGCATGGGAGCGTTTCTGGACCAAGGGAGACATTACACCACGTCCGATAAACAAGAATGTCTTGGCATAAGGCATGCTAAGCTGAGACGCAAGCCCTTGTGCCAATGATGATCTTCATGAGAGGCGTGGTGCTCTGGCCTGGATTAATATGCTTCGGAACGCTGTTAAATGAATGTTGGTTCGGCAGAGGAAATAAGATGCGCATGCGGGCGAAAGCCAATGTCTTGACTTTCCGAGTCGGAAAACGCAGGGGCGTTCCCGATGCCGGCGCCAAATTCCTCGGGTCGAAAAGCGAGAGATCTCATGTTTGATGGTCTGTTATGAGAATCCGCTCACAGAAGTCGAGGCCACACCGTATATTGAAGCTTCGTCTCGACTGGATAAGCACCACTGAAGAAGAACAATACTTCAGCGGCTTGAGTCGCATACAGCTTTCCGCAGCGAAACGAGGGAGCGATATGAGGGGCAAGATAGGATGGCTAACAAGAGCTACTCTTCCTCAGCATTCAAGGTCTCCTTATTGAACAAACTCTGCAAACAGCCGCAAATCATCTTCGACTGGAGCAATTTTATGCCAAATTACCCTATAGAGAGAGGTACCGTCACGCGGTTCGTGTCTAGCAGTTTCAAGAGAGTAAACTTGATAAAGCCGATGTTGTTACATAAGCGAACGGTTTTCTGGCTTCCGCGAAAAAAGCCACCATGCACTTATGTAATCAGTCAGAGCTGTGAGCTCCCCCATTCGGACAGCTATCCCCACACCTTACCTAATCAAAATTTCCAACGCTCCGAAAAACTTCAATGTCCAAACCACCTCCAAGGGTCCATCACGAGAGAGCCTCACCACCGCGAACACCACCCCCTCCCGCCCTCGCGCCGACCCGGACACCGCCGCCCTCCTCACCTCCGAAGCGACGACGACGCCGGCCGAGTCGAAAAAAACAACCTCCCCTCACCCAATTGATCCCTCCGGTCCGCTCTGGTCAGCCCACCAAAAAACCACATCACCAACCACACACCGCGACAATGGAAGCAAGGACAATAACCCGCCCAGCGGCCACCCTCCTCCGCGGCGCCGCCAGACCATCCCCCTCATCCTCACCATCCCTCACCCTCCGTCGCGGCCACAAGACCACAACCCGCACAAAGAAGGCCCTCAAGATCGCGCCCCACCCAGACTTCCTCCCCTCGACCGCCGGCGACACAATCCTCATCAACCCGCCCTCCGCCGCCCCCTCCGTCTTCCACACCCCCTTCAAGTTCCTCCCGCCCACCGACCCCCGCCGCCGCGCCAACCTCTCCCACCTCTTCGCCTCCTCCTCCTCCTCCGCTTCCTCTGCGGCAGCCACACCATCGGCAGAAGGGACAAAACTCCCGCCCGCCCTCGCCGTCCCCTCCCGCGGCGCCAACCCGCGTTACCACCTCACCCCCGCCGACGTCGCCGAGATCCGCCGCCTGCGCGCCGCCGACCCCGTCACCTGGTCCGTCTCCGCCCTCGCCCGCAAGTTCGACTGCTCCGAGGTCTTCGTCACCATCTGCACCCCCGCGCCCCGCGAGCACAAGGAGAAGCTCGCCCAGAAGCTCGAGAGCGTCAAGGACGGCTGGGGAAAGATCCGCACAAAGGCCCGCGAGGACCGCTCGCGCCGCAAGGAGATGCTCCTCCGTGGTGAGCTGTAAAACGGGTTGGGATTGGATTGGACATGTGTGGTTACATATTTGCAGAGCAGGAAAACCTACGGTTATGGCCCCTGCGAGGGACGACTGCTACGTATGGATGAGGTTGAGTGAAAACGGCAGATGAGGCTTGTCTGTATCAATACGGGACGAAAAGAAAAAGCAAAAAAGGAGGCTGCGACGTGTTTGATCGCGTGCTCGCGTGTCTACGTGCCATGATGGAGGTTTACACACAAAAGACAGGCGGTGGGCGGGGATGTAGGATAGAGACGAAGGACGAATTCATGCTCAGGGCTGAAGAGCAAAACACCCAACCATATCTGTACAATGAGTAAAATTCATAGAAACTCGTGTATAATTTTTTCCATTCCCTGGTTCGCCATTACAAATACGCCGTATTGAACTACCTATCACATTGTGCGAGATAGGTTTCTCAAGCACTGCATCGTCACTTCTAAGAATCATGAACACTACTACTAGATCAGGCCCATTGGTTTCTGAACCTGGAGCTGTATATCCATCCCTCTGACCACCCCTTTTACGTAGCCTCCTCTTCATGTTCGACCAGCCAGTGTAGTCTGCTGGCTGTTGTCTCCGCTGGTCGCCGCTACAACGGCGATCTATATAATCCTACTTGGAAGCAAGTATCAAACCCATAGTCATCATCACATTATAGTAGAGAATTCAACCATACCAAGCGCTCACAGCTTGGGCACCTTGACGCCCATCTTGTCCGCCATCTCAACACCGGCCTTCTCCAGGTCATCCTTTCCAGGTATGACCCTCCAGCACCAGCCGCACCAGCTCCTTCTGATGCCATTGGCTTCTCTGCTGAGAATCTTGGATGAATGTCGCTCGTCGTCCCACTCGGGCACGCATGCGCCCACACTCACCATCCTCACCAGCTTCGTCTTCACAACACCGCCGATGCCTTCAATCTCGTGCCTCTCATAGCCAGGGCCGAGTTGCGGGCTTGGCGTCCTTTGGTACCGCACGGTATCGAGATGCACCTCGTCCGTGGCTTCCCAGAGGTTGGCGCCACTGACAGCCGCATCCTCGGCGTCGCAATCAGTCTCGTTCTCACGCTCCTTGGCGCCAACGCAGGCTTGTTCGCGACCGCAGATGACACCGCGGTCGCCCTCGCCAATGCCCGTACCCAAGCCGCCGAGGACTTCACCGTAATGGGCGCGCCATTTCCAGATGCTGAAAATTGTTAGCAGGTTAATTCATTGGTGTTAGTGGCGGAGGTTACATACCGCCGGTAATCCTGATCGGCAGCGCGCATGCTCCGCCCGCAGGGCTGGCAGAGCCAGACACCATCAAGCTCGCATCTGCAGATCTCCCGTCGCACCGCGTCGTGGGTGAGCGGTGTCTCGGGATCCAGAGCTGGGTTCACGAGAGCGGCAATTGGCGCCTTGACGCAAGGCTGACACAGCCTGCGATGACGGTCTTTGAGGACTGTACTGGCTGGGGGTTTGATGGCACAATTCTGTTATGACGTGTCAGCGATCGACTGTTCCTGTGTAGCCTTCTCGGCTCCTCCCCGAGCCAATGCCGCATGTCCCCTTGGGGAGGCTGGTAGGCTGCCTTCCTCTTCACACAAGTAGGGAAGCCCCTCTCGGCGAGAGGGCCAAGGGCACGCGGCACGGCATAGGACGGCATACCCTGCACACAACAGTCTCACACCTCCGGCACTCCGTCACCAGGTCCCGGGCGCAGCTGCCGCTCTTGCCGTTGTAGGCGCGTCCGTCTTCCATGTAGTACCAGTTGCTCGCCCTCGCGCGATAGCGGAAGGTTGACTCCGGGTCAACGGGGTCGAGCTCATTGGAGCAGTGTAGCGTCGAGGAGAGGAGGATGTTGCGGTATTGAAGCAGGCCTTGTCGGACCATACGGCAGGTACGGGCCAGACTGTCGAGGGTGTTGAGGTCGATGTGTTCGGCGATGGCCATCACGACACTGCCCTTCCGTGTCAGACATCGTATGGGATTGGGGATTGGGTAAGCTTACGGATAGCAGCCAAGAGCCTCAGTGGCAGCACTCTGGAAGGTCGGGGATGGCTCCGGTGCAGCAGCTGCAGCAGCAGCAGCAGGCGGAGCCATGTGCATAGCCGGAGCTGGGACGGGGACTGAGACGGCGACGGCAGCCATGTTGGGCCTGTAGAACTGACGCTGATACTCGCGGTTGCGTGCTTCGATGCGTTGGGTGACGGCGGCGGCGGCTGCTGCTAAACGACGGGCCTCGAGGACATGAAGAGGTTCGTCGTCCTCTTCTAAATCAACAAAGACGACCATGCTGGGCCAGGGCAGCTGGACAGGGGCCAGCTATATTTGACTGGGCGCCGGTGAGCGGTTCAGACGCACGAGCAGTGCTCGAGCTTGGGGTTGCTGCCAATCTGTTCTCGGTTCCTGACACCCGAGCCGAGCTGTGTAGGTAGACCGTAGTGTAGTGTACTGTGTGGTGAGGTGCACCTGATGGCGTGGGATGGGGATTGGGATGGGCGGGGTGGGGTTCGAGAATCCCCCGATGCCGCAGCTGATGCTTGTTTTCCCAACCGGAAATGATGACGCAACGGATGTATTGTCTCGGCAGATCCTGTGGAGATATCAATAGGAGATGTATAATAAGAAAGAGAACGAGAATAAAAACATGCAACGGGTTTGCGGAAGAAACGACACTACGAGACCAGAAACGCGACGTTTGAGTCCATCGCAAGTCGACGACACAGGGCGGGCACCGGGGTGGTGGTTGACGGAAGGATGATGTTCGCTGTTCAGGTCGATCCTGTTGCTGCTGCTGCCAGGGGGTGGGGGAAGAGAGTTTGGGTGGAGGGGGGCGCCAGCCAGCGCACCCAGCAAGCAGCAACAGCATGCGGACGCGCCAACTCGGAAGGTCCAGTCCAGAGGTACCCGCACTGGATCGAATCAGATTAGATCAAGCCCAGCTACCCTCCCTCAGCGAACCATCTCCCCCTTCACCTCGACCTGAGACCTGGCGGGATGGCATGGCACAGGCGGCACCTCGCTGAGGTGGTGATCTCTCTCGCTGCCCACTGCTACTGCAGCTAACCTGCCTGGTGCGAACCTAGAACGCTCCCCACGATACGCGAGCGCAACACCACACACGGTTGAGGCGCTGATCAGGTACGAATGCCACCGCCAGTCCATCACCCGGTGACCGCCAAAACCCCAGAAAAAGTCACGACGACACAAACATGGCCACGGTTCGCCCAAGCAACAACGCATATGCACTGGGGGATGGCGACATGCACCGTTGCTTTCTAGCGCCGACACCTCAGGCGGCCGTGTGACCCGCGCCTCAGCGAAAAGCTTGGGTCACCCGGACGCAGCGTGCATCAGCGTTTCCGTTTTCCCCAACACGCCTGTGCTCAACCTTCTATTTTCGACCTCGACGCGAAAAATTGGAAACCCCAGACTTTGCGAGTCCGCGGGCACTGTGCTGTCTACTTGCATACCTAGTAGTATGGCTTCCATAACTCTGCTTGGGTCTCCAATTGCGTGCTCACCACGGTGAAGCCCACCCTCCCCTTGGCGGCGGGGGTCGACCCCGAAAGCCGGAGACGGAACACCCCACCCCGAGCCGCGCACCGCCGAGCCGTCTTCGGCGATGCTAGGGGCTTCGTTTCTTTTAGCTAATATTCCCGATTCTCCGAGAGCTTATACCTGTTCTCTCATACAAAACGCGGGGGTTTCACGATGGGCTCCTCCCCGTGACATGATGAATTTTTTTTCTTGTCTGGGGGAGTGACCCTCCTTGATTCCGCCTTTCTAGAACGTCTCTCCCCTTGTTTGAATTCTCTGTGGTGCATGTACGGGTCCGGCCCGGTCCTTGCACGGATCCGCGTCCCGAATGTCGGTGTCGCAAACCTGCACCGGCCCGGTGTGACCTTTGGCTATAAATTCTGATCCATGGCCCAGCCCTCGATTGTCCCGGACCAAGCATCACAACGCACTTATACAAGAACATGAATGAGCCTCGCCGTCCGACAACACCGGGCTACATAAAGTCGAAAATCCGGCGGTGCTAGATGAAAGCACCCGCGAGGCTCGAGATAGCTCTATCTAGGATGACAGTGGGCAAGATCGACGAAGGCAACTAACGGAGACAAGGAGAAGGGAATCAAGAAGCGAACGGGGGAAGGAATGGGAAGGAAAAGACACGGATGTCGGGATGGACGGAGGAGGCCAGGAAGTGAACCAGTCTGGCTGGCTGACTCCGTGGCCTCTGCGACGGCAGGACGGGGGCAGCATCCCGGCAATTCGAATCATAAAACATGGGCTTCAAGACGGTTGACAACAAGGTGAGAATCTTGCAGTCTCCGGCCGGAAAAACTAGGCAACCTGCACGGCAAAATTTTGATTCGACGATCATTTTCGTATGAGAAGGAAGTATACGAAATTTATAAAGGTTGAGCTCTGGCAAGGAGCTGCTTTCCTGCCTAAGGTCACACTGTCTATGCCGTCCCAACCTACCACATCCTGCCTGCCTATCTCCCCTATTGCCGCCGTCATTATGCTATTTGTTTCCAAAGTCTTTCCAATATTACGGAAGAAGAAAAGCCATTTTAAAGGAACAGTCACACAGCCGTAAGTGTATGAGCGCTTGTAGAGGACGCCCCAAACATTGCTTGAAAGCTCAAAACCACTCTGTTTGCGGAATGTCGGAATGCAAGTAATGCCGAAGAATCCGCTTCTCTATCTCGTACTCATCGCGCTCAGAAGGGTGAAACGCGATTCCCACCTCGGCGAATGCTTGCTTGAGAGTCTGCAGTTGCTCCGGGGCAAGCCCAGGGCTTTTCGGTAGAAAGCGATATGTCACCGACTGTAGGTCGGGGCAGCGTTGTCGTAAGGGACGCGGGAGCAGCAAAAGCCCATCATGAGCGTGCTCATGAACGTAACTGCCGCGGGGCCAGTTGCTTCTCACGTACGGATAGTCTATGCTGTCCCACTGTTCTTCAGAGTTTTCCATGTTTTCGTCGCCGTCATTGAGTGCAACTTCTCTGACGAAGTGTATCCTGGGATCCGGGTCGTCGCCATCTGCGTCATCGTCGTTGAGCCCGTCGAACTTAAGGTCCTGCAGTCGCTGGGGGAGCAACTTGATGAGATGCATGACCTTCTCGTAGTTGGACCTTCTGACGTATGGGTGTCGCTGTACCCAAAGACAGTCGGAGTCAACATCCAGACGCTCGAGGACCGTAAGGAACTCCAGAGGCTCCAGGACGCCAGCGGGTTCGACAAACTTCTGAGCGTATCTGCTGACCTCAGTGTCATGACAAAGGCTGACGATCCATCGGTCGAAATGGCTCAGCTTGAGCTCCTTCATCTGCCCTGCTATGGGCTTCAATAGATTGACGATGCCTCGAGGAGTGGGGCAATCGTCGTCTGAACCTGTTCTCAAACAGTATATCCCGCTGTCTTGATGTTCATAGTGAAGTTTTTGCAGGCTAGGCAGCCTTCTAACCAGCTCAGGAAGTACCCGCGTTGTGACAACAGAGTTATCTACTACCTCGAGAAACTTGAGATGGGATAACTTGATGTCGGGGACAGCGGCCGGTTCATCCACGTGCCAGAGAAAACCGTTCAGTTCGAGGGACTCGATATTGGGTGCGACGTCACTGAGCGGTTTCAAACAACCGTACATGTCGATACAGACGTTCTTCAGGTGAGGAAAGAGCACTCGCCCCCCAGCAGCTCTGGAAACGATGTCCAGCGTCTCCATGTGATAAAATTCAGTCCCATCCCGCTTTTTGTCATCGATCAGGTGATGCCGCCAAAAACTCTGAGACCCGATCGCGAGGGTATGGAGGTTGGGCATTTTCGTGATGAGCAGCTCCGATAGCCACACCATGTATTGGACTTGGTTGAGAAGCTGAGGCGGGGGCAAGAACAGGCCGGGAAGAGCCTCCATTTTTTCACTTCTCCACATGGTGTAAATGCCCTGGAACATTTGTAGATGGATAGGCTCCCACTCCGTACACGTATACAGGTGAAAGAGGTCGATCTCCTGCACGAGCTCGCCAAGGCGTGGGTTGACGGCGAACGCGTGAAAGAGGGCAACGACGCGTGGAAGACTGAGCTCATCCGGGCCCGAGGGTTCATGAGGAGTGAGGATCCCATACAGCGCGGCGCTCGAGAACTCGCGGATGCGCTTGCTTGTACAACAGAGACTGGTAGTGTACTCATCTTTTTGTGCGACGACGAGTGAGAAGATTTGATGGAGAATCTCTGGAGGCAGCGTTTCGAGCGTTGGCTTGGCCACGTTGAAGGTCCGTATAGTGGTGAAGGGGTTGATTGAGGTTGAAAGGGGGAGGAGCGTTGGAATGAGAACCAACAGTGGGGGAACGCGTGTAGGTAGTTCAAGTGCACGCATGTACTTCCCGCTTGGCAGCATGCTAGTGTCGACCGGGGGAAACGGTCGCCTTTACCCCTTCCAGCTTCTTTGTTTGCTCACTTGCCTTGGCGAGTTCAGGAAAGCTAGTTTCGCAGCACGATACGGAATCAAGTTTGGGCCATCACAAGGATAGGTAGGGAGGTACTGCACGCAAAAACGCTGGGAGAAGTATGTCGTATTTACTATCTTGCCTCTCAACCCACCAAACGGAACCCATTCAGCCATCAAGCCATGCATAGCAAACTACTGAACCTCGTTAGTCATTGATCGCGAAACAGACGATTGAACATGACGTGAGAAAATGATTGTCGGTTCAGGATTTTCAGTGTGTGTAACAATAATCATGTAAATAGATATCATTGCCATGGAAGTTTAATTTCTCATCATTTGGGACGGTGATGTGGAAGGAAATCAGCAGGAACTTACAGTTTGAGATTCCAGGACCAGACGGTCGCAGGAAAAGAAGAATCTCAGCCAGAAATAAGACTGTGAACCGATCCTGTCGATTCTCACTGCGACGCAACTGGTCCTGCGTTTGTTGCCGGGAATTTGTTCGTGTTGAGTGGGAGGAAGGACGATGGAAGAAAAATTTGCGGCGGAAGGACATTTATCTGCAATACGACGTGGGTCTCATATTATGTAAGCGGGCATACCTAGGTACACTGTAGGTGCACGTCCCACACAGCCGGCATGGCGCTCAAGCTAAGGTAGGTAGGTACCTACCGCAGCACAGATTGGTCACTTCCTTTCAATATCACTCATGCGTACCAAGGCCTCATTTCGTTTGTGCGAACGATTTATCGGCTCGTCCTGTTATAGTATCGATTCAATTGACTACGGTATGGGACGGGACGCTGCATCTTCCAAGTACCCGCTATCGATACTGCATCGCCTCACCAGATGGATAAGTAACTTCTGAGTGGCGCACAACAAGGGCAGAGTGAACGAGCTCGTGGCCAACCACGTCGCCCTCATCAAACTGTCTTGGCAGGAATACTGTGCTTTGCTTCACGAATGGCAGCCATCAGAGGTCGCCCGCCTTCCGCCATCCGACGATGCGGAAGATGGACCACTCCTCCCAGAAGCTCTTCGCCTTCTCAAGCACCTTCTCCTTGGGACGCTGGCTCTCCGCGACTTGAGGGTGCGGCCCCTTGCGGCCCTTCCCAGCGCTGATGGGCAGGATCTCTTGCTCAATCTTGGCGACACCAGTGCCCCTCAGCACGCCGCCAAGAGCATCAACTGCCTCCGCTGCAACACGACCAACCCGACGGCCAGGAACGTGCAGCGAAGTCTCAAAACCCGTTCGCTGAGTCTCGCCAAGGAAGCTCCTCGAGCCATATTCGTCGGTGAGCTCATAGAAGCGCCAAGTCTCGGTCTCGGTGTCGCCGTTCCATGAAACATACACCGCCGTGCCGTCCTTGTTCTCAAGCGAGACAATCGCAGGCTCCTCCGAAGGCAGGCCAGTCCAGTTGAACCGGAAGGCGCGGTAGTTCTCGACAGCGACGCCAAGGTCGCCAGAGTCCATGTACGCGTGGAAGATGGGAGTGCCGTCGGCCTTGAACTCGGTCACGGCACCAGAAGAACCCCAGTTGACGAGCGCGTTGCCACCGGGCAGAATCTGCGTCGAGCCTTGGCTCTTGGAGAGCAAGCCATCAGGGGGATAGAAGCCCTGGACTAGCTCGGCCTTCCAGGTACGCGTGTTCACGCGGATGATCTTCCCGCTGCTCGTCGGCGCTGTGTGCACCTCCCTACCGCCGCCGTGCTCCGTACCATGGGCGCTGTTATCGTACAGACTCAGAACCTCCTCGTCGCCGTCTTGGGACAGCCAGCGAGCGTGGTGCTGGAAGCAAAAGTCGACACCCTCGCCGAGGTCGAACGACGAGTTTGTGCCTGCCAGACGCCAGATGATGGATCCGTCAGTGCCGTTGATCTTGTGCACGGAACAAGCGTCGCGGGCGGAGATGAGGTAGTTGCCAGTGGCATCCTTGTCGACGCTGTTGATGTGGAAGTAATCCCATGCGTCGGAGCTGTTGTAGCCTGACCCAGCCTGGCCAGGGTTGATGGGCAGTATAGCCTCTGTGATATGTGTGAGATAATGTGCCCTTCAAGCGAAGGCTGGAATCTTACCATCAGGAGTGACGTGGTCAAGACTGGACCATTCGAAAAGGAGCTTGCCAGTAGCAATGTCCAATTCTATCACAACATCAGTACGACGCTAAAGTGTTTCAGCGATTCAAACTTTCACACCTTGAATAATCGCATTCACAATCCACTGCTGCTCCGGCTCCGCGCCCCACGGCGTCAAATGCCTCGGAACAGGCTGATATATCTGAATCAACCCCGTCTCCTCATTAACAACATGAAACTCGTGCTTATCAACAAGCTTATGATTCCCCGCGCGCACCTCCCGGATCGTCTCGTAATGCTGGTCCAAAAACGTGACATGCCCATGCCCGTGGCCGTACCCGGGGTTATGGTCCCCCTCGAAACTGAACAGCACATCCCGGCCGCGCCAGCGCGCCGCCTGGAAGTTGGTCGCCCAGATGCTGTAGATGGCGTACCCGCTCCACACGAGCTCGCCGTCGTCGCGGAAAATGTACGGCCCCGCCTGGCGAGGGCCGTGCTGCTCCGTCGGCGTGTCCGGGAGGCCCGCGAAGGGCGCGACAAAGAGGTAGCCCTGCTCGACGTCCGCGGTCGCCGGGATGGTGATGTTGAGGCGCGGCGGGGCGAGGTCCGGGCGGGAGCGGAACTGCCAGTCCGCGGACGCCAAGGGGGCGAGGAGCGCCGATAAGGCGAGGAGCGCGGTGGTGTGCTTCTTCATGGTGGGTGGCCGGGGATCCTAGGTGCGTCAGCTATTTCCGTTGGGTTACCCATTGCGAAGAATAGGTACATTCACCTTGGTGAAGTACATGAGCCCTAGAGTTCAAAAGATGACTTGTGAGAATTTCCTTCACGTGTTTTCCAATGTTTCAAATTACAGTGCTTTGCCAGTGAGAGCTATTGCTGGGTGAGGAGGATGGTGGGAAAAGGGCGGGTACCCCGTCCTTTTCAATTCAGCAGACTTTGGGTATGCTTCCCCTCAGTATACGGATCGGCATGGCGACATCGGTATTCTTGCAGCAATACCTTGACATTTGTCAAGCATGGCACCATAGTGTCACGGGCTACGCAATTGAACCGGCTGGGCTTGATAGATTGGAGAGATAGTACTTGTCTCCGGCCTGACTCATTGTTCGTCTTGCACCACGACTAGCCCTACGACGGTCTGCGACCAATGCTACGTGTTCCAAGCTCTCTGAGGCTCGAAGACGCAGGCCAGCTAGTACGGGCGGAGATTTAGGTGACAGTCGTCTTGGATAGATTCACTGGTCTGCCTCGGGTATTGCGGAAGCAGCACGTTGAAAACTCTTTCATTGCGTGCTTCGAAGGATTGCTTCGGTCTCGCAGCTATGCTCAAGACAATGACTTCCAGGAGTTAATCCCCTACATGTGTACATCATGGAGCCAGGCCTTGTATTTACTTCATCATGACATCAACCCCTCACCTCCGGCACTCACGCGGAATCTCATGCCGTGTGCCGGTAACGCGGGGCGCCCATACTCTTTCAACCAAGAATCGATGTGAAATCATTTCAACGCCAGGAGCGATGCAGCAAACGGCGTAAACAGCGTGAACGATACAAGAGTCTGAAGCATTACGTGCTTGAGATGCATATGGTGTGATATACCTTCTCCATCAAAACCAAGATATAGACTGCAGTTATCGGCTACCCGACCCGGCACCGAAGTTGGCCCGCCGAGACCAAAGAGCTTGTACCGTGCGGACGAAGCCCGGCCCCACGTCACCCCGTCGGTTCCCCATCGGCGGATGAAACTGAAAAAGAGAAAAAAATGGTCCCGCCTTGCACTTCGTCATTCCCGCCCACACCCCGGCTTATCGACTCCATCCAGCACTGACAAGTTTAAAGCCGCGCCGGAAGAGTCAGACCGAGTCGCTGTGGCCCCGATTGCGTGATGGCCGTTTGAATAATTTTCTTTCAATCTCCAACTCAATGAAATCCTCCCATTGAACAGCCGCGCATCCCCACTTCCGTCTCATCTAACGTCCACGCGGCACCCATCCTAGTTCCTGCAGACTGAGACTCTCTTGTCTTACCAGCACGTGCAATCAGACACACACTCTGAAGGCAATAAGACATTGAAAATGTCCAATCCCCGGCCCCACTCCGACGAAGAGGCCCGGGCCCGGGCCTCACCGCCGCCCCCGTACCCCGACGCTGACCCGGCCCCCCGCGAAGACCAGCCCCTCCTCCGCGACCCCGGCGCCGCCGTCACCTCCGGCGAAGCGTGGAAGCCCCCGCCGGGCTTCACCTGGATCGAGCTGGCCATCATGTCCAACGTGTTCCTATACGGCTTCGACGGGACCATCACCGCCGCGACGTACGCCGTCATCAGCTCCGAATTCGACGCCGCCAACACCGCCTCGTGGCTGACGACGTCGTACCTCGTCACCAGCACCGCCTTCCAGCCCCTCTACGGCCGCTTCTCCGACATCTTCGGCCGGCGCGTGTGCTTCTTCGTCAGCAGCGTCACGTTCGGGCTGGGCTGTCTTGGGTGCGGGCTGGCGCGGGACGTGGTGTTGTTGAATTGCATGAGAGCGCTGACGGGCTTTGGTGGTGGAGGGTTGATGACGATGGGTAACGTTTCCGATCGCAACTGTTCGCTTTAAGACGTACAACACAGCTGACCATACCCCAGCAACAATCGTCAACTCGGATATGATCCCCTTCCGCAAGCGCGGCATGTACCAGGCCCTTCAAAACGGCATGTTCGGCTTCGGCGCCGTGGCGGGCGCCTCCTTTGGCGGCTCCATCGCCGACCACATCGGCTGGCGCTGGTGTTTCCTCCTCCAGGTCCCCGTCTCTGTCTTGGCTCTCGTTCTCGGTGCGATTGTGATCAAGAACCCCGAGGGCGGCTTCGACATTGACACGACTAATTTCAAGGCCATATGGACCCGCGTCGATGTTTCCGGTGCGCTGTTGCTCGTGGTGGCTATCTCGGTGCAGCTTGTCGGACTGAGCCTGGGCGGGAATGAGCTGCCTTGGGGCAGTCCAATCGTCATTGGGACGCTGGTGGGAAGCGTGCTGTTGTTAGGCCTGTTCCTGGTCGTTGAGGCGAGAACGACAGCTATTCCCGTTATTCCACTGAGGATGCTGAGGGGTCGGTTGCCGGTATTGACGCAGATTTCGAACGTTTGTGCGGGACTAGCGGCCTATGCGGTAAGTAACGACTCTTGAGGTCATTTCGATTGACCGGAAATGCTTCTAACTCGAGACAGTATCTCTTCATGCTGCCTCTTTTCTTCCAGGTCGTATTGCTGGACTCAGCGACCAAGGCCGGTGCCCGACTGGCCATTCCATCGCTCGCGACTCCTCTTGGCGGCCTCGTTGCCGGAATCGTCATGTCACGTTGGGGCAAACTCGTCTGGCTTGTTCGCACCGGAGCTTTCTTCATGCTCTTCGGAAACGCCCTTGTAACGGCTCTGCAGTTCGAGGATAGCAATTGGAAGTACTTGGTGTACATCTTCCCAGCGAATCTTGGCCAGGGAATTATCTACCCCGCCATCCTCTTCACGACACTAGCTTCGTTTGATCACGCCGGTAGGTCGAGCCTCACTATCAGAACATCAAATTCGGGCTAACATGAACCACAGATCACGCCGTGTCGGCATCAACAGTCTACCTCGTCCGCTCCCTTGGCACCGTCTGGGGCGTCGCAATCACCTCGGCCATCGTCCAGACGACCCTGAGTGTCCGTCTGCCAGATGCTCTCGGCGATGTCCCTGACAAGTGGAGGGTATTAAGTTCCCCAATTATCCCTTGATGTCTCAATTGCTAACATGATGGAAGCTCATTGACGAGATCCGTCATTCCGTGACAGCCCTCAAGACCCTCCCGGTGGAGGTGCGTCTGCCAGCACGCATGGTCTACTACGAAGGCATCCGATACGCCTTTGCTGCATCCACCAGCTTCGCAGCTATCGCGCTAGTCGCGGCGCTGTTTGCCAGTCCTCGCGGTCTTCGGAGCACTCACAAGTAAAGAGGATCGCCATCAGGGGGTGTGTTCAGGGGTGGTAAGATCACGTCATGCCGAGAGTCTCCATAGAACGGCCGTGATCGGGGCTCAACCAACATCTTACGTATATCGACCATGGGTGCAGCAGTGATTGCATGATGATGAATGACAAACTGAAGCGCAACGGACATGTAGATGAAGTCGCTCGAGGGTGGATAGAAGTACGATGGTGGCGCTCCACGTACAGGAATAGATAAAAAGGGGGTATTTTCTATAGACAGGGCTTAGTACATTTAGTTTGTTGAGATGGTGCTTTATCTCTCGTACTTTTACAAGAATAATGAACTTCCCATCCGCCTCAGTGTGTTTTACACAGTTATCCCCATCACACAAATCTATGGTGCCCTTTTGGCGGCCGGTTTTCTCGCCATGAGGGGCATCAGAGGTTGGGCGGGATGGCAATGGCTGTGAGTACAAGACCAAGCGACGAAGTTCCTTGTCCTCTGCACGCCTTCCTCCCTACTACAGATACTGATCCAGATAAAACCCCTAGTTTTCTCTTCGAAGGGCTAATCTGCGTGATCATCGGTTCTATAAGCTTCTTCGTCATGCCTCCTTCTGTCTGCGAGCCCGCTCGCGCGTTCAGGCGCCCCGACGGATCTAACAAGTGGTGGACAGAACATGAGGAAGAGGTCCTCGTGAACCGAATCCTCAGAGACGACCCTACGAAAGGCGACATGAACAACCGAACTGCCGTAACTTTCCACGGTCTCTGGACAGCACTGACGACTGTGAACCTATGGCCCATTTTCCTCGTTGGCCTCTTCGCCTGGATTCCGTTTCAACCGACAGCCAACTACCTTTCACTCATCCTTCGCGACATGGGATACTCTGTCTTCGAGTCCAATATGCTTGCGATACCAAGCTATGCCCTATTCGCCATCAATGCAAGTATAGTCGGACAAAAAGTACCCAAGCACAAAACACTAATATCTGATGTTCAGGTTCTGATCTTTGGTTGGTTATCCGAGTATTTCAAAGAACGCTCCATCATATCGTCCTGCAGCAATATATGGATGCTTCCTTTCTTCATCGCACTTATCGCTCTGCCCGAATCGGCCAACCCCTGGGTCCGGTACGCCTTGCTCACCGGAATCAACTCGATCCCGTACACGCACTCCGTGCTCGTCGGAATGGCGAGTCGCAACTCACGTAGTGTGGGTACGAGAGCAGTCGCAACAGCTGTGTACAACATGACGTACCAGATAGGCAGCATAGCTGCTGTCAACATCTATCGAGACGAGGACAAGCCGTACTGTAAGGAAGATTCAAACTCCACAGAATTGCTCTTCTAATCACTTACGAATTCTACTCAGATTACACCGCTAATAAGACTTTGATTGGGCTTTGTATATTCAACATTCTCCTATTCATTGGCATGAAGCTATATTACATCTGGCGTAATCGTATACTTGAGAGGAGATACGCAGAGGCTTCAGAGGCAGAAAAGCAGAAGGCTATCGATATGCGATTTGCACACTAGCTTCCAAGACATGCGTTCACAAAAGTGTAAAATCATACAGATGGTCATGGGCTGTGTTTTTTCAGTCAACTTGCAGCAATGCAGATAATTGACTTCTGAATTGTCTCTAATACTATTCCTCATCATCATCCTACTCTTATCATATTTCATTCTGAGTTCTTCCTCCATTCCAGCCTTTCATTATCGTTCCTGAGTCCTCGACCGCCTTTGAGACGTATTGCTTCTCATCCTTACGCCTTCAACAACTGCTCTAACTAACTTGCGACATCTTGATTACAATTTACTTTTAATGGGCTCTTGGAACCGATAGATGATGTCCTCAAACCGAGCCTCGGGAAAAACATAAAGCCAGTGCAGGGTCTCACCAGGCCCGCAGAAGACACCATGTACGGCATCCCCAGGTATCCACAGAATGCTCCCGCCCGATACCGCGTGCCGCTTGCCATCGATCTCGACACTTCCGGTGCCGGAAAGGATGTAATAGATCTCGGCCTGGGTGTGCTGGTGAAGAGCAAGAAAGCCCTCGGGCGGGCAGGTTGCGAGTCCCGCACACATGGAATCAGTCAAGGTGTCGGGTCTCGACAGCAGCGTTTGCCAAGTGACATTGCCGTACAGGGGCTCGGGGAATGCGCTCTCGGCTAAGTTGGTGATGGTCGAATGATCCATCAAAACAGGCAACGGTGCTGCTCCGCTATCATGTTGCTTGTGCGAGCTGATTGGACATTAAGTTAGTCTGCGGACTAAAGATGCCTTCAAAACGGAGAGAAACCATGGAGACAAGGAACCGCAACAGCAGGGGCAGGGGTCAAACGAACCAACAGGGTTTCTCCATTTCGGTAGTGAATGTTAGTGAGCGTTCAAAGGTGGAGAGCTTCCAAGGGTGAGTGTTGACAGTTTCTGTTGACCTGACTAGAGGTATGATGAAGCCTTGTTCGATGAGTGTCAGGACCCAGGCGTACTATGTAGCGAGGCAAGGAAGACCTTTTCCAATATTGAACCTCTGGCTTGTTGGTCCCACTCTTTGATAAGAATGGTCATTGCCGGCAGATTTGACCTATTTGGGTAAACTTTGCCTCCGATGACAAGCATGTGGGAACAATGGCTGGATACATGTGCGGAGAGCGCTGTAGAATCTTGGCCCCCAACGGTCCGGGCGGACCGGCGACGATCCCTGGAATGTCTAAATTCATCGTCATCCGGGGCCGAGCATCCACCAGGAATACCCCCGGTTTAAGCAGGGGGGCAATAGGCTGCATGCATTGATTTTCGTCTACTTACATCGTATTTAAGTCGTTGATGACAATGGTGAACCTCCTGAAATACGACTCTGCCGTGTCTTACAGGCATTCCCATCCCGCGCAAACACTTTACCCCAAACTTCTTCTTCCAGTGAAGTACGCTCCGCAACTTCCATCACCTTGGTTATTGTTAAGTCCTCCTGCGCACCAGAAACCCCCAACACCATGGCGAACATTATCTCAGGCGCCGACATCTATGGGCCTGGGTCATGGATCGATCACGATGCCCCAGCCGTCCCCGACGATGCGCTCCGGCTTTTTGAATCGCTTGCGGCGGTGACCCCGGGCTTCACACAAGATAAGGAATTGTGGAAGTCTGTTTCGTTCCAAGGCTCGCCGCAGACCATCGCCCCTGGCCCACTCAAGTCTCCTGTCATTGCCGCGGCACTGCACGCCATGTGCGGAGTGGTTGCCAACGAGCTCCTGGCCCTCCGAGACGGCGGCAGTCCTATCCGCCATGTTGGTATCAACACAGACCATGCTGCATTCTGGCTTGGGTGTGTTGGCATGGCAAAACGCAACGGGTCAACCGTCCGAGAGTTGGCTAAACGGGGCGAGCTCGCAGGCATCTTCTCCAAGGACCTGGAGAAGGGCACGTTTGCAACGCCTCTGCGACTACGTGCTACAGCCAACTATCCGACCAAAGAAGAGGGACTCTGGTACCAGCTCCATGGCTCGCTTGACGCGGATCCTGTGCTACGAGCCATTGGCTTGGACCCGGATGCTCCCTGTAGCGGGCTTGTTGAAGCCCACGAGCTCATCGGCAACCACGTTCGGAAGTTTGGCGCTCACGAGTTGGAAGCCATAAACATTGAACGCGGTCTCTGTGGAAGCATCTGCTATACTCCGGAATCGTGGAGGCAGACGCGGATGAGCAAAGACCTCTCTAAACACCCTCTTGTGAATTGCAAGTTGCAGTCCCATGCCATCCCTACCCCAGCAATTCCTTTGACCCCCGGGTCCGACAGACGACCTTTGGCTGGCATCAAAGTGGTGGAAATCGTGCGGATCATTGCAGGCCCAGTGATTGGAACGACGCTGGCGGCACTGGGAGCCGACGTCATTCGCATCAACTGTAGCAGGCTGCCGGACTTTAATGTAAGCACTGGAAAAGCCCCTTTGCATATGTTCACATTTTTTCTTCGTCCATCACGTTTGTGGAAGCATGTTACAAAAGCTGATGATTGATACTCAACGGAAAGTCATTGCAACTCACGCTCAATGCCGGAGTCCGCACATTGGACATCGATTTCGACAAAAAAGACGAGCTGCAGCATCTGCTCAACCTGATCCAGGACGCAGACATCTTCGTCCAGGGCTACCGTTCAGGGTCCCTAGCCAGACGAGGAATGGGCCTCCACGATCTCCTGGAGATGGCCGGCAAACGAGGCAAGGGTATCGTCTACGTCGAAGAGAATTGCTACGGACCAGACGGCCCCATGCACGAACGCCCAGGCTGGCAGCAGGTGGCCGACGCCGCCTCTGGGTGTTCTTATGTCACCGGAAGAAGTCTGGGTCATACAGACGGCACTTGCGTATTGCCAGCTCTCCCTGTCCCAGACATGTTGACTGGTTTGATTGGTGCTATTGGGGCTATGATGGCCATAAGAGACCGCGCGCGTCAGGGCGGCTCCTATCACGTCTTCGCCTCGCTCATGGCGGCAGCCGCCATGCCCTTGCAGCCAGACGTCGGCCTATACTCTCCCGAAGCTGTGAAGCAGTGCAATGAAAGGTTCCAATGGGGCGAAACTGGTCCCGAGCTGTTCGTCCTCGAGTTGCTGGATGTTGTGCTCAAGGGATGGACCACTGTGTTTCCTGAGCACTTTGGGCCATCATCGCCATGGTTCACCCAGCTGAAAGGTGAATGGGGCAATTTCGAACTGCTCAGACCTGTTCTTCAACTGGCAACTCCAGAAGAGTCTCCGCAATGGTCTTCAGCACCAGAGCCTAACTGTCACCACGACAGCCCATCAATATCATGGCTTTGATGTTATAGCACCAGCGTAGTTCAATCAAGTGTTATGGAATAATTTGTTTATTAAATTCATACATAGTCTCAAGTATCATGATGAATATGTTCTAGGATTTCAAAGTGTCTGTGTGTCGGGCACCGTTTAGTCGCCCGAAATGGCGGCGGCTCAAGATTGCCGATTCGGAGTAGGCAAGACTATTTCCCTTTCCACTCAATTCAATTCACTTCGGCCGTCAACTCCAACTTCCATCTGATCTCAGAATTTACCCCGTCATATTCAAGGGTGATCATCATGACTCCAAGCGGCTCCCGGTCGAAGGGAATCGACTAGCAGTGGCCTGTGGCTCGTATATTTCCTTGAATAGGCATGCGGTCCCGAAAGCTACGATGATTTGTAAGTCAACTGCTTACATGGGCATACCTTCGCAAGAAATCCTGATGCCACCAGACAACTGGTTGGTCCGTCCCCACTGGTAGCGGGTGGCCTCGTGCTTCGTGGTTTGTGGACCCGGTCCGGCCGTTAAGCTTACACCACAACCACCACCACTCTTGCCCTCCAGATTGCTCGTCAGCGCGGTAACCCAAAACCTGTGTTCCCATGGAGATCGGTGAGAAGGTAGTGGTGACGATCTTTAGATCAATTGCGGAGGAGGGGTCTCCCCGCATCTGGACCAACAGAGAATCCCGCTAACGGGTCACGACACTTCCTGAGGATATCTTACGAGGGAACCCATCCATCGCGCTGACCACCAGAGGACCCTGCTGCACTCTTCATTAAATCTTCAATGCGGTACAGAGATCGTTTGTGGCTCTTTAAAGAAACCTCTCTGTCGTTACAAAGACCCAACACCGCTTCCTTGGATTCTAGAGTTGAAATCACGTATCAACAAATCGCAAACTCTCAGCGAAGCACCTACAAACCCAGCGAGGTTCTAGTCATTATAGCCTTGCATTCTGAAAAATACTGCGCAAACGAAGACATCACGGGAAGTGATATGAAGACTGAGCACGAGCACTGCGAAGATGCTGGAAGCGACGTTGTGGCTCATGGCGGCTTGCATCGTCGCCTCAACAACAGGCAGATACAGCTCATTGCCATTGGCGGAACCATTGGCACTGGTCTATTCGTGAGCATCGGGGCTGCTCTCGTCAAGGGGGGACCCGCGAATCTTCCGATCTGCTTCCTGCTCTATTCTTGTGTGGTGGCCCTCGTCAACAACTCCATTGCCGAGATGGTCACATATATGCCTGTTTCTGGGGGGTTTATTCGCCTTGCGGGCGAGTGGTTCGATGATGCCTTAGGATTCGTGGTCGGCTGGAACTTCTTCTTGTACGAGGCTCTTCTCATTCCCTTTGAGATAGTGGCACTGAATATCGTACTATCCTTTTGGGCTCCTGGCATCTCGGAACCTGGGCCTTTGGCTGGATTTTGTGTAGGGGTAATTGTCTCCTATGGGTAAGTCATTTGATTCTGTAAAATCTCCGATTACTGCCCGTTCGATGCACTGACGGTGCCAAAAGTATTATCAACGCCGTTGCGGTCAATATCTTTGGCGAAGCCGAGTTTTGGCTTTCAGCAGGGAAGGTCATTCTGGCATTCATGCTTTTCGGCTTTACAATCATCACTATGGCTGGTGGGAACCCTCAAGGAGATGCATACGGCTTCCGGAACTGGGAAACCCCTGGTGCCTTTGCGACTTTCACTTCCACTGGAGACCTCGGCCGCCTTGAAGGGTTTATGGGCGTACTGGTCACCGCGGTATTCATCATTGTCGGGCCCGACTATATCTCTATGGTGGCCGCTGAGGCAAAGCACCCCAGCCGATATATCAAGTCAGCCTTCAAGACAGTATACCTTCGCTTCGGTATCTTTTTTGTCGGAAGGGCTGTGGCAGTCGGGATTGTGATTCCCTACGACGATACGAAGCTACGAAGCATCCACATCGATGGTCAGGGCACCGGGACCGCCAATGCCTCGCCGTATGTCATCGCGATGCAGAATATGGGCATCACTGTCCTTCCCCATATCATCAACGCCTTGCTATGTACGAGCATCTACTCGGCGGGCAATACTTATACCTACTGCGCCGCTCGCTCACTGTACAGTTTAGCCCTCGAGGGTCATGCTCCATCTTTCCTCAAGCGGGTCACAAAGTCTGGTATTCCTATCAATTGCTTTGCAGTTACCATGGTCTTCCCATTCTTGGCATTTCTACAGGCCAACAGCGGCTCCGCAAAGGTTTTGAGTACCCTCATCTCCGTTATTGCTGGTGGTTGTCTTGTCAACTGTGTGGTCATACTGATTACCTTTCTATCTTATTACGAAGCCTGCAAAGCTCAAGGTGTCGACCGCAGAAGCAGACCATATTATGGGTACCTTCAACCCTACGGTGCCTGAGTAGCTCTGGTTCTGGAGATAGCTATCGCAATTTTCTATGGATACACCGCGTTTCGCCTTTGGAATGCCTCCGATTTCTTCGCCAACTATACCATGCAGCTTCTTGCGCCTGTGTTGTACACAGGATGGAAGTTGACCAAAAAGACACAGATCAAAAAAGCCCACGAGGTAGACCTCCTATGGGCTTGGCCAAGCATTGATCGGTATGAAGCTGAAGCACTGGTCAAGGATCCGCCTTCGAGCTTCTGGAGAGAAGTGGCGTAGTTGATAGGCTTTGGCAAGAAGAGTTCGTAATCAGCGACAAGCGATGAGACACTAGGCACTGTTTTGCCCAGTGAGAGTGAGGTATCATGGAGAAAGGTTCGAGATTGGATTTGACATGAGGCGACAAACGTCGGCAGAGACGTCCGATTTCGCAGCACGTCCCTGACGCGAATCGACGAGAAGCTGTTCAAACCATGAATTCACTGTAAATCAATGACTGAACCGTTTTCGTCGTAACCATCATGATACTGCCCACCCAAAGTAGAATCATCATTGCAAGTATTTTTCAAGATACGCCCCGTCTGCATCCCACAAAATCTCGCTGAAATATTCATTTGCCTCGCCTGCTATCAGTCGTCGCTAACTCAATGCCATCTTTTTCTTCCAGCATGAAGTTCAACAGCGGTGAAAACACTATCTCAACGCCGAGCGAAGCGGATATTGATTTCCACACCATATCCAACAGACCACCACCTTGCTCTGGGATACGTCTACTGCACTCAGATGAAATCACTGTTTCCCAAAACAGAAGCCTGGATCTTACCTGTCCCGGGTCTTACCCCCAGTAATGCATGTAATCCTAGTGACACGGGCGCCGGACCGTGTCCACCTTTATTCCCACCCCTCACACACTAGTGCAGATCAGCCCCCCAAGGCCGGACCGTACCCACTACGGCCGCCCGATCAGGCCCGCCTTGTTCTGGCTTGGGTCCGGTTGCCATGGGCCTACAACGGCATCACTTCGGAAACGTCGATTCACTCTTAAAGGGACGAATTCAGTCCATGGAAACATGAATATGCCATGACCTCACGCGAAGTTACTACGCAACCTTCAACATGCAAATGCGGCCGTCAACGATCTCTTGGAGGTCCATCCTCCGCCAGCAACCCTGCAGACATCAACTTGGACGCCATCACCAGTTGGGCTCCGCGCGCATGATGACCAGCGGCGCCACTGACAGAAGCAACACTATCGGATTCATCGGCTTGGGAGCTATGGGGAATCATATGGTGAGTACCTATCCGCAAGTATCTCCGTCTATGCTTCTAACGAATTTTGATCTAGTTCAATAACCTTGTCAGCAGATCCATAGCGAAAGTCGGCAACAGTGCCAAATACGCTCTGTTTGACGTGAACGATGCTGCTGTGGAAGGCGTCATCCAGCGGCACCAAAAGCAGAACCCAGCTGTGTCTATACATCGGTGCTCTTGTGAGTCTCGATACAGATTTGTCGCAGGGAATTCCAATTCACTGATTGGGTTGTTCCTTTTCTTTTCTTACAGCCCCATGCGATGTGGCACAAAAGGCTTCGACGATTATTTCGATGGTGCCCACAGGTCGCCACGTAGAAGACGTTTACCTTGGCGACAGCAGCGTCATTCGCGCCTTGGAAACGTTGGACGAGCAGCAAAGATCGGCGACTTTGTGTCTTGACCAGTCCACCATCGAGCAAAGCGTCAGCAGGTCTGTCGCTCTGAAATTGAGGGAGACTGGTGCCGACCTATTGGACGCCCCCGTGTCTGGAGGTATGTCATTTTGCCCCTCAACCGTTTCATCTACCTAGAGGATCTACAGTATGTTGACTATCATGGTCGTAGGAGTGATCGGTGCTAGAGATGGTACTCTCGCGATAATGGTCGGCGGCAATAAGAGATCATTTGAACGGGCTGTCCCTTATCTCCAGCCTATGGCCAGGAAGGTCACATATTGCGGTGACCTTGGTGCTGGTCTTGCAGCGAAAATATCCAACAAGTAGGGGAACTCACCGTGTCAATATTTCTTTGAAAACTGTTCTAATCATTCCTCGAATTTACAGTCTCTTGCTAGGCATCACTATGCTGGGTCTAAGGTAAACGCATTTCTGCCTGCAGTTGATGCAGAGTGAAAATGGTTTCCATCCAGAAACTGACGCAAATCTACTCAGTGAGGCCATGCTGCTGGGCAAGAGGCTCGGTGTTGATCCCCAAGTTCTCGCAGATATTATCAACAATTCGACGGGGAGATGTTGGTCTAGTGAGGTAAGTTCTTCTGGGTTAGGTTTGACCAGGTGTTTTCGATGGAAAGATGAATTCGCTCCATCACTGGTTCTTGGGACAGGCTTGACGTTGGGTTCAAGATTAGACGGGTGGTAAGCTAAGAAATCTTCCAGATCAACCATCCCGTTCCGGAAGTCAAGGTAGGACATACAAGCCCTCCAGCCCATCGTAAATACGCGGGAGGCTTCGTTACCAGCCTAGCGCACAAGGATCTGGCCTTGGCTGTGAAGGCTGCTATGGAAGTAAACTCGCCACTGCCGCTCGGAAGACGTGTCGAAGAGGTTTATCGACCTCTTGCTCAGACGACCGAATGGGGAAGTCGCGACTTCAGTGTTGTCTATGAGGCACTCGACGAGGCGATAGTTGGGCATGATACTAAGAAGGTCGAGCTGTAAATAGTACAGCCACCGCATAGTATTTTGATTTTGTTCGTCACAGGGACTAAGCAACTGCGCGAGGTACTTATTTCTAACCTCGGGATGGTTGATTTCAAGATGTTGTGGCAACTACCTAATTACTGAAGCTTTCTCGCTTTTCGTGACAAGCCGCCTATGTTCAAGATTTTGCTCCAATACTAACAAACAAACAATTTCCGTTGCTCCTGCGAATGTTCTTCTACAGAGGATTCGGAGTCAGCGGGGCTAATTGATCGCCTGGCACCCCAAAGAGATCCGTCCACGAATCAAGCCATATGCTACTAAGGTCTTGGTTGTTATTCAAAGATTCCTCGCTCACTGTGCTCGACATTGTGTTGTAGTCAACGACAGCCCACAAGGTCTCTTCCTCAGCCAGAGTAATATTGGCTCTTTGGAGCTCACTACTGCACAGACTTCCGCCCAGAAAACCATCATATACCATTCGTCTAAGTACTGTTGCCTAAAGAGTTGTGAGTCCTAGGTCACTTCATGGTGGGAAAGAAGGAAGCCCAGCATGGCCGATCCCAGAATGTAAGAGTTACGCACCATCGAGGAGACATTATTCCAATGACGACCTAGAGTGTCCAGATATGATAAAGCCTCTTCGAGGAGAAGTTGAGCTCTCTGGCTCACGGCCAAGTCTGAATCACCGGTTCTAAGTGCGATAATGGAACCGGCAACAGTCGCGCAGTAGCCGCTAGAAGAGGAATGAAAGGAGCACCCCAGCCCGCGAGCGTCCCGTATGAGTGCTAGCATATGCTGCGCATGCAACCATCCTAGGTCAGATGATCGTGTCAGGAAACTCGTTGGGGCCAACGTGCGGCACGTATCAATCCGGCGCTTGAGCAGAAAAGGGTGATTAAGCAGGCAGTAGCAGAGGTGATAAAATGCGCGAGAGAAGATAATCGGGCCAGTGGTGTGGTAATCCACGACTCCATCGGTACTAATGTACGGAGCCAGAACCTGCTGTAACGGTTGTTGGATCCTCAGGGATGACTCAAAGTGGAGGAGATCAGACTCAAGAGCAGCGAAATCGGAGCTTCGATCCCAGGGAGGATGAGGACTGCGGATGTTGAACTCCTGAAGCATATACTGCGCACTCCGTCCTAGAATTTGTGCCATGGCAATGACATGTGCGAAGGAGCCTTGACTCTGAGGTACTGTAAAGGCCCGGTTTGTCATCTCGTCAAGAGATTGCGTCTTGCTCCATACCTCATTCTTCCAGACCACCTCTTCGCATGGTAATTGCAGGTGGCAAGACGCATCGACGATGGCTGGTGGACGACCGCGTCCGCAGGACACCAGTCGGTCCAGGAGATAGACAGACCAGAACACGCGTCGGCGTTCTTCCTGCTCCACATACGGAAGATGTGTTGCGTTCTCCAACATGAGTCCACAATCCTGTGCCATCCTCACAGACATACCTACTTTAACCCATGCCGAACCGTGACGCGACCTGCCAGCTGCTCTTGCCGTCAGTGTTCTGCCTTTTGTCTTATCGCTTAAGGAAAACAAGTAATAAGCCCCAGTATGAGAATAACCACTCACCAGTGAAGTCAAACAGACCCAAAAGAGCCACCGTCTGTACTGCGGATATCTCCGTGCCAGTGCCTTCCGTGAAGCAATCAGAAACAATCAGCTTCCAAGCCCGATTGGCACAGTCGACCGACGCTTCGTGCACGCGCCCTGCGAAGTAGGGATGTGAGCAGAAGCGACCAGCTGTAGCCACTATAGTCAGCAGCAGATGTGTAGGCACAGTCCTTTCTGACAAGCAGCGACGGAAGTGCGCTTCATGGAAAAATGAGTAGGGTTGGTTGTGGCAATAGAAGAAGTAGGCATCCACCGCGACAGCGACAACGTCTTCAGGCACGCCGACATCCATGGGTGCAGGTGCCTCCTGCTCTGCGACCACACTCTGATCTTGACTTGAGGCAAGGTTCGGTGCGGCGGTGTCATTGCTAGGATGGCGCGCGGCATGAGACGCTGGTACGCTGCCTGAAAGGTGGAGATCGAGAATTGATGTCAGGCGGTCCTCAATACTGTGAAGTTGACCATGTGAGCTTGTTACACTATGGTACAACGTCAGGGTGGTAGCTCACGTGCTAAGTCGAGCTGTCACATTCTCCATCTTGTTGTCAAGCATTGACAGTCTCCTCAACACAGTTGTCTGAGAGCCTCGTTAGAGAGACAGATGTGAGAGGCTTGGTTTGGCTGGACATCATCTTCCACTCACGGTGGCCTCCCGAGAAGATGCGTCGGGCTCAACGTGTGGCTCGGAGTCCAAGGAACGCTGCCGAGGGTTCTCTTCACCGTAAATGCAGTCTATTTGAAGAAGTGTATTAGCATGATAGGACAAGTACCGGAGTCTGAAATACGGGGCATGACTAACCTAGTCCCAACCGACGACAATGACCACAGACAGGTCGATCTCCGGTGCATCGACATTTCTTGCGTCTAAGTAAGGTCAGCCGGACTACAAAGTGCATGCCATCTCGTTATCTCTGCTTCCAGCGCGGCCACTGCATACTTACCGACACTGAATACATGCCTGAGCGATTCGTTGCACCGGGAAGAAGTCACCCCCCGCATTCATTTGTGCTGGTTGTATACTGTGCGGGATGCGGGAGGTGGTCGTCTGTGAACAGAAGGGGAAGGAGAGCGGGGAGAGTGAGCTGCGAAATGCGAGTTATTGATGGTTGGTTTATCTAGCTCGGCTTCAGCCACTTTAGTCATCAGCTCTAGTCGGGTAAAGGGGAGTTAGATACGGCAGTTGACGCACTCCAGGTGTTGATCCATAGCGCCCCACTTTGCGAACGTTGTAAACCATGAACTAACCTAACCCAACTGTATGTCAGATTCCTGCTTCATTCTCCCGCTCTGTGTTACTATAACCAATTCATCCTCCAGTCAAACATTTGTCGTTCAAAAACAAACGCACATAATTTCTGTGAGACGGACAATGGTTGATCTCAGAAATAACATCAGGATGTTTTGAAGACATGCTTCTCACAAAGTCCGGACCGAACGTTCCCGCCCAGAGTATTGCCCGTTTCAAAGAGTTGTCAATTCTGTGAAGACATCATAACTTTGAGTTGACCAGGGAAGAACATATGTGTGGGGTTTCGGATATCCGAAAAAGGCTCGGCCTTGACATGCGATTTCCTTCGAAAAAAAATAAAGGTGGAGAGCTTTGTCTCCACGCCTCCTACAAACCACGCCAGATGGGGACGTATGACACATCTAATTCAATTACTGACGACGAGACAATAATTAGAGGGCAAAACGTCGTGTTGTAGCACAAATAAGCCCTTGCTTCCCTCGCCAAACAGCTCATGAAGGGTATGCTGAAATTGACGTAATCGTTTCGCCCTCCACAACACAGAAGACTCATCCAATGACCTTTTTTTTCCTTGGCAAGGTCATTTTTCGTAGGTTGTCATGTGCTCATCAGCCCTGACGATGAAGAATGCTCTAGTCAAACGGCAGTCTTGTGAAGGTCACCTACCCACCGTGACTCGCGAAATTCCACTAGGCTCGGAAACCGAGAAATCCTAATTGTGCACTACGGTCAAATTGTTAGTAAGCGCCAAGTGCAGCGAAATATATTCTCTCTCACCTTTTTGGCAATTTGAGAGGCTTTTTCCACTGAGTTCTCACGATCCTGCTACACCACTCACCCACGCAATGAAGTCGCCCATCCCCGACTATCTCAAACGCGTACTTGAGAATGCCCGCCCCAACGACGATGGAGCACCAGCAGACTACATCGATGTGCTAGCGAAAGCGGACACCTCCAAGATGGCAGTGGCTCTGGCCATGGTTGACGGCAATCTCTACTCGGCAGGAGACGACCGGGTCGAATTCTCAATCCAATCGATTTCCAAAGCCTTTGTCTATGCGCTGGCTATCGAGGACGCGGGATTGTCGCGGGTGTTGGAAAAGATTGGCGTAGAGCCGTCCGGCGACGCTTTCAATCGGCTCTCGCTCGAACGCGGCAGCAATCGGCCCATGAACCCCATGATCAACGCCGGAGCCATCACGGCACACACACTAGTCGTCTCGCCTGACGCTACGGTGGAGCAGAGGACGGAACGTATCCTGAAGACGTTGTCAAGGCTCGCAGGCCGGGAACTTCATGTCGACGAGGAGGTCTATCAGGCCGAACTCAAGGATGCGGATCGCAACATGAGTATCGGATATATGCTAAAAGCAACCGGCATCATCACCTGCGATCCGCGAGACGCCGTGAAGGGTTACATCCGCCAATGCTCCATCAATGTCAATGTCAGAGACTTGGCCTTGATGGCAGCAACTCTCTGCAATAGCGGTGTGAACCCCATCACTGGAGACCACATTATCCCCCAAACCAGTGTCCGTCAGGTTCTCTCTATCATGACTACCTGCGGAATGTACGATGCTGCAGGCGACTGGGTTTCCAGGGTCGGCATCCCGGCGAAGAGCGGCGTGGCGGGCGGCATCCTCGGAGCTCTACCGGGCCAAGTCGGTCTCGCAGCTTTCTCTCCCAAGCTTGACGGGCGCGGAAACAGTGTAAGGGGCGTCATGATCTGTGAGCAGTTGTCACGAGACATGGGCCTGCACATGATGGACGCCAGCCAGGTCGCCGGTGCCACTGTGCGCACCTCAGTAGCCACAATCGTTGGGGGTAAGAGGGATCCGCATCATCCGAACTGCCAACGAAAAGTTGTCATCTTCAGTCTTCGAGGCGCTGTTCGATTTGCGGGATCAGAGCGTCTTACCAGGACTCTTGCGCGTGAGCTGAGTGAGCCGGACCCGGATGACCCCGGCTCTGGAATGCATGCCAATGCCTGTGCCGTGGTATTCTCATTCCGTGACACATACTCACTAAATGCCATTGCACAAAGGATAATTCGTGAAAATATCCGACGGCTGATTTTGGATGGGCGGAATGTGGTGGTGGTCGACCCATCTGGGGTTCTGCAGATGACTATAGATCCTGAGAGCAAGGAGGAGCAACCCCATGTGTCCAGATCAGAAACTGAAGCACGAGAATTCATTGGAGGCTTGGGTTGTCAAGCGGTATTCAAAGATGATAGTTGGTGACTATCCGACCTTGGATGGTTCGCCTCAATAAAAGCATACCTGTCTGGGTTGTTTTGTTGTGATAAAACAGAATAAAACTTATGTATTCTGTACTCTATTTCTCGCCAATTACTAGTTGGATAGTGTTGATGGTACTTCCAATGTCTGTATGCTGAAGATGGGCCTTTGAAATGTCACCAGAGGGTCAGACAGCATCATAGGGAATATCCACAACTCCGACAACCACATAGTTGTCAAATCCCGCCTGCATTTGGCCAGCGTTGGAAAGCATCAACTTCTCCGTTCCGTTGTTGTTGATCACTTCAATGCATCTCGAATGCGCTGCCCATTGTCCCACATCAACTTCCTTCCATCCCGCTGGATCCGCAGAATCCTCGTTAACGAAAAGTTGTTCTCTGCTAGCACCATTCATGATGATTATGCCAGAGCCATCATTTGTCTTCTCGTTGGGAGTCCAAATGACGTATGGTGATCCCCCGGTAGTATGGCCTTCGGCGGAAACAATTTTGTCCCCGCGCCCTTCAATAGTGCCAAATGTCAGGGGCGAGGAAGAGACCTTGTAATACCCTTCGCAGCCCTCATTCGTCGCGCAAACTTCATACGTGATGATGTACTGACCCGTGGACTGAATGTGTGCCACCGTGGTCATCCCTGGGCGGTCGTCGTATGCCGACGAAGCAACGTCATCCACAGGTTCGCTCCATGTCTTGAGATCTTTGGTCGTGATATGTGCAAGTTTCTGCGCATGATTCTCATCTCTCTGATCAGAGAAGAAGCACACAAACTCGCCCTCGTGCATCATGAAGAATGGCTCCCATACTGCATCGTTGCCGTTGGTGGTAGTCTCGGGCCCAGCGCCATATACCATGTGACTGATAAATTCCCAGTTCAATCCCTCATCTCTACTGGCGTAAAGATCTAGATAAGCTTCGCTCAGGTCCGCCGGAACAGAAGCTCCCCCAAGAAGAATGGTTCCGGCGGGATATCCGCCAAACGCTTCTTTGAGAAGGTAGAAATTGGGCTGATACCGCAGACCCCATCCATTGACTTGGTCAGACACGGATGAAAACTCGATCCAGTTTGCGCCTCCGTCGGTTGATTTGTAAATGGGGAAGTTGGCTTGCGGAGGTTCCGGTGGATAATTCTCCCACGATAGAAGGTGACTACCATCAGGCAGCTGCACAGTGCGGGCGTAGATGACCTTCCAGCTGGTGTAGTTCCTATCTGGGTAGAATACTAGGTTGTTGGTGAAGTCGCTGAAAGGTGCAGGGGTGGCTCGTTGAACCAGATGTGCCAAGCCGTGGGGTGGCGCTGCGGTCGCAAACGTTACGAAGAGGTGAAATAGAACTGAAAGGAATTTCATGATGAAGCACTGGTTCAGCGACAGTTTCCAAGACAAATCCGCTTTCACCTCGACTGTCTTTAATCATATTGTCTTAATCATTCACATTAACACGGATGCCGGAGCCTTTTATAACTAACAGCCAGAATAGGTGAACACATTGGAGATTTCGGTAGCTGCAGACATTCTATTGCTTTGGCCGTCTCTCAGAAACCCAGACCACGCACTATTCGTGCGGCTAACACAGCATCTTGGGAAGCTACCCCAGATCTGGTGATGTGATATCTATGTTGGGTGCAGTGCGGGGAAATTCCCCTCTAATGAAACGCTGATCCGCCGGATCTTGCCTCTATTCGGGATCATAGTTCGACGTCGGACTGGCAGTCCGATTCTGAAGTTCCCACACTGGCGCTATTACATGCCTTCCTAATCCGATTCGACCGCATCAATAGTGATGTAACATCGTATTCCTGTCAACTCGGGTCAGATTGAACGTCACATGCCGCCGAAACATACATGTGCACTGAACAACATCCGATAATTTGGCAGCTTTCCGAAATGTCTTTAGACTTCATTAACAGCTCATATTTGATTCGTTTTCATAGCTCGTTTGTCAACCTATGCTCCTCTTCCATGACGGCCTGTATGGCATCAAGAGAGACAAGCTCTTGTCCTTGTTCCTTTGACATGGGCAGTAGCGGTCTTCGAGGTAGCTCACTATGTCCCAATACCATATGCACAAGCATTTTCAACCCGGCGATCTTCAGTCTTGTCAGTGTTCTTCCCTCGAGACTGGTAAGCATGATAACTCACTCCTATGCGTTGACACGCTCCATCCGCCATAGCCAACAGACCTTGAAGACGCTGAGCCTCATTGTAATCCTCAGAGCCTGGAGATGAGCCACATAGTTGCCAGAGCTTGACACATGTTTTCTGCGTGATTTTAAGCCAACTTTTCGGAGTATCAAGATGCAAGTGACTTACAGGAGCAAAGTTTGGAAGACCTGAGATAGCCTACAATGATAATACGGAGAAGATTGTTAGTCCAATTCCATTACGTCCTGGACATTGAGCCTTACCCCAGCAGCTCCGCTGGCTATCGATGGCAGCAAGATGTCAATGAAGCCATCGATGATCTTGAAGTTGTCCCCTTGACGACGACGTGGGTAGGTTTCCACGAAGGAAGACGCGGACAGCACTGCATTGATCCTTGTGATCTTACCAACGGACGCGCATCTTCCCCCAGTAAGTATCGCAGATCTTGCACAGATGTCTTTGATGTCAGGATTATTTACTCACGTCAACTTGACTCCGACGACATTGTCTGAGCCCTTCACAACATCGACAATCAGGTCACTGTCCAAATCGATGCCCCCTGATACAGCAGGAAAGTTGTAAAGAACCACAGGCAGCGGGCTTGCTTCAGCGACATCGATGAAGAACTTCGTTAGAGCAAGTCTTCCTGCCGGACTCCCCAGCTGGCCACCGTAATAGCCGGGAGGCAAGACCATAGTATAGTCGGCGCCCGCTGTTTCGGCCTTTTTGGCAAGTTCAATGGTTTCGCGGGTGCTTGGAGCACCGATACCGGCCACAATCGGCACATGTTGTAACCCTCCTTCGTCAAGACTAGCTCGAGCAGTCTTGATCAGTTGCGTACGCTCCTCGGCGGAGAGATGAGGGGCCTCGCCGGCTGAGCCTGCTACCACCGGAATGGTGCCCGCCGCAGCTACGTATCGCACGTGAGTTGCAAATGCATCTAGATCCAAATCTTCGTTGGGAAGGAAGAATGTAGGAAGGGGAGTGTAGATACCCCGAGGAAGGGGTCGGTGCGAGATAGAAGCCATGTTGCTTGAAAATGATGCAGCTTCAGTAGCAAACCCAGTTGCTTTCTGTGTGAAGAGACAAGGAGGTCAGACACAAATTATACATCGGCAATCACATGACACTTCCGCATGCACCTGATAGTGCTGTCGCCGAGCCTCCCGCCGAAACGCCGAGAAAAACCCACATATCGATGGGTGTCTCGCTGCAGAAATGCCATACATCAAGTGTTGAGCATTCAATCGTGGTTTGCGAACATGACATCCAGGTCATGTTCCGATATGTCGTGTTAGACAACGATGTTATGGAAAAGCATTTCGGTTACACAGAACAGGACCGAAACGTATTCTCATGCGCCCTAGACTACATATTAGAAGTGAACTATAGTGGTCACATATACACAAAAGCCGTACGATGGCAAGGGTTTGTACCTCAATTGCCCCTGCACATACAATATCATGGATCTAGTAATGGGTTTGATTCAACCTGCTCATACTGCTGTGCTATGTCCAACCCTACAAAGTGTAACGATATAGAGGCGAGTTCTCTTCCATACTGCTGAGCTCCTTCTGGCTATGTTCAGTGAGAATCCTATCGTGGTCCAAAATAGCTCTTCTCTCATTCTCTCTTCGCATGAGCCACCAGTGAATAGTAGCAGGGATCATTGCCCCGAGAACGGTTGCGCCAACTGAGAAGCCGAAACCCAAGGGATAGACAGGCGCTTGTTCCTCCAGATAGATATTGGAACCAATACCGCCACCACCAACAGAGCCAAAAAGCATCAGAAGTCCGATGGAAGCAGCCCTCTTGGAAGGGTTGGGAATATTGTTCGAAGTCCAAGCTCCGACAATCGGTGCCTGAGCACTGTAACCAGCGGCTGCGATGAATATCGCAAAGTATGACACCCCTGAAACTTGCGCAAAGTGAACACTGATCCACAAGATGACGATACCGGTAAGACCAACAGCATAGCATGCCATTATCGAGGCATAACGCTTCTGAAAGTGATCGCTCATCCAACCGTTGAAGATGCACACAATGGTGGCGAAAATGTAAGGTGGCGTGGTCAAGGCCTGGGCGCGGATGGCTGAATATCCCAGGTTCTTCACCATCGTCGGCAGAGTATACGACAAGGAGTATGTTGGAATGGAACCTCCCCACCAGAACATCATCATCATGAGCCATGTCTTGCGGTCGCGCGCAGCTGCCCAGACGTCACTCCAGCGGAACTCGTAGGTAGGAGCATCCGGACCAGAAGCGTACTTCACCCGCAACTTGGCGTAATCCAGCTCACTGGCGGTGAGCCAGCTAGTCTTGCGAGTCTCATTGTACTGGTGGGGAAAATGACTTCAAATCGTGTTAGCAGGACGATGTGGAATTCTGAGCAAGAACCCTTACGGAAGAAAGAAGATGGTCATGAGTCCAACAGCAACAGTGATGACACCTTCTATCAAGAACAGCCACTCCCAAGCAGCGTAGCCATGAGAGCCATCGAGATGACCAACGCCATACGCGATGACACCTGAAAAGGCGCCAGCTGCAGTATTTGCGCCATAGAATATGGCCATGCGCGTGGCAAGTTCCTTAGGCGTGTACCACATACTCAAAATGAAGTAAGATCCGGGATATAAGCCGGCCTCGGCGATTCCCAGGGCAAGTCGAATGGCTATGAATGCTCCGAAACTGCGGCAAAGACAGGTCAAGGTCGTAATCGTACCCCAAGTTACTATAATTATAGGGAACCAAATCTTGGGTCCAAGACGTCTAAGCAGAACATTCGAGACGGGTTCCCATAGACCGTATGAGAAGAAGAACACCATTAAGCCCAAGTTGAATTGCGTTGAAGTCATGTTGGCGTCTGTAACGAAGCCGAAGATCTTGGCGTTGCCAGCATTCGACTTGTCCAGTGAACACAACAGGTAGAGAACACTCAGAGTGGGTAGAAGGCGCCAATCGACTGCATCCAATCAGTTAATCATAGGGAAACTAAGTCTCAGAATCGCATCAACACGTACGTTTCTGCAAAAGCCTTTTTCTCCCAGCACCCTCAAACTGTCGATGCAAATCCAGATACCTCTCATACTCAGAGTTTGGAGGGTTTGCCTGACCCTCAGCCACACTAGCTTTTGACGAAGGAGAGTTTTGATCCGGTGTCTTCTTTTCGACATCTTCGATTGAGGATGCGTCGTGAGGTTGAGCGCTCATGGTGAGAACACCGAGAATTGGTCGGAGAATGGAACAACAAGCAAGCGACAACGAGAAACGACAATGTCGAAAAGTCGAAAGTTGGCATTTGAACCGGAAAGCAGAGCGGCAGATCGAGACAACTTACATGCCGCTATCTGCAAGAGATTGTTGTGCCCCGCTGATCCTCTGTTGATAACGACAAGCAACCGGCTTGGCCGCGTCGGCGACTCGGCGCCTCGGCGTTTTGAACTCACGGTCTCGGTGTCATTGCTATCGGCGCGTCAGCTAGAAACTGCCCCATTGGCACCGACCATCATCCAAGACGCTTCGAACCAATCGTCAACGGTCTGATAAAGTCCAGCCCTGTGGTTCTTAGCCCGACCGAGGCAATCCGGAGTAGGTATAAGTAAAGCCTGATTGATAGCACAGGATCTTCCCCGCCATCTTATCCATCTTATCTCACAAACTTTCACAAAATTGACAAAGGGAGGACCGATACGGAAACAATTACCCGGTTGCCGTACTCATCTTATTCTACAATACCGAACCCAAGGGGCTTCGAGAGGCTTGCTACCATGGCGCCCTCAGCCACGACTACATCACCCGTCCCCGGCCCTGCAGAGCCTCTGGCGACCAAGCTCGTCACGCGACCCGTTAAGGAAGATGGCTCCGCACTGTATCCCGAGTTCATGCCCTTCTATGACCCTCTGGAGAAGGTAGAAGACATCGGGTCTTTCGAGCACTTCGACCCCGGGCACCGCGCTGACCCAAAGCTCCCCAATCTTCTCTCAACAGCAACCAAGGTCATTGACCTCTCGCCCCACGTCGGCACCGAGATCGAGGGGGTTCAGCTGTCGCAGCTATCAACTGAAGGACTGGATGAACTCGCGCTTCTCGCTGCCAAGCGTGGGGCCTTAGTCTTTCGCAACCAGGACTTCCGCGACATCGGCTTCGAACGCCAGAAGCAAATCGTACGCCATTTCGGTCCACTGCATATCCATGGATGGGCGCCACACCCTGCTGCTGGCTCTGAGGAGCACATGATTATCTATGATCACAAAGAGGATCTACGTGTGCGCAAGTCTTGGAGGGGTCGCAGCCCCGTGCAATGGCACACCGACCAGTCCCCCGAGCCTCAGCCCCCTGGTACCACCTTCATCTGCATGCTCGAGTCACCCTCTGCCGCTGGTGGTGACACACTTGTGAGCTCTAGCGTTCAAGCTTTCAAGGCCCTGTCACCGAAGTTCAGGAAGAGGCTGGAGGGGTTGACTGCTATCCACTCCAATAACGATGGTGTCACCCAGGAGCTGAAGAACGGCCAAAACGCAGTCATGAGAAGACAGCAACTGGTTCAAGAACACCCTGTCGTCATCGTTCATCCCGTTACCAGAGAGAAGGCACTATGTAAGTTGACCTCAGGAGGACACAATACGATATTTGCTGACAAGGACTTAAAAGATGTCAATCCCGTCTACACGAAGAAGATCGTTGGGTTCGACCAAGAGGAATCTGACTACCTCCTGAACTTTTTGTTCGATCACATCGCTAAGAGACAGGATTTCCAGTGCCGTGTCCGCTATGAGGCTGGCACCGTTCTCATCTGGGATCAGCGTGTCACGAACCACTCTCAGACCCTTGATTACCCTGCTGGTGAGCGCAGGCATGCTTTCCGTCTGACTCCATTGGCGAATAAGCCTATCCCAGCAAAGGTTGAGGAGGACGATGGTGAATGTGAGAAAGACTTCGGGCGGGTATCTCTTGGACTCTGCTAGAAGAATCATCTCTTCGTTGTACAGTTCTCTCGAGCTAGAATGTGAACAAATATTCGTCTGAAAACTCGGGTGTATGCCAGTGTTGGCTTTGCCACTGTCTCCAAGAGTCGAAAATCGCCCCAGTACTATTCAAATCCCCAGTTTCATTCGTATCTTCTGTGACACCCCAGACAGACGGGTCAATTATTTCGTCAGGTCTTCTTTGGCTTCCATCCACCACCTCTTCATTGTCTTTTGTTGTGTGGTGGATTGTTGACTGTCGTAGAGCGTCCTCGTCGGGCAGCTGCGAAACGTCGTGACTATCTTGAAGCCGGGAATTGATCCGCACCGAGTTTTCGAAAAAGTGAAGGATAGACTTTGCATTGGGCCAATACTCTGCGAGGTGTTTCAGCGACACCAGAGCTGAATCGTATCTTCTAAGGGCCGATATGGCAAGCAAGGGGTTCGAAATGCGTATTTCGGTGCTCAACTGAACCAAAGCCGAGAACAAACAGTTTATGGTCGACATCCAAAGACATCGTATGCCATCAGTTTGGCATAAGGTCTGGAAAAGTGATTGGATCACTCCCGCAGCAGCCGTGCATATCTCGGCATTGTCATCGCGCTTCGAACTTTCTACGCCGCTGACGTCTCGAGATGAAGCTTTTGGAGGGGCCCTATGAAGAAGAATGAGAGCCATGTTGTAGTGTAGATGCAGATTTGTGTTCCATACACCGGCTCCTAGGGCACCATGGAGATTTAGTGACTGTGGCAGCCTCAACGCCCAGCTGGCCAGCCTCTCATCGGTTTTGTGCAAAACGATGCGCCTAACCTCGTCACTTGAAGCTCGATTTCTCTCCCGCATTGCTTTTGATACTATGATAGCCAGTTCAGACATTTGGATGAGGCTTTCAGGCTGTGCATCCGGCCCGCAGTCGGTAAAGTCTGATACTTTCAGCTTTTGCACATTTGAGTCCTCGAGGTGGATTGACTGTGGCCGCCCGTATTGGAGCGAGATCCATACATCGCTTTGGAAAAGCAGCCACCATACTCGTCGCCACATGCGCTTATTGTGTTGGACTAATGTGCTGAATTCTGCGTCACGATGCATTCCCAGGCCAGTGGCAATGCGAACAGCTATTCCAAGCCAGTACCATGCGTTCGCTGTCGTGTCTTCCAATCCGTCTGTATGCCAAGTAAGAAGCAAAGCCGCTTGGACAATGGTGTCGCGATTTAATTCGAATCTAGCATCCAGTAGGCTTTTGGCACGACGAAAATAGGTTGCCTTAGCGAGATGTCTCTTTTCGGAATCCTCTTCGTAAAGGGCATGGCTACCAACAAGAAGGATAGCGTAGAGAAGTAGGAGTGAAGGCGGATTCAAGGAATCTCTAGCTCGATACTGGCCCATGAAGATACGCTCATCAACTACGGGGAACCCCGGGTTAACGTGTCGAAAATAGGCCTCCAGAAGTTCGTCTACAACAACTTTTGGTGGCAATTGAAATGTGTCTAGAGGCAGTCGATCCACCGGATCGTGACCCGCCACTCGCCGTGAGATGCGATTTGTTGGGTAATGGCAGACTTTGGATGTGTGAACAGCAGCTCCAAATTGCTGTTGAATGAGATAGTTGACGTTCGAAACATCTGTACCAATGTAGGTCATACGGGCTTTGTTGTCGATTGGTCGATTTACAAGCTCTGGCTGGTCAATAAACTCAACCAGATGTCGCTTATAAAGATATTCGCCATCTTCTTGTGCGTGAATGTCGATTCCTGTGACGCCAAAGCCGACTGATCCAGGGGTTGATTGAACTGGTCTCTGGCCTTCCGATTGTTCTGTTACAGGCGAGGTTGGTGAGCCCCCTTTCTCAGCAGCAACAGTGATAATGCCGTCCGCCGTTGAGAGGATGGCCGTACGCGTTGGCGAAGTAGGCGGGTGTCTTTCAACTTCAACTGAAGAGTGCGAAGAACGGCGAGCTGTAGCTGCTCGAGATACCCGTTTGCGTTTCTGATGAGGACGACAGTCATCCCGAGAGCCTGCTTGACAATTTGAACATGGGATTCCAACATCATGAGCGTCGCATTTGACCTTCCGATGGTGGCAAGTGCTGCAAGCTGCTCTTGCTGGTATGCAGGTCAGTCTTTCGTCCGCCCTTTTGTCTCCGCAGCGAATGACTGAGAGCTAAACTCACTTGTGAGATTTGACCTCATCGTCTGTGTCATTTTGAATTCGACTATGCGTTGGCTCCCCCTTTCCTTGTCGGTGTTGATGCCGAGCATGAAAGGGGGGAATCTACAGAGTACTCAGACGTTGACGGCTCTGGAAACCCCGTTTTCCACACAGAACACCTCCATGCTATCACCCCAGATTCTCTCCACCAATGCAACTTCGATCATCCCGAGTGAGATAAGACGCTGCAGATAAATGTGCCCCGTGTTAATTATGCTGTAGACTAATCCGGAACATGTGATTGGTGGACCATAGTCGCCGCTTATCATTGCCCGTCCGTCGTTATCACACAGTCTTGCCCGGAGTGTCGGCCTGTCGGCCCAATACCGACTCTTATCTTTTAAAGGCCGATGATAAGATGGGACCGGCAGTGGAAGTCGGCCGCAGCGGCGATCTCACCTTCGCGCGTCCGGATGTGTGCACATGAGAATCGCGTTACCAAACAACTTTGTGGCATCTCCCACGGCCGGAACCAAAAAAACACACCGCGAAACATCTTTGTTTCATCGGTGCACCTGATATGTCTTCCACGACCGAGTTCAACCTCGTGATCACCAATGGTGTTTGCGTGACAGCAAGCGATGTTGCAGCGTGGGATCTTGCCATCAAAGATGAAAAGATCGTGCTGCAGGCACCATCCGGATCGCTATCTAAGGCGAGTTCCAAACGAATAATTGATGCCAGAGGCGGTTATGTCATGGTCAGTTTTTTCACCTGCACGATTAACTTTTTGATAAAACGAGTCATTTCACTAATACAATTGCAATCGACTAGCCTGGTGGAATAGACTGCCATGTTCATCTTGAGGAACCTGCAATTTATTTCAAAGGTTCTACCGGCCGCTCAGCTGACAGTTGGGAAACTGGAACTCGGTCGGCCGCGGCTGGAGGCAACACAACCGTCGTCGCCTTTGCGCCTCAGAGAAAGGGCGAAGACAACTCCCTGTTAAGTGCGGTCAATGCAACCCATAAGCTTGCAACAGGAAACTGCTACACAGATTATGGCTTTCATGTCATCATCTCTGATACCAGCCCCAAGGTGTTGTCCGAGCTGAAGACACTCAAGAGTGAGGAAGGAATTTCCTCCGTCAAGATCTACATGACGTACACGGCTCTCCAGCTTCGCGACGACCAAATTCTGAGCATTCTTCTAGAAGCACGTCAGAATGAGATTCTTACTATGATCCATGCTGAGAATGGTGATGTTCTCAACTGGCTCACAGATCAACTTGAGTTACAAGGCAAATTTGCGCCAAAGTACCACGCAAACTCGCGCCCGCCTATCCTCGAAGCTGAGGCGACCAATCGCGCAATAGCTCTATCATCCCTCATCGCTAACACACCTATTCTGCTCGTGCATGTCAGCGATCCCTCGGCCTCCTCACGCATCCGCATCGCTCAATCCACTGGACAGCCTATCTTTGCAGAGACCTGCCCGCAGTATCTCTTTCTGACAAGAGATGACCTGGACAAGCCTGGCTTCGAAGGTGCAAAGTGTGTGTGCTCACCTCCGCCCCGGACGAGTGCCGATCAGGACGCTATCTGGACGGGTCTCGCGAACGGAACTTTTACGGTACTCAGCTCTGACCACTGCCCATTCCGATTCAATGACCCCGTGGCGGGTAAGAACTCTTGCGTCACGGCTGACCATCCCGTGGGTCAATTCCGCTATATACCCAACGGTCTGCCTGGTGTTGAGACTCGATTACCTCTTGCGTTCTCGGCACAAAGGCTAGCCCTGACAAAGTTCGTCGAGATGTCCTCCACCAATGCGGCTAAGCTCTACGGTCTGTATCCTCGAAAGGGTGCAATGATCCCTGGTGTCTCGGATGCGGACTTGGTCATCTGGTATCCGGAGGACGAGCTCGGTGACTTCCAAGTTGCAAACGACTTACTTCACCACGATGTCGACTACACGCCTTATCAAGGACGAAGTGTGAGGAATTGGCCGAGATACACGATATTGAGAGGCAATGTGGTTTGGGACCGGGATGGAGAAGGCATTGTCGCGTCAAAAGGTGTTGGCCAATTCATGAAGCGTGGATCCAGCACCTTAGGACAGGTCTGGGAGACGGTGAGGAAAGCTGGCCCACTTGATTTGGAGAGCCTTTGATGCAACTCATCTGATGTTACATCTTCTGGTTCTGCTAGAGTAATCATTTACAGGACATATTGCCTTCAAGAAACATACTAAGTCAGGTGCAAAGACCAGAAGCATGCGTCAGCGGGAGGCACTCAAGATGACATGACTGGTTGTCCATATTCTGGATCGGCCTTCGGCCCTTCGGACTGGGATCCTTGGGGTTCGGCTGCATCACCACACGGAGCGGGACCGGAGCGAAGCGCCCCTGTAGACACTTTTCATCCTGTAGGTCTTAGATAAGCGTGCTTTAGGAAATGCTAAAGGATTCGCCAAAGCGGGTACCTAATACGACTAGGGCTCTCCAACTCGTTTTGCATCTCGCAGTTGCTATTGGATGCATCATCAGGTCACCCCTCTTCTGACGAAGAGGTTTTTCTCTCAGTTCTCTCTGGCCGAAACTATCAGTATTCGCCTTGTCAGATCATTTACGCCCGTGACCTTATTCAGGAATGGGTTGGGACGACACTCTCGGCGCCGTCGCCAGCATTGGCAGTCTCTTACAGATGACGTGCGAGATCACAAAACTGAGTTACAGCTATCTTTCTAGCGTGCGAAACGCGGATTATACCCGGAGGGAGTATCTAAGAGAGGTTAACGCTCTTGTTGTGGTGCTTCTACATCTCAAGCAAGCCCTTGGTGCAGAGAATGCTGCCATTCTTTCTAGCGATGGTGCCGAGGCTCAATTGCGAGGTTTAGTATCGACTTGCGAGAATGAGCTAAGGACCATCCAAGCGACACTGGGAGTGGCGGCACTGGGCGTTTCAAGACTACTTTGGCCAGTCAAGGAGAATGACCTGAGAGCACAGATCGACACCTTCCAGCGAAATCGAGCCATGTTCGATAGTTTCGCCTCATCCAGCATTCTCGCCACCACCAAAGCGACTTTGAAGAAGGTCGATCCCTTGGTGCTGTCACACGAGCGCAGTCAGCTTTTAGCAGCTCTTCCTAAGCCTACCATCTCGAAGAGAACAGAAACTTGTCCTGGAACTGGCCGATGGTTCCTAGAATCGGAGACCTATGACCAGTGGCTGAAACCCGAACCTCCTTCTGCATTCCTATGGTGTCATGGTCCGCCTGGGATTGGTAAATCCGGCATCGCATGGCTCGTGGTCAAGGGCCTAAAAGAGCGACAGCAAAAGGATCAGAGACTACTTCTGTGTTATTTCTTCTGCGACTTCATACAGCAGAAGAGCCAGACAACTTTGGCTGTGCTCCAGTGCATGGCCTACCAGTTGATAGCTCAAGGCGACAACGTTGTAATTGAAGCTGCAAAGAATGTTTTGTCAGACTTCGATGCATTTCAGGACGCTGAAGCTCTAGTTAGGTTTATCATTAAAGTGGCAGAGTCTGACTACAATGTCGCTTGTGTTCTGGATGCAGAAGATGAAATCTGGTCATCGGAGCTCTTGACCAAGCACTTTAAACGTTTTGCCGACGCAGGTTGCCGCGTACTTGTTACAAGTCGCCGTCAGTACGAAGATGCTATGCCTTCTGCTTCCGTATCGGTTACTTCTGTTGTCATGGAAAGTCCCACCCAAGACATTCGCAGACTAGCGCAAAGTCGTCTGTGTGAAAGTCACGACAGTCCATTGAGAGATCAGGTGACTCCTGAGTTGATTGATTGTGTTGTTAAAAGATCGAATGGGATGTAGGTATTCAGACATCCCCCGCCTTTTACTCTGGAAACTACGACTATGAGAACTAATACAAATACTTCGACAGATTCCTCATTGCTCATGTTCTGATCGGACATCTCCTAGAGCAAACATCAGTCAAAGCCATGAGGCATATTCTCGACACCGCCAAAAGTGGCAGTATCAACGATGTGTTTGAATCTAGTTTACAACGAATCGATAACCAGCCCCCACCGCACAAAGCTCTGGCCCACAGAGTGATCGGCTGGATTATCAACTCGAGGAGGGTTTTGACGACAGATGAGATGTTGCACGCGTTCGCTACAGAAGACATGGATGAAATTGATCAAGAATCTGTTACGAGCCAAAGCCTCATGCTACGGGTCTGCGCTGGACTTGTGGTGGTGGATGACATGGCCAATGTCCGACTTACCCACACGTCAGTATTCGAATTCTTCGAGCCGCACAAAAGCAACCTCTGGGATGTTCAAATCGACATCGCGCAATCTTGTATCCGATACTTGTGTGTCAAGCCTTTTTCAGAAGGTCCAGCAAAAGACGTGGCTGAGTTGCGTGGCCGACTCACTGATATGCCGTTCTTGGACTATTCAGCTCACCACTGGGGTCACCATATTATCGACCAGAACATGGAGAAATCGCTCTTCCCTTTGCTGGAGAAGCTACTGGCATCCGAAAAGACGCGGTGGAGCTCATTCCAAGTTCTCCAGTTTGATTCCAGTATCAAAAACACCGCTGTTGCCGCCGATATTTTCGCTACGATTCCTTATGGACAAGACGCACTCCACCTGGCAGCATTATGGGGACTGTCACTCTTTTCGAAGAGCCTACTTTCAAAAGGTTGTCCACCGTCAACATCCGACTCTCAGTCATGGACGCCACTACATTGGGCTGCCGCAAACGGTCATGTCGAGGTCGCGGCGGCTCTTGCCGAAGCTGGAGCATATCTCAATGCAAAGGATTCAGAAGGATGGACTCCGTTATTTTGGTAAGCACTGCAACCTGTTTAGAAAGTCTTCTGCTAATCAAATCCACACCAAAAAGGGCGGCATTTGGCGGGCATGCACCAGTCGTGAAGATCCTCATAAAATTGGGTGCGGATCCTTCAATCAAAAGCAATCGTGACCTCACCGCGCTAGACTGGGCAATTGGACGTCACGAATTCGATGTCGTCAGATTGCTGCTTGAATCTGACCAGGATGCTGACAGTAATAAGTCGAAAGCTCCTAAAGAGACTGCTATTGCAAAGTCGGATCTTGAAACCATTGGAAAGGCTATCGGTCTATCCTACTTCCGTGGTCCTACACACAAAGTCTATCTGCAGGATGTATTACCATCTACTAGAGATATGTCCTGGCTCGAACGGCCAAGTGAGGTCACCGTTGCCATCAACGACGCTTACGGGCAGTTCCAACCGCCGGTCTCTGAATCCACATGGCGCGTTGCAAGGAAGACTGGCGCAATCGAGGTTTCATCGAAGCAGCTTTTCATGAAGCAACCAGAGACTTGGAAGTCGAGCCTTTTACAAAGCGCCATTATTTCCCGTAACCTACCCGCGGCGCGAATGCTGGTCGAGATCGGCGCGGATGTCAACGCCCGCGAACAGGGTCTTTGTCCTGTTTATGCTGCCGTGCGATCTGAGATTACGACTTTTTTCGATCTGCTTCTCTCAAATGGGGCGGATGTCGATTTCGAGCATGAGGGAAGCTCCCCTCTACTACAAGCCGTCCGGAGTTATGACTATGTCTGGGGAGGCAAGATGGCAAGCGTCGCTGTAGTGGAACGCTTGCTTCAACACGGAGCAAATGTGAATCAAACACAAAAAAGAGGGGGTGGTCTCAAAGACTATGCTGTGTTCAAATTTGAGGGCTACACTCCACTGATGCATGTAGCTGGGGCGAAGTCACCTGAGTTAACCAAGCTCTTGATTGCCTACGGCGCAGACGTCAACACTCGTAACGCCACGGGGAATACTGCACTTATATTGGCCGCGAAAGATGGGGATATAGATACCATCGAAGCGCTTCTTTCCAACGGCGCAGATATTCATTCGTGTAATGACAACGGAAATACCGTTCTGCATGCCGCGACATCCGGGTTCCGACCTACAGTCGAGTTGCTGACACTGCTCCTCGACCACGGAGCTTCGAAAGACCTTCAGTGTTTGAATACCAGTGGACACACGCCTTTTCGAATACTTCTTGACAAGCACGCCTACTTTGGTAGAAACCACGAAGAAGATACAGGGGTCTTGGAAAGTCACATTGCCCTGTTCTTGCGTTTCGAGCCCCCGGGCACTGGCATCGTCAAACAGGTCTGTCAAGATGGACAGACACTCATTCAAGCTATCAAGAGAAACTCCGAGTCGGTATTGCAAGCTTTGATGGCGCACGGCGCGGCTCTACCTCCAGCCAACGAGTTGCTAGAACTGTTTTACGAAGAAATTGGCAATCGAGGCTCAAAGCAAATGATTCTGCTGGATAAAGTGGCCAGTATCAGCAGTCTGGCCAACCCCCGCGTCACCTTCTTATACTTGATTTTCATTTCAACAAAATTCTTCGGCGACCACGTCAACGAAGACACCGATGACACACTGGACGTGACGAGCCCGGAACCCTTACCGCTGCGTAAGCAGCGAGACCGCATGCGTAGTTACCAGGAGGATGGATTCTTGGAGATTCTCAGTACTCTCTATGATCTCGGATTCAACCCAAACTTAATGCTCGGAGAGACCTTTGTCAATGCTGTTGCGCGTCACGACCGCCCGTTTAGTAAGATCATCGGATACATAGAGAGCTTGGGCGGCCAAACCGCTTTAGAAGAAGACGAAGGAAGAATAACTAGACGGGGCGTGTTCATTTCGGCCATCGCCTTTGCGTCCCAACACGTCCCTTCAGCCAAGATTGTAACGACGCTGGTCGAGCAACACGAAACCAAGACTGGCATCAAAGACCGTACCCTTCGAATGGAAGTCTTGGTCCGATCAGCCGTATATGAAAACATGGCTGTCTATGATGGCATACCAAACGACGTTCTGGTAGTTTATAAAGAGGATGACGCCACCGAACAGCAAGCAGAGTCGGCTTCTACTGAGGAGGAAGAGTTTCTGCTCACGGTCAAAGCCTTCCCAAAGCCAGGAGCTGACGACTTTTATGTCGCATTCAGCCATGCAGTCGAGAGAGTCGGTCTAAAAGACAGGTGCTATGAAGGTAGCAGAACACTACTTGATCTTGCGGAAAGAGCGGGAAATCAGCAGTTGGTAGATGTCTTAGTCGAAGGTGGGTTTCCTAGGGGTGTTCATCATTCGGCCACTTGACAGAGCTGCAAGAGTTCTGAGTCTGCTAGTCTACCAAGAGATACGGAGTCATTCTTTTTTATGTAATTCCGGAAGAGAGTCATTTGTTGGTCCTCAGCCATTACATGTAGTGGAATGAAGAACAAAGATTTACGTTTCTGTCTTACACACAGATTTTGGGGAAGCTTCATAGGCAGTAGTTGGCATGTCAAAGTCACCCCTTGTGAATTATCCCACTGCAGACTTTACCACCTGGAAGATCATGCTAATGTCTTCGCCCAAAAGGCAATGAAAAACAAACAGTTGCCAAATACAATGTAGTCAGGTTGGACTGGCGCCACAAATGCATTGAGAGTCCTGCATCTTCGAGCACCGAGAGCTTCAAAAGATACATGCCGGTTCCGGCTGCACCCGGGCCGGTGCAAACCGCCACCCGGTCGAAGTGGGGACTATGCTACGCCCTTGGATTGACGTTGAAGCTTCCGACAAGGACAATGCGAAGGTTGATACTACATGTAACGAACTGAATTATCAGTAATCAACAATAAAGGAACATCTTCACCATCTCTCTCTTTCTTAAAAGAGTTATAGTTACCCTCGAACTTCGAGCCAAGATTCAGTACCATCAACCCCGCATTTCGCCAAGATCGCTATCATTAATTTCTCATCAAACGCTCACTTTGATAACCAAAGTTCACATCGATAAGTCGCAATGGCTAGCTTGAAGGACTTCCGTGTTCTCACTTTCGATGTCTACGGAACTCTAATCGACTGGGAAGGCGGCATGCTCACGGCCCTGCAACCCCTTTTGGACGAGAACAAGCGCACAGACTTCACCCGCAAGCACCTCCTGGACGTCTACCACGAGCTTGAGGCCAAGCAGCAGACAAAGACGCCAGACATGCCTTACTACCAGCTCGTGGCCACCATTCACCCCCAGATTGCTGAAAAACTTGGCCTCGCAGCTCCGACGGCCGAGGCTTCGAAGGCCTTCGGCGACTCAGTCGGCAACTGGCCTGCGTTTCCCGACACCGTGGACGCGCTGCGCCGTCTTCAAAAGTTCTACAAACTCGTCGTTCTGTCCAACGTCGACCGCGAGTCTTTTGCGAAGAGCAACGCCGGCCCGCTTCAGGGTGTGCCTTTTGATCTTGTGGTGACTGCGCAGGATGTGGGGTCTTACAAGCCTGACCAGCGCAACTTCAGCTACATGCTGCAGAAGGTCAAAGAGACATTTGGTGTGGAGAAGGACCAGGTGTTGCAAACGGCTCAGAGCCAGTTTCACGACCATCACCCGGCTAAGGAGGCGGGTATCAAGTCGTCTTGGATTGTCCGACCCGGTGCGGTTATGGGAAACAGGGATGTTGAGATTTTCGACTTCAAGTTTGACACGTTGGGACAGATGGCAGATGCTCTTGAGAAGGAGCTGGCATAACCGACATCTACTTTGAGTTTGGGCATTTTTAGTTGGTTCTAGTGGTGTCGTGAGTGAAATAACCATGAATCAGAGACCCTAAAGAACTCTTCACACTCCGTCTAAGGCGCCTCCTTACGTAGCGTGTGTTTGATCTCTCAAATGAAGAGAGATGTTCGACCACTAGACTTAGTCTATAACTTAGAGGATCTGTCTTCATCATTCTAAATCTCACAATGTCTCTATCTTAACAGTGTTCATTCATGAGTAGCCTTACCACGCAATGCGTCGCTATCATCAGCTATTATCTCTAAAGATAGGCGGAGGAGTTTGACGGCCGGTTATGACAACCGGTCGATGCTCCCGGTACGGCAATATGGAGATCTTACCATGCGATGAAAACATGACACATGATAATTCCAGTTCAAGTTGGTTTTGTCTTGGTGTTTACTTCAAAGACTGTGCCGAAAGCCCGAAGTGGGGTACACAGGAGCTACCCATGTCCACCGGTAAGCTCAATCTGTACACCATAGGGCTGAGAATAGAGTTCGAGTACGCCCTTGAATCGACATCTCTCGTCAACTCACAGCTTTTAGTCGAATCGGAATCTGGTGCGACATTGGCCAAACTTCGGAGCCTCCGCACCGATCCCGATCCCGGGGCCCGGCCCGGCCGACACCGGGGCTGCCAAGTCGAACACTGCACTAGCGTCGAAGCGGGAGGAACGTGGGGGAACTTCCAGTCTGCCACAGTCAAGCCAAATAACTCAACACATGATCCTCTGTCACATTAACGTAATTTGATTGGATCACCAACCTCTTTTAGACTTCGTCGCATTGCGCTCGGCAAACTACACGGCAAAGGACAGTAAAAGTAGTGCAAGCATGGCATCCGACCTCCTCGCCGTGTTTCCGACCCAAGCCCCGGCTAGACCTTCAACCAAACTCCGTTTTGCAGATGTAAGGGCAACACCTGCGACTAACACGGATCTCTTTTTCATCGTACTAATCATCCAAGCAGGTCGCAGTCACCGCCACCGCAAAAGATTTCGCGGGTATCTACAGAGGCAAACAGTATCACCAACCAGACTTCGATGCGGTGCTCAACCGCGCGCTCGCCGCGGGCGTCGAGAAGGTGATGCTGACGGGCATGTCCCTCTCCGATGCCGCAACGAACCTCTCCATCGCGAAATCACGCCCAGAGGGTTCATGCTTCGTCACGATCGGCATCCACCCGTACCACGCAGCGGAGCCGGATGCAGAGCCGGATGGCGGCGAGGACGGCCACTTTGCCAAGCTCGCGCAGACAGTCCGTGATGCGTTGGCCCCGACGTCTGGTGGCATCAGTCTGGTGGCCGCTTTCGGTGAGCTGGGTCTGGACTACGACCGGCTCAATCATGCCTCCAAGGAAGCGCAGCTTCGCACGTTCAAGCGCCAACTAGACCTTTTCGTTGCGGAAAAACTTGATCTGCCACTCTTTTTGCACTGCCGTGCAGCGTATGATGACTTTGTGGAGGTTATCAAGCCGTACCTCCCCAATCTTCCCCGACGAGGACTTGTGCACTCCTTCGTGGGGAGCGCGGAGCAGATGAAGGGACTGGTCGAGATGGGTTTCGACGTCAGTGTTAATGGCTTTAGCTTCCAGGACAGGGAAAGCTTGGAGATGGTTCGCGAAATTCCATTGGACCGGCTGCAGATCGAGACGGATGCGCCTTGGGGAGAGATCCCTGCCGGTTCGGAGTTGGCGAAAAGGTACCTTGCTAACGCCCCGAGTCTGCCTCAGAGTAAGAAGAAAGACAAGTTTGAGTTGGGCTTGATGGTAAAGGGGCGCAATGAAAGCTGTACGATGGATCGAGTTGCGTTCGTGGTTGCTGGGTTGAAGGGAATCACCGTGGAGGAGGTGGCGGAGGCTGCATGGAGAAATAGCGTGAAGATGTTCGGTTTAGGAGGAAAATGGTAGTTTTGGTAGCAAAAGCACAAGCATAATTGATATCAAACTCTTCGCTCTCATGGTAAAAGCTTTATATCTGTTCAAGACGGAGCCAAGCTGAACAGCGCCGTAAACAGTGTCCCCTCAAAGCGTTTTCTCAACCAGCACGATCCCCTCCACCTCAACTGCCTTACGAATAGGATCGCAAATTTCCGCCTTGTAGGGTGCCAAAACTCCAGTGACATTGAGCGCAGGCTCACCGTTGAGTAGCAACTGAGTGGCGATGCCACAAGTTACGCCGACCGACTTGGCCATCGCCGAGTACCCATTTGGTTCTCCAAGAAGCTCCAGAGTTGAGGTGATTGTGTCCTACTCAGAAGCCGCCGTCAGTTTCAAGTGCCGCACTATGATCGAACAAGACAGGGATCCCTTTACCTTGGAACCATCCTTCCATTCAACGACAAACTTGTGCTGAAGCATCACCAGGTCCCTCTCTCCAGGTTGGAAGCTCATGAGCTTCTCGAGTTCCGCGCATAGAGTGTCCAGAAGATTTCCTCGAAGAGTGGCCGGATTGTCGCAGAACAGACCGATCCATCGCAAGCCTTCGATGATGCTCTCCCTCTCAGCGTTACTGGTGAAGTCGCAAAGCTCTTCGATACCATTAATCAAGGCCCTGTGCAAGTCAGCGAACATCTCCAGTATACACCAAAGACAAGCCATCATACTTTTCATCAAAGTCTTTGGAGTTGATGCATCTTCCCAGGACCTCCTTCAAAGTCAACCCTTCATTCTTAGTGGCCAGCCATTCCTTGGGCTGTGTGTCCAACCACCCCATCCTGATCAACGCCCGCACGAAAGCCGGGTTGCCGGCATATCTCAAAGACCCGCGGATGACCGTTTCTGCCTCCGGTATGTTGTAGAACTCGCGGAACGGGACGGAGTTGCGGTTGGGATACGCAACGAAGGAGTACCCGTCCATGACGTGGTACGGCTCCGCGTGCGCCATGAGATGCTGATTGGAGATCTCAACCACCTTGCCATCCTTGAGGAAGCATGCCGAGTTGAACTGCGACAGGAGAGCTCCGCGCGGGGACCAGGAGAACTTGAACTTAAGGGGGTTATCGGCGCACTCCGGAGAAGGCAGACCGCCGCAGTATGAGTAGAACTCCTTGACCTGGCGCAATACATTAGCAAGAGCGGTGCTCCGAAACTGGTTCCAGTGCAGCTTCCCACCTTTCCGCCCTTGGCATGCACTTCATCAATGGTTTTGATGGCGTACAAGTGGTCAACTCCAGGATCGACTCCAACCTCGTTGAGAACCGTGATCCCAGCTGCCTTGGCTTCGGCTTCCAGCTCTCGGATCGCAGGCGAGACGTAACTCGTGGTCACGACGTGGGTGTTGCCGCGAATTGCCGCTTTGATCACCGTTGGATGGTAGATGAAGGGCACGAGGGAGATCACGACGTCATGTTCAGCAAGGTGGGTGTCCAGTTCAGGAGAGGCGACGTCGAGAGCAATGGCGGTCGCCCGGGAATGGTCCGCGGCAAGGGTCTGGGCTGTGCTTAGAGTTCGACAAGCTAAGAGGGAGCAAGTCAGCTTCTGGTTCGGCCGGTTCTTGGAACGGGTCAAGAACCAATTGTCAATTTGTTCCGTTCATCGCGAAGGAGGTAATCAACACAGGGCTTGGCAACGAGGCCGCTTCCGAGGACGAGGATTCTTTTGTCAGTAGACATGGCGAACCTAGTTTGGCGATTTTCGGCAGTGGTTCAGTTGGCTAGTTGCTGGGAAGAATGAAATTGGACTGATGCTGCAACTGATATATTGAATGATGCCAAGAAACCCAGACTTATAAACGATTTCACCGTGAGCGTCGCCATTTGGCTGCTGATAGGCTTTGAGTCCCGGACACTATCTTCACACCTTTCATCGAAACACCGTGACTTATTCGGCGACATGATTGCTGCATGGCGTCCTACCCTGATAGATGGTCTCACAGACATTGGTGAGAACCAATTTGAGGATGCGTTGAGATATGGCCGTCCCGGAAGCGGATCGGCCGGGCGGGGGTTATCGGCGGCACACCGCAACGCTCGGGATCTCCTGCCTGAATCAGAGCTCCAGTCACATATCCTTCCGAATCGAGAAACGCAGCGTCTCAAATAGGCCTAAACGAGTCAAATTTGTCAGCGAGAACAATTCCGCAATTGATGAATGGGGATTCGTAAGGTACCGGGTAACCGCTGTGTATCTTGGCTTTAACCCCCATGTTCACTACCGCGATTGACACCAATGATCACTTGCCATATCTTTAGTTTGTTAGCAACACTTTCGTCACAGGACCCTCAATTTGATTGCTCATTAAGTCAGTGTCGGACGTCATGTTGTCGAGCTCGGCTGTTGGCAGGCATCTCCGCGCTGGCCTGATCTCAAGAGGTCCAAGAGTCATCACTCTTCATAGATTGCGCGCCGTTGTCTGGCCAGATTCCCGGCAAATTAAGCGTCTCTTTCTAATGGAAGGCATATAATGATCAGGCAATTGAAGAGCATAGGTCGCAAAAGACTTCACTTTTCATCGAGGCAAGAAAGATGCGCAGCTGTTGATGGCTGACAACGACGAGCGAATGATTGGGCTATTCGACTTCGGAGACCCGCAGCCATATTGGTGAGCTCGGTGAGGCATGGCCCGAGCTCCTTCACCGAGGGGCACACCTTATTACATCACCCATTCTGCCATCCGATAACAATTTCGCATTTCTCATCAATCGCTTCCGGTTGACCACCCCGCCAAACGCACCACCACACAGCCCAACATGTTTGTCAGGTCGTTCGCCCGCTCAGTAAGTTTCCTTTCTCGCGTCTTCAACCCCATTGAGACAACCACAAAGAACCAAGAGGCGCTGACCCGACGTCGCAGAGTTTCGTGCGGCAAGCAGCCCGCCCCGCCGCTCGCCCGCTGGCCTTCCGTGCTCCCATCCCCTTCCTCACCCAGCACCGCCTCCTCTCCGACGAGACGAAGCAAGCGATCGAGAACGCCGTCGGCGCCGCCCCCGTCGTCCTCTTCATGAAGGGCACCCCCGAGACCCCTCAGTGCGGCTTCTCCCGCGCCTCCATTCAGATCCTCGGCCTCCAGGGCGTCGACCCCGAGAAGTTCGCCGCCTTCAACGTCTTGGCCGACCCCGAGCTGCGCCAAGGTACGAACAATACAAACTACGAGGAAAGATGAAAATTGGAAGGAAGATCAGATGCTGACCATAGGCGCACAGGAATTAAGGAATTCTCCGACTGGCCGACTATCCCCCAGCTCTACGTCGAGAAGGAGTTCATCGGCGGCTGCGACATCCTCGTCTCTATGCACCAGAACGGCGAGCTCGCCAAGCTGCTCGAGGAGAAGAAGGTTCTTGTCGCGGCCGAGAGCGAGAAGAAGGAGGAGTAAAAAGAAGGATATTCTTAGACATCCACGCTTGAGGAGAGCGTTTTCATGTTTTGTACGATTGTAAAATACCAAGGGAAGGCAGCCACGAAGCGAAACAGGTCCCGGGAAATAGAGTGGTATTTATTTCATCTGCGATATCCGGAAAATCTCCATTCATTTTTTGCGCATATTCACATACTGCTGGTCCTCGTCCAGGGTTCTTTCATTTTCCATCACATTACATATTAACGCTTACAGCGCCGGGTACGCTCCGCCGTCGCCACGCATGTCGCTGCCTGCCGACCACACGCCGGTTCCCTCGATGGGGTCGACGTGGTACCTGATGATCTGGCCGCGGCCAAACAGACCTCTTTCCGAGCCGGTGACGACCTCGACCTTGTGTCCCAGCTTGCGCAGGCCCTCAACGGTCTCCTCGGGCATGCCCTCCTCGACACTGACGGTCCAGTCAAAGTCGGCGTCCTTCTCGGGCAGACCAGCAACGATGCACACGCGCGGCGCATCGAGCGTCTGCTGCGGCGTGAGTCCTGCGACAATCTGGCCAAGAAGAACCTGGACGTGACCCTGTGGCTGCATGAAGCCGCCCATGACGCCGAACGCGCTGTGCAGCGAGCCGTCCGCCTGGTTTGTCACCATGCCCGGGATGATGGTGTGGTACGGGCGCTTGCGGGGCGCCAGCTTGTTGGGGTGCTCCGGGTCGAGGCTGAAGTTGGCGCCGCGGTTCTGGAGAGTGAAGCCGCAGCCCTTGGGGATGATGCAGGTGCCGAAGCCGCCGTAGTTGCTGTTGATGAATGATGCGGCGTTGCCATGGGCGTCTGAGACGGTGAAGTAGACGGTGTCGCTGCTGCTCAGAGCAGGAGAGACGAACTTGGGGGGCTCGCCGGGGTGCAGCTTGTTCAGTGCCTTGCTGGGGTCGAACAGCTTTGCGCGCTGGGCGAGGTACTCGCGCGAGATGAGGCCGGCGGAGGGCACGTTGACGACGTTGGGGTCGGTCACATACCAGCTCGCGTCCGTGAAGCCAAGACGGAGAGCCTCGATGATGGCGTGGAGATAGGGCGCCGTGTTGTGGTCCTCAGCGGACCAGGCAGGAACTGCTCCAGATGCCTGCAGCTCCTGGATAATGCCAAGAGCCATGAGAGCAACAATACCCTGGCCATTAGGCGGGTGTTCCCAGAGCTCGACGCCGGCGTCGACGAAGTCGGCATTGCCGTTGGCCTGTTGCTGGTTCTTGAGAACAGGCTTGAACTTGAGAGAGATGGGGTCGACAGGCTCGCTGCCAAGCTCCAGGTGGTTGGCCAAGTCGTCGAGCTCGAGGTGGCCGCCCAGATCCTTGACGACCTTGACCAGCTCCTCGGCGATGCGGCCCGTGTAGAAGCCCTTCTTGCCCTCCTTTGCGAGCGTGCGGAACGTTTGCGCCAAAGTGGGGTTCTTCATGATCTCACCCGGGTTGGGCGCTCTTACGCCGTCCGCGGCCTTGGGGTCCTTCTTCAGCATTTCAGCGAAGTTGGGCGATGCATCTCTGATTTGAGGCTCGGCTGTGTTCCACTACTCATCATTAGCAGCGGCTTTCTTAGTATTGAGAACTTTGTACATACGTATGAGCTTGTCAGCTCACTGACGGGGAAACCCCCCTCACCCAGCTCAATTGCTGGGGCCAGGATTCTCTCCATGTTGACATTGCCGCTGCCGAAGCGCTCGATGGTGTCAACCCAACCAGCAGCCGCACCAGGGCAAGTCACAGCGTGAACACTCTTCATAGGGATCTTTCCCTGCTCGCCATCCTTAAGACCGAGGTCCTTGCGGATGGTCTCGAGGGTAGCGTTCTTCGCTGAGCGTCCTGAGCCGTTCATGGCTGAGACCTTGCCGGTCTTGGCGTCGTAGAAGAGGATGAACATATCGCCACCAATGCCGGTTGAGCACGGTTCAGTCATGTTCAGACCGGCGGCTGAATGTATGTTCTTGTTAGCAACTTGAACAAAAGTCCCAAATAGAGTTGTACTGACCAACCGCGACCGCTGCATCCTGTTACATTACATATCTTGTCAGCCGCAACACCCCGGAAAGAGATCTGAAGGATCGACTTACGGCCGCATTGCCGCCAGCTTGCAGGATCTCAATACCACATTTCGCGGCGAGAGGCTGAGTGCATGAGACGATGCCCTTGGTGCTGTGAACGACACTGCGTCTGCTGGGAAACTTGACAAACTCCTGCGCCTGCGGCGTGAGGAGGGCGCTGGTGGAGAGGGGCATGGTGAGTAGTCGTCGGTGCGGGGTTCTCGCCGTCGATAAACCGGAGACGAAAGCGCGGGGGAGGGGTTCGACAGATGATGAGGGAGCAAAGAAAAAGCGCGATGGGATGAACACTTTTTTTCGGCGAGTCGTTGACAGGTACAGAATGTCGACGGTTTCAAAAACGCGCAGTGTCAGTCACAATAAGAGGGGGGGAATTGGATGGCGTCAATGATTATGTCGTGATAACAGCGAACTCGGAGGTGGAGGGCGCCGAAAGACGTCGTTGACCGTTGACACAAGGACGATTTAACCGAGCAAGGCGCGAACGACAAGCCAGGCCTAGGTATTCTTCTCTTTCACAAGACGAGGAGGGAGAGCGGGGATGATGGAGATTCGGCCACGCGGAACGGGCAAAGCTCATATGTAATGGAACCTGCTGGCTCTTCTTCCTTGCCGGGACACACCAAGGACGGTGTCTTTCATTCGCCCTCTCGCTGAAGATTGATCATGTACGTAATGCCTAGGGCCAGTTCTTGCCGATGGGAATTGCCAAGTCTGGTAGGTCGATAAGAGAAGCAAAAGAATTCCCCGGTTTACCTAGTGTAGCAGGGTGGACGGCCGGTTTACGCTAGTGGAGCTTGTCGGGTGCTCCGCTCTGTCGGTGCTGCTGCCGAGATTGTTGATTCGACTGATCGGTATATTGATGGTGTGGACAAAGATCGCAGAAGAGTCATGGATAAGAGACAGAAGCTTCGGAGAGTTGGGTGATTCGCCGTCTCTCGTTCAATCAAGTGCCTTAAGTTTTTGATGTTTTGACGTGCGCTTCGAGGAAGAGGGAGACAGGTTGGGACATCCGTCTGGTTTATCAATCATTCGGCCTTTACCTTTTTTGACACTTATTCAAGACTTAGCAGCCAGCGCCGTTTTTGCAGCATTGTCGTTTCCCACTGTAACCCCAACACAGCGCCCCGGCCGTCCAACGTTCCCAGCGCCCAGCATCGGCCGCGGCCGTCGGCCAAAACGGAGAGGTGGTCCAGAGCGACGAGGTCCGAAACTCGGGGCTTGTTTCACTGGCACGGTTGAAAGGTGACAGAAGTCTAACGACGACAAGGAATTGGAATTACAAAAACGTCAAATCTTCATGACAAGGGAGCGCGGACTTGTATCGTCCAACCCGGGGCCTAAGGTTTGTTCTTTTCGTTTTCTCCTGCTCGTTTTCTCGTTTCTTTCGGATGCGCGCACCCGGACTTTTTTTTGCCTTTTTTTTTAAGCCTTTTTCAAGCCTGCAAGCAATCACAGTTGATGATCAGCGGCTGCTCCCGTTGAGTTGGAATAAGAACAAGTCTATTTTGCGAACTGCCACCCCGAAACGTTGGTTTGATCCGAACGAAGACGAGGAGAATGTCGAGGGCACGGGCTGCTGGACACGGGCTGCTGGACACGGGCTTTGCCAGGCGCGCGGTAAACTTCCACGTATGGCCTTGAACAATAGGAATTTCTTCGATTTTCCTTTTGAGGATGCGCATGGCATCGTTGGCTTTATCTTTTTCTGCTCACCTGCTGTCCCCCGCAGTGTCTTGCATCAAGACTCAATAACTGGAAACCCGAACTGCTATTGGTCCCATCAAGCTCATCTCAATCTCCCCCGAACACAGCTCGGAAGAGTGTCTCGAGTAGTTCTAGAAGACCCAGGCTGCTGCTCCGCCCTCCAAGCTTTCTCGCCGGTGGAGACGGAAGCTCCAGGATGAAGCTGCCAAGCGCATCATCCAGTCCTAACTCAATTGAGGTCATTTATCGAGAAAGCCAACGTGTGTCTGTGAGTCATTGGCAGTGCAGAGGAAAGTCAGTCTGGGATTGGGATGAAAAAAGCCGTTGTTTCGCCTTTAGGTTTTGCGCTTGTCCCATTCTTCTTCAAGATGCCATGCACCTTTCACTCTGCAGGAGTCGCCAGGTGGTGTCGATGATTGGGCCGTCACATGCTATTTCTACTGTGGCTATCCATGACTGTGACTTGAGAAAACCTGAGGTTTTTACGATTCTTGTTGTTGGCGGTTCATCGAGTCTAGCCCCGGTGCGTGTATGACTTGGCTGATGACACACGTCTTTGCCTCAGCGCTCGAAGCACATTCCCGGTCGATGTTGTCATCGCGATGGAGCCCCAAGTCGTTGCAATCCTGATACGACTGGCTCATCCGAATCCCGTATATGTCTCTGGAGGCTGGATGATAATTCTCCGCGCGGCAGATCATCTGCGCGACAACGGAACGTGGCCATCGGGTTCAGGGTCAGCGATTGGGTCATCACCGTCTAAACGGGTGGGATACCGGTGATGGTGCCGAATGTAACCCACCGGGCCGTGAAACTCAACTGTAGAAATCAGAAGCAGAAAAATGAGCTTCACGGGGTTACATGCGGATGCCGGTAATCCGATGATCTTCAGGCCACCATGTGCCCACGCAATTACGACATTCGAGGGTACTACATACGGCAAGGCGCAGCAAAAAGAAAGGGACCAAGCAGAAAAATGTGACGCTGAGTCTCTGTGAAGAGCCCTGATGTTTGATTGATATCACGAGCGCTATACACACAGGCACGCCAACGTTCCAACATTGAGATGACATCATCCCACTTCCAACTCCAGCTCCTCAAACCTTGAACCGGAACCCATGCGTGGCAGCCTCCCCAGGCGCAGCGTTGATGGCCCCCTCGACGTGCTCACCCCTCTCGAGCTTCTTGTTCAGCCGCATGAGAACCACCCTCAGCACCGTCGCCGCGCAGATGGCGATGAAGCATGCGACGCAGTTGTGGATGAACGCCGCCATGTACTGCGGGCTGGCGCTCTTGGGGTACAGGTAACTCGCGTAGATGCTGGAGCAGTTGGACACGGCGTTGATGAATGCGAGCGCCGAGGCGCGCTTCGCGGGCGGCCGCGGCAGGGTGTTGCTGATCCAGGCCAGCGCCGTCGTGTAGCCCGAATAGACGCCCGGCACGAGGAGCATCATGGCGACGTAGCGGGGCGCGGTGGCGTGGGTGGCCGCACCGATGATGAAGGCCACCATGGCGACGCACAGCGGGAGGATGATGTGGAAGTAGCGCTCGCCGGTGCGGTCGGCGTGCCACGCGTTCAGGGACGTCGTGATGATGCAGAGGACGTACGGGGGGCAGGTGAGGAGCAGGGAGATGACATTGTTGTAGCCCAGGGTTGCGACGACGGTGGGGAAGAAATTGGTGATGGAGGCCGAGGCGACGATGCTGAAGATGAGGACGAGCTGGTGGATGTTAGTGGGTTGATACGGAAGCAAGTGAATGATGTGAGCATACCAGAATCCAGGTCTTGACATCTTCCAGCGCAGTCTTGAATCCATGCCAGAAGGTCTGCTGCTGACTTCCCGTCCAGTCATCCTCGCCAATATCCTCCTCGAGTCTCCAGATAGCCAAGGCCTGTTCCTCCTCACTCAACCACGATGTTGTGCGGGGGAAGTTTGGCAGGACCCAGTATGCGGCGATTGCAATGGCAACAGTCACGACGCCCTCGATCAAGAACAGCCATTGCCATGCGCCGAGACCTCGGGCACCATCCATATTTCCCGTAATACCAGCCGAGATGAGACCTGAGAAAGCACCAGAGATGAGGGAGCCGGTGTACAAGATTGTCGTTCTCAGACCCAGCTCTTCACGCGTGTACCAACAGCTGAGGTAGTATAAGCATCCCGGAAAGTAAGCGGCTTCCACGAAACCTGTTTCCTCTGTGTTAGATCTTAAAGCAGAAGGGGGTCGAGCTTCACCTACCCAAGAGGAAGCGAACGGCAAGAAGGCCGGCATAGTTGTGGCATGCTGCCGTTGCGGCAGAGATGATTCCCCAGACAACCATCTACACAGACGAGGTCAGTCTATGCCAGTACTTGACATGTCACTTTCTGTATCGACTTACACAAGTGGGAAGGTAAATGGCCGGTTTACCGATCTTGTTCAGGAAGAGGTTCGAAGGCACTTGCATGAGCAGGTATCCCACGAACAAGATACTGACCGCCGTCTGAAATTGGTTCGAGTCGGGGTCCAGCTTGAGGTCTCGTTCCAATCCCGCCAAACGAGCCGCCGCAATGTTGTTCCTGTCGATGTAGTTCCTACACAAGTTTAGTCTCCAATTTCCTAGCAGGTCAACCCACGAGACCAAGACCTACAAGATGTAGCAGATGACCGTCATCGGAAGCAGGCGCAAGTCGATCCGCCGTCTCAGCTTCTTCTCTAGCTCGGCGCGATACTCATGGCTCATCGCCGCCACAATGGGCGGTGGCTGCAGTCCTCTCCGCTGTGCCTGGGCCTCAATGGAGGCTTTCGGAGCCGTATCGTTGACATCGTTGGACCGGTGGTCGTGGTGTAGCGAGGTGTGGTCAACCTCCGTCGGCTTTCCGTCCGCCATTTAGCTTCCACTTTCCTTGTTGCTCACTTTTCGGAACCTGCGTTATCAAATACTGGCTGCGAAATGAGTCGATTGAACGTTTTGCCGATGCGCCGGGTCGACAAGAGAGGAGAAAGCAAGCACCGATCGCGCAGAAGTAGATCACTATGGGGACATGAATCCTTCAAGTACCATTTAGAAGAGCGGACGTCGAACCTCTTTAACTCCGCACCTCCCAAAGCTCTAGCAGCTTTCCGCTGCGGAAAAGAGGAAACCACAAAAGACATGGGGGGCGGCATTTGGGGGTGGTCATGTTCGGCTCGGTTTCGTCCCAAGCCGTTCTACCCAAGTCGGGGTAATCACCGTCCCTCCCCCGTGGGGTAGCTTAATCTCACCCCAGCCATTCAAATTTCTGGTGTGACAGAACTCCCTTTCCCCTCTCGACCAGGTAATGACAATCTTCTTCCCCATTTTGCCATCCAACCACGCGCTGGACAGGTGCGACACGGGACCGAATGTCGGGATCGTCCCAAAGATAATCGTCTTGCGCGTGGCGAAAGCTTCGTGGAAGAAGTGCATTGAGCTTGACAGGACCGCCATTCTGGTGCGGAGAACCTGCAGCCTGCATCTCGAAGCTGCGGTTTACGGCGCAATGGAAGCTGGACGGGTTGTCGCGGAAAACTTCGAGCCCGAACTCTTGGTTCGCAGATCAGGGCCAAGACTCGATAATGAGACCACCTCGTTCTCGCGTTCGGCGAATATTTACAAATACGTAAAAGAAGCCATCGCAACCACGCTGTCGAGTCTCGAGATTGGTGACGACTCCAAGCCAACACGGAAAAGGGACCACACACCGCTGGCAAAATCCGGGGTTGGGTCCCGTTCAGAGGCAAGTGTGCGGGGGAAGGGACTGGGGTAAGGCGGAGTAACTCCGACTGTCGCCCAACAAATGCAGCAATGTAATACGAAAAAAACTTGCCTGGTGAAGAAGAAATATGAGACGGAAATAGACGAACTCCCGAAAATGCAATGACGATAGGGCTTGCATTTCGGCCGTTTTGTGATTGGCCCAGCGCAACGGCGAAGCTGGTGCGGGGGCCTCTAACAGCCTGTTTGCATAGAAGCATATGTCTTTCATAACTATATCCCACGATGATACTACTTACGTAGACTGCCCTCCATTCAAGTCTTGCGTTGAGATTGTGAAACAGCTTTAGTCTGACTAAGGACTTTTGATGCAGTGTAATCTGTAACTTTACCATTTTATGTTGAATTCATGAAGCTGGTTTGACCAAGAGGACTCGTTACTGCCTATTTCGGAAGAGTCTCAGGTTCCCTGGATGACGGAGCTTGTGTCTACCTCGCTACCTAGCAAGTTACAAAGAATATCGTGTTTCCTGCCCACCACTGCAAGTTATGATTATGAGGGTTTCACTTGGTTGTCTTACATGGCAGCGAATTGCGTAAATTGTGTCTGAAGTTGACTATAAGATAGTTTTACCTCGGCCACCTCCCTTGTTTTTCCAAGTCGATTCCTTTACTTCTTATAAAGTTTTGCTTCAAAGGAAGACTTCTTACCATGTTGGACCCCCTCAGCAACCACAGAGTACCGTTGAGTGCTGCCCCAGGGCAGACAACTGAAACCGATCGTCAGGAGACAGTCACAGTCAACGAGGACGTCCGCGCGAACGTTGTAGAAGGCGAAAGTGATATCGAGATCACGATGCGCACAGATGCGGGCTACAATACTATACCGACAAGCGATACAGGTTCCCTCACGTCCGGGAAGGAGACGGCTATTGATTCCCCCAGAACAGAGGAGTGCCAACGAAAGCCACCGGAGCCAACGGAGAAGCTGGATATCTTAAGATCATGGCTATTCGAATTTCTGGCCCTCTTCGTTTCAATCTTCTCTTATGCATGAATTATAGCGGTTCTTGGTGCCTACAATGGCCAGCCCCAGCCTGAGTTTGCCCGCGATGTCAACATCAACACAATCATCGCGATCTTGTCAACCACCCTAAGAGCTGCTACGGCTTTCATTGCAACTGAAGGTAATATGAAAATCATAGTCTATCTTTTTCATCTTCCATGCTAAAATATTATAGTCATCGGGCAGTCAAAATGGGATTGGTTAGAGACACCGCGTCCTCTACGCCACGTTGAGCATTTAGACAATGCTGGCAGGGGAGCTTGGGGGTCAATTAAATTTCTTTTCTTCGTATCAAAGCCGTAAGTTACCGGAATCTTCCAACTGAAAAGATGGCGATCAATTTACCGATGCTCGCTGTCGTGTCCCGAGTAGAACCTTAGCTACTATCGGCGCCCTCCTCATGATGACGTCCTACGTAATTGACCCCTTCTCACAACAACTCGCCAAAACGTATCCTTGCAACATAGCATATGAGGATACAGCTTCAATAGCTATTGCGAGACGAGTCAACGGATACACCCATATCGACCGCCCACCGATGTGGGCAGCTGCGATGAGCGGTCTGATTTACGGCGTGGCTGAGAACATTCAAAGTCAATTATTTCAATGTCCGTCAGGAAACTGCACCTTTCCTATGAGAGCGGGTATTTCACACACCTCTGTCGGCATGTGCAGCACCTGTACCGATGTTACGTCTGACCTGATGGAGGTATACCTGCATGATGAGCACAACCGCCCTTTGACGACGTACTATTTTCCTCAGAATCCGAACTTGAACCTTACTTGGCCACCTCCAGAATCCGAATCACCTTACTTCCATATGAGGGGTTATCCTCAAAAAGAAAATAGCGGCGGACTGGTTTACGGAAAATCTGGTGATTTGAGAACCACGACATCCATTATCTCGTTTTCAGCTGCTTCTTGTGTAAAGCAAATAGGAGGAGGTTATGTTTACAACAAAACAACCTGTCGCATGATGAATCCCGACGGCATCAAGATGGGATACGTCAACTGGAAGGAAAATATTGGAATCGTCGCTGTAAACTGCAGCCTTTCACCTTGTCTGCGTCGCTACAGCGGAGAAATATCACATGGCAGCCTGAAGGAAAAGCTGATATCGCAAGAGCCGATGGACTACGCTAAATTGGACAGGACAGTAGAAGGATATACATACCATCCGTGGTTCATAAAGCTCCTGGAGCCTTGTGAGGTCGACGGCAGATGGTATGATTCTTCCAACATAACCGAGGCACCTAAAGATAGCACTTGGATTTCTTGGGAGAATTATGATAACAGTACGAATGAAGGGCCATGGGACTGCGTCATGGGTATACAATCGACCGTGAGCGACCTTATCGCTTCGTTTCAGAACATGAGCATCCAAGGTGATCGTCATTTCCTCGACCGAATCGTAGATCCAATGTCTAGGGTTTGGCTGCCTGCGGTGGACAAATTGGGCAACGCAACGCTTGAAGGAATCTCCGCCGCTTTTGATGGTATGGCAACAGGATACACCGACTTCATGCGAAACAATTGGGAGGATAAAGGTAGTGACCGCTATAACGTTTTTGGGACCGCCTATAAAAATGCTGTCTGTATAAGGGCGGACTGGCCGTGGCTGGTCTACCCAGGAGTGCTGCTCATTTCCACGAGGATCCTACTCATTGCAGCGTGCGCCCACAGCATGAGAGAAAGAGGAAAACGGCCGGGGTGGAAGTCAACGATACCGCCTTTTCTATTTTACAATCTCAAGATCAATCGGGATGAAAATCAGGATCAACCGGACGAGAATGGCATGAACGTGCCGCTGCTGCAGCTTCAGGAGTTGGAGACACTGACTGACAAAACCGTGGGGAGATTCAGCGCCGATGCTGCCGCGCCTGGATTCATTGTTGAGAATGATGGAAATAGTAGTGGTGGTGCGAGTACAGGGCAGCAGGCCGGGTTGCTTCGCAGAGTTTTCAAGTCAAGGTCAAACTAACATTTGGTTTTTGTTATCCATCTTACGAAGTCCTTGGTGATATTCAATTTTCATTTTCATTTTTCTTTCTCCCGCGTTTCGGCAGAAGAGACCTAGGCAACCGGGCAGACAATGACCTAATATACTGAGTTAGATCTAATAGTTCATTTCATCCTAAAAATTTATTGTCCCTGTCATCTCTGTCGTCCCTGTCTCTATTGTTGTCGTTGTCGCCACTATTGTCGTGTATGCCTACTAATTACCCGCCCGGATAGCAAGACTCTAATAGAAAGACGTAAGCTGAACGGATCGATAGATATACCGCTAATCTCACCGTATCTCCGAAAGCCTCAGAAAGCCTCAATGACAGGATCGCAGCTCGACAAGTTTTTGACAGATTAAGCAACTCATCACTCCCTTATTTTATGTAGGCGCGCATAATCTATTCATTTACCGAAGCGTTGCAACTACGCCGTTGCAACACCCGAACCGTCACCGCCAAGTCTCCACCTTTACCCCGCAAAACCTCTTTGCGCTCGGCAGTTATTCTCCCGGGCACGGGGCACACCTTCAAAGGGGGCGGGAGCCCGAAGGCGCAATCAAGCTTCGGCCCAAGAAGCGGACCAAGACATGCGGCTTGAAGCCCGATTAACATCGGACGCAATCGCGACCGCCAAACATTCTCATAGCTAATCAAGAAAACAACCGCGGCTGAACCAAGCAACAGTTCTAATCAGGGAAAATGCGCGATGACACGCGACGGCACGCGACCATGCCTGAAGTAACATCGATGACGACGACAAACGCTCCCAACGACGGTAATCACATGATGACGCGACGTGCAGATAAGAGTGCTGCATCGCTCGCGCCAACACCCCAATATCGGCGATAAGCAACTCCCAAAAAGCAAAAACTAGCGGAATATAATTTAAGAACGGGGGAGAATGCAACCAAGATACAATTTCGGGTAGTTCCCAATGTCACCCCAGATCCGAACCATGGAAAATAAACATTCACGAAGGCGATACTCTTTTCGGGCAAGCAGAAGTGACTTTATCGCGAAAGACAGATGTGAGATCCAAAAGTGTGTTCCAATAACAACAATGACAGGCTTAGCATTATGGATTACTATGTACAATAAGTAAACAAAAATTATGTGTCTGCTGTGCTGTGCTTCCTTGCGTAATTACACGTCCCCTTGCAGCGTCCCCTGTAGTAAGAAATATTCACATAAGAAAATGTTCACGTTATATCGTCATGAGAGAGAGTGTCGTATGTGCGATGTGTGCGATGTGGTGAAGGCTGGTGCGTTTAGACACCAGAGTCCTCCTGGTGGACGGAGTCCTCGAGGGCGTAGGCGTTCCAGTTGGCGCAAGTGCTGTTGAGGGTGTCCTGGTTGTAGAGGGCGCCGATCTCGTCGGGGCGCTCGATGAGCTGGAGGGCGAAGCCGAGGGAAGTGTGCCAGCCGATCTGTGAATATTGTTAGTCGAGTGTTGTGAGAACATGTGCTATGAAAGGGATCACTTACGTGGCAGTGCATGAGCCAGGTGCCCGGGTTGTCAGTGTAGAAACCAATGACGAGGTAGCCAGAGGCGGGAAGCATGGCGACATCGCGGCGGGGAGCGTTGGTGGTCTGCAGAGTGACGGAAGAGTCGTAGGTGCCGGTGGCCTGGGCAAGAATCCAGAAGTCGTGACCGTGGAGATGGATGGGGTGGGCGAGACCAATGGGGTTCTGGATGATGAAGTGAACCCAGACGTTGGCTTGGTCGAGGTGAACGATGTTCTGCTGGGTGGAGTAGGTGTCGTTGCCGTCGATGACTTGCTCAACAGTAGGGTAGCCCCAGTCGGAAAGGAAGGTGCTGTTGTTCAGGGTCCACTTGAACTGGCTGCTGACAACCTGGAGACCGACAGTGAGGGTATCATCGTAAGTCTGCTGGCCGGCCTCGATAGCAACAACAGGGACCAGGTCAGACATGGACTCGTCCAGGCAGTTGTCCATGTAGGTGCCGATCTCGGTGGTGGGGTCGGCGGTGGAGGAGGAGTCGTAGCGGACGATGCCCTTGATGTCGAGGGTGTTCTCGTTGGAAGAGCAGGTGAGCTCGGGGACGGCGCGCAGCCAGTAGTTGTCAGTAGCCTGGTTGGCACGAACGATGACATCGTAGCGCTGGCCGATACCGATGGAGATGCTGGAGGTGTTGTAAGGGTTGATGGGGACGAAATCGGCAGAGATGACCTCCAGGGTGTGGTTGTCAATCATGAACTTCCACATGGTGTCGATGGCACCGTTGACCAGGCGCATGCGGTAGGACTTTCCAGCCTCAAAGTTGGTGGTGAAGCGGGAGCCGCCGCCGTTGTACATGCCCGTGCCGTTGATCAGACCGGTGTTGGCGGTAGGGGGACCGTTGGTGGCTGCGGTGGGGTAGAGCTCGTCACTGGTCTGGTGGAACCAATCGCTGAGCATGATGGTGCCGAGATCTTCGTCGTAGGGGGCGGAAGCAGGGCCGTTGACAATGATACCACCGAAGAGACCGTTCCTGGGATCTGTCAGATAGGGGTCTTGAGACTATTGAACTCGGAAAACTTACCAGGCCTGGAGGGCAAAGTGGCTGTGGTACCAAGAAGAGCCATACTGAGACGCGTGCCAAGTGTAGGTGATGGAGTCGCCGGGAGCAGTCGGGCACTGAGTGATGGAAGCAACACCGTCGGCCTCGTTGGTGTAGTTCTGGCGGATACCGTGGAAGTGAAGAGATGTGCCGTTGTTCTGCATGGAGTTTCTCACGTGAACGACTAAATGTGGTCAGCAACCAGAACTCGCAGGCTGGTCCTTGCTGCTTTAGACTTACCGACAGTGTCACCCCAGTCAGCAATGATGGTAGGGCCAGGAACGGATCCGTTGACGGCGAGGACGATGCGCTCGACACCGTCGGGAGCGGCGGTGGTGTTGGTAATGTCGAACCAGTACTCACGGATGACTCCGGTGTTGGGAGCCTCCTCGTACCAGTTGGTGTTGAGATCGTAGGTGCCATCCCAGCAGGAAGGGTTGGTGGCAGAGTCGAAGACACAGTCTTGACGCTTCTCGATGAGAGAGGGAGCGGCGGCCGTCAAGGCAGGGAAGAGGAGTGCAGCGCACCCCAAAAGCGAGTGTTTGTACATGATTGTTGGTGTAATCGAGTAACGAGTGTCGAAAACGAGAGAATGTTCAAAGAACGAAGATCAAATGCCAAAAACGAACGTAGGCAAGAGAGAGAAGGAAGATCAAGCTTGATGAAGCGGATGATGATGTTCTGGAATGGATCAACAGACGGGAGATCTGACTTGCCTTTATACAATTCGAGATTCGATCACGACATGGACGAGATGCACCCAGTCTCACCAACTTCGTCTAAGCGAGCCGAGAGAGCCAGATGCCCCCGACACGAACTCGCAAGCACAGCACCCAGCGTAGCTCTCGATGCTGCGCTCTGAGGACCTAGTTCGGGGCGAGAGGCCGATCGCCCCTGACTCGAAGGGTACTGTCCCACATAGGAGGCCATCATGAACGACCGGGTTGACACGAGAACATCGGCGTCCGGCAACTTTGGCGAGCCCGCCTGCAAGCTGCTCCACGATGACAGACGGGGTACAATCAAGCATAGAAGCTATACGAGCGAGAACTTGATACCCATGTCGATGAAAGATCCAGAGAAGGGGGTCGGCCATCACAGGCCCATGCGTGAGGTTGCTCTGTCGCTACCGAGCAGGAGTAGACGAGGGCAAGACTGCTTGCCATATCCGCCGACCACCTGCCACCCCTGACCGATATGGATGACCTGCATGCGAATTGCATAGGCGCTGGTCTTTCCGTACACTAGCTCGTGGCCTGTGAGCGAGCGGCCCCATATCTCGACCCATCTTGGATGTGTGAAGTTCAGGCGGCTAAGGGGTGCAAGACGACGGTGGGTGTAGGGAATAGGAAAAGATGGGGAAGGGAACAAGACGACGTTGATGATCTCCAGCCCGAGCCACATGCTTAGTCGATTTCAGACGAGACGACGTGCTGACTATCTTAGTCAGTCTACCCCATGCCATCAAACGATCGAACACGGCTGACGCGTAACTGTAGTGCTCCTGACAGCCAGCAGCAACTATCGAAACGTGCTTCTGTGTGGCTGCATTAGTCCCGCGGGTAGCAAGGCCAAACCCCGTGCGCTCCTTCGTTTCTTCTGCGATGGATACCTCCGAGTAGAGAACGGACGGGTAAACGAAACATAGGATGATTTTGACGTCTCCTAAGACCGGGCCTCCCTTGCCAAGACTGGAGCTCAGTCCGGGAGTAACGAGGGAGTAACAGGAGGACTTTGAGCCCGCCTAGATCCAGACTAGGAAATGGGCAATGACTAAGGAAATTGTGTTAAGAACCAGTCAACAATATCAGAGCCTCATCGCGCAGAGAGAGAGAGTCGGCGAAGAGAGAGAGAGTCCACTGTTCGGCACCCTCGCTGCCCAATTGCAAAGAGCCGAATGCCAAGCATGACGGGGAACGCCTATTGGCGGGTACGGTGGTGCTAAGGAAACATCAACGGTGATAAGAATTGAAGCTAATCAATAATTGAAGGCGGGCAGGCAGAAAAGGATTGGGAAAGGCTCAAAAGGGTGGTGAAGATGGCCAAATCCGTGGCGTTCCTCCGCTGACTTGCCCGGCCGAAAAGACGCGGCTTGCCAAGGGTATCCCTCCATGCCGGCGGTGCGGCGCTGGCCCCCGGCCCCTTTCGGCGCAACGTCGACGGTCCAACGGTGGTGGGATTTGTTTGATGTTTGCATCCGCGTCTGTTCCCCGCGTGTAGCTCGGTCGTCCCAGACCACATTTTCTGTCCAAGAAGCCCACTGATGGACGATAGTCAATGCTACGGTTGCGCTGCAGGTAGTCCCACGTGTTGAAAACGGCCAGCGTTTGTCTGCCCCCCTATCATGGAGTTGTTTCGATTTTGGTCGTCATCACTATCCAGAGTGCTCGTTCAGTAGAAGAGCGACATCCCGCCGGGTCTCACGTCGTCTTGGCACTGAGGCAGGCAGGGGAAGAAGAAACGAAGAAACGGACATGGGATGAGAGTGGGAAAGGAAAACGTGGTCCGCCGAAAGCCGGATCTCCCGCAGGATCTCGATAGCAAAAGTCGATACGGATAGCGACAGGACAGGGAGACAGATGGGGGGCATTTGCGAGCGGTTGGCGTGAGCCGACGACCGAGGAAATGCTATTTCGTGATGCGTCAGTATGCATGAGACAGCGATAATGCGAGAGCGAGAAAGGCTCTATTGCCCAAGAGGGTAAGGGGCGGTTCAATAGACTTCAATTTCGTGATCATTTGCGAGTATGCTTGATTGGAAGAAGCTCCCGTGATTCCCCATGGCGGGCTCGGGCGGTCATTCGCGGGTAGGAGAATGGAAATCGGGGATCGAAGTCGTTGAGCAGCCGCCATTGGACGATGGAGGGATGGATTGCGTACGTAGTCCCCGGCTCCCTGCGAGTTGAATGTGGGGGTGAAAAGGTAATCCCGATGATGGGAGCAGGGGTTCCCGAAGGTGCGTCGACCATGTGCCTGCCTGCGTGCCTGTGTTTCTGCATGTTTGCTGCACGTCTGCCTGCCTGTCAGCCATCTATTTGCCTAGTACGTAGGGTAGGGTACCTGTTGCTATTGTTGACGCTGTTCTTGACGGTACGTACGGATAAGCATGGGCGCCTGAGACTGACATGACAGGACAGGAGGATTGGCGGAGGATGGCGGTTGTCCATGTCCGTGGGATGTCCGTCTTTGCAGGTTCCGGCTGGCTTCAGCAGCGAAGCCGGCAGCGGGAGACTTGGCAACCTAACATCGTCATGCACCTGAAGCAGCGAGATACTGCAGGTAAGATGCAGCGCCTCAAAAGCGGTCCCCGTGAAGGATCAATGCCAATGGGATATCGACAGGAGCTGCGCGGACGAGGGGCCAACGGGATTGCCAGGGGCCAAGGGGCACGGGAGGAGAACGAGATGCACGAGGCTAGCGCTGGGCGGTTGTGGTTGCGGTTGGGATGGCACAGGGCAGGCAGCGTCGATGGACTGGAATCACTGGATCATCTGGATGGGATGCATGTGAGCTTCCATTGCTTGCGTGTAGGCGTGTCTCAGTCGAGGGTTGGTGTTGGCAGTGTTGGTGCTGGTCTGGGCATTGGCAGGCTGCAGGCCAGGGCCCGTCGGTATTGGCGTCGACGTTGACGATGTGAGGTTGTGTGTGAGGTGGATGTGGATGGGCAGAAATCTCGTCAATGAGAATCCATCAGCAGTGCATCCATGGTAGCGGCAGCAGGAAGGAGGAAGTTGCTGGGACCTGCGTGCCTGCCTCAACCCCTGGCCGGCCGCGCAAGCCTCATCTCTGGACGCGGTCCCGCTTTTAGCAGCCCCAACTGGGTACGTATCGATGTGGCCCGCCACACGGGCTCTCGCCTGGCCAGTGCGCACTCTGCTCGCACAAATGCCGGATGCCGCCTTGCATGCGCTAAGCCCCAATCGCCTTAGCGTCAGCGGTCAGGGCCCTGAGCCTCCATCTCGACGGTCGACGACCCCGACCAGCGTGCAACCTCCTCCAGACATCATCCCCGAAACCCTCACCTCTGGGCGCCCTGGACGACCATCAGTGTATCACCAAAGCGACTAAACCACCCCCAAACACCAGCAAGGGCGACGACGACGATGTTTCTGCCCGTGGTATCGCAGCCGTCCTCTGCAATATATACACAACAAGGGGGGCTTTGGCTTCCTCACTTCAATCAGTCCTGACTAAGGCGCAGCTAAGGGTCCGACAGTCTTATGCCGAACAACTCGCCGCCTCTCGCCGACTTCTTTCACCGAGCCATCTCCACCAGCTCCTATCCACGATTACCCAAACTGGTAATAAAGTCTTGGCATCGCCAAACTCGTCCTCCCACGGCATTGCCGCAAATGCCTCACGCCCAAATTATCGCTGTCATAGGCTTGCTGCTACAGGCAAGCACCTGCGCCTCTTCCCGCCCATCCGCGTCCGCACCCGCCCCTCCCCATTGACTCTGTGTGTCATTAACCTTCTTTCATTCTGCCCTTAGCATGAACCTCAATAACTTAGCACTCAATATGGATGGGCACCGTTCGTTGGCTGTGTCCTTGATCGGTTGCTCCCGAGTGACCTGTTCGTCGGCACATTCGGGAGCACCGTCGGCAGCCTGCGCACTGGAAGAAGAAAGCAAAATACCGAAGCCGTATGCTTAATTCCCAAATGCTAGGTTTCCGGGACGAACTCCTGCTGTCAAAGCTTCCATGGATATTGATTGCGATCCACTGGCTTGGGAGAACTGCAGCTGCCGCCGCTGCTACTGTTGCCAGCCGGCGACAAAGACTGAAGAAAAAACTCCTACCCTATGCCTATACTACGTGATGGAGGTCTATACCTACCTCAGGCGAGATAACATTGGCCCAGGTAGTTCGGTGAACCTCCTCACCGCCGTTCTCCTGAGCACTGCATTTCCCTTTCTCCCAATATTCATTCTCGTCTGAATCCATTTGAGCTTTCTACCTGCAGCCGTCCATCCGAGCAACTTCACCGAGTCAAGACGGCCATCGCCACCCGGAGTAATCCAACGGGCGTCCTGTGAAGCAGGTATAGGGGATGGTGGAGGAGGGGTGTGAACACGCGTATTGGGGAAACATCGTGAACACGAGGAGCCTCTAGCATCGCAACCTCCAGATTCAACATCACTCGGCGCCATGCCGTAGCGAACCCTAGCTTCATCTTTCAGGTGGGCGAGAATCACAGACAGGCCGCCTTAGCCGGCGTCTACGAAGCGCTCATTACAGCTTTACTGTGAAGATATCGCAAACCCTCTGCTTCGGGAACAACACCCGAGAAATACGGCGCCTCGGAAAAGCCCCTCTCTTCCTCTCTCTCTCGCGTGCGCTCTCGCTCACTTACAAACCATCACAACTCAGCTTGCCTCACCTATCTACAAGCCGTCCCAGCCGCCTGCGCAGCCACCCACCGACAGACCTCCACGTCACCAGAAATTTAACTCGCAGCCGCTTAAGCGCAACGAAGATAGAATTGTCTTGGCTTTTCGGGACAGGCAAGAATTTAGAAAAAAGGGTGTGGTCAAAAACCTGGCAAACCAAACTAGTCGCCCACGTCAATTAACCTTAGAGCGCGGGAAATCAGGGCCGGCGGCGCTAAAGTCAGGGACGCTCAGCCTTTGTCCGACCGGGACCCATGTCGGTGCGTGGGCACACACAACGGCGGCGCGGGGGTGGTCGGGTGGTGGTGGTCGGTGTCGGACAAGGGCCGGCCCCGGGGACTCGGCCGCTGCATTTCGCATCTTTCCAATCCGTGATGGTTGCGTAAGAACCACAAAACCTACGCAGACTCGACGCCGTGGGAGTCTCTATCGCGCAGCAATGAACCGAGGCCCTGGTTAAGGACGTGACCGAAAAGATATCACTCGCATCTAACCCTCCCCTCATGCATGCTTCCCAATTTTCTGCGAAGGACCTCGCGTGCGTCGGTGGACATCGGCCTGGGGGTACAGCTGCCGCCACGTAAGCCCGCCGGGGTTGAGGTGCGTGAACGTGGAAGGAAAGCCGACGGGCAGCCAGCAACGAAGATAACGACCACACATCCACTCTCGGATTGCAGCTGAAGAAAGTAATCCCAGGCATCACATCGCATCGTCAAACCTGTTGTCGTGCATGCAGTAAATTAGTGCTTAAACACCAACCCCCGGCCTGCCAGGAAACTCAATACAGGCTTCGCTTCGCGTGACCGGCTGCATGTGTCAGGATGGTCGGCGCGGTGATCCGACGCTGGGCCGCTCACGATGAGAAATACAGATGTCGAGGTCGTCACCATTTCAATAATATTGACAAAGTGTTGAGTAACAAAACACACAAATAACATCGGCGCAGCAAGATCACCGCGCCGACGCTCTCCCGAGCGGAAAAAAACCAACTCCGACTTCGCCGATGCACCGCGACGGCGAAAAGGCGCGATAGCATCACCGATAGCATTGGCATTACAAAACATGAATTCAGCTCGCGACTCCACGATCCTACATCGTATTGTCGCGAGTGAACACCCCCTCAAGTAGACACACGGCTGAAGCCGACGATAGTGTAGTTCATCAAGGTCCGTCCCGCTGGACGACAAGCCCCATCCCCAGTCTAGAACATCTGCTCGAACTGCACACGCCCCCCATCAAAGATGGAAAACAAAAAAGCGACTCGTCAATTTACTGCAGAATACCCATGTAAACGTTCACATCTGCTGAAAATACGTGCAGCGCGCTAGTTCAGGTCGATGCTGCTAACCCCCTCACAGGCGTCGTGCCTGAAAATCCTCACCGATCATTGCCCGTCTCGGCCTCGGGGAGGTGAGTCTTCGCCGGCGCCACGAGGCAGGCTCGGGGTTTGCTGCTGCGGGTCGCTCGGGGTCAGGAGGACACAGCATACAATCTTTGAGTTTGCGGGAGCATCCGGATGGAACGCGCCGGATTAAGCATGAATCAGTGGACGTGGATGGCTTAGACCAGAAATTGACCTGGACATCGGTCTATGTCACGGTGGTGGTGTTGATGAGTGAACTTGTGAAAAGTGAGGTCCTCGCCTGTGCGCGCGCGTAGAGAGTCTGGATTCACCCGCGGCAGCTGCGGTTCAGGACGGTGCTGCCCGCTGCATGACGCGGCAGGCTAGACCAAGACCACGATAACAGACCTGTGTGCGTGTGTGTGTGTGTGTTCCACTGCAGGCGCTAGGAGCTGAATTATTGCCTGCGAGAAAGAGTCATGTTAAAGAATGGCCGAGGACGTCGTAGCGATACGAGGTGTAGACCGTAACATCCGGATCCCGCTTCGACATCGTCGTACGTGTAACCTCCGGTCATGGGTTTGAATATCACAGTGACGATAATGCAAGTGTGGTGGGAAAAGGGGCAAGAGAGTTCAATGTTCGAAACTCGTCAGACATGTATTGATTCATAAACACATTAATCATGAAGCGATTAAATCATTAGAAATGATTCATAATCCAGAACCATGAAATCCTCAACGTCTCCAATTCAAACCCAACGCCTCTAAACCAGTCCATCAAATCCGTGCAGTCTTGTCGTTCCGTGGGAAAAAAGCATCGATCCAGTCCGCGTACAAATCGTAGTCGTAACATCATTACACACACAAATCATCAGTTGAACAGTTTCTTGAACATGCCCTTGATGCCGCCAGACTTCTCCTTCTCCCGCTCCCTCTCCTTCTCAACATCTCTCGTCTTCTTCCTGCCCTCCTCGCGAGCTCTGCGACGAGAATCGTCCGGACTGGCATGGGAGTGATGAGAAGAATGCTTCGAGCGGGGCTTCTCCTCTGCCACTCGCCTGGCCTCCTCGGCGACCTGGTCACGCACTTTCTGGAGCTTAGCCCTGCCGCTGCCGTCTTCAGAATGGCGGCGGTGACGGTGCCTGGAACGCGTGGTGTCTGTCCGATTAGGAATGTCGCGAGTAGCCGCTGCGTCTTGGTGTCCTGCGTCGTCATCCATTGGCATGTCGTCCTTGGCAAGGGGGGGATCCTGAGGGGGGGCTGCTGCCGATGAAGCCGTACCTTCTCGGTTTCTGACGCTGAAGAATCGTCTTGGCCCTGTCCTGTCCGACGAGGGTTCTCGCACATCTTTGCGTTCTCGCTTGCTGGAGGTGCGCTCCGGGATAACGCGCTCGGGGCGGTTGTGCTCCGAGGTACTGTGACGACGAGAAGAACGGCGGTGGCTGCGGTCCATGGGTTCCTGTGACCTGTCGAGGATCTCTGGCTCCTTTCCCTTGGTGCTGCGACGGCGCTCTCTCTCCTTCTCCTCTTGCTCCCTCTCCAGCTCACGCTCGCGCTGCCGTTCCCTCTCCCTTCTTCGTTCTCTGTCTCTCTCTCTATCTCTTCGCTCTTGCTCCCTCTCCCGCTCGAGCTCGGCTTCCCGCTCGCGCGCGCGTTCCTTGTCTCTTGCAAGTCTTCGCTCTTCCTTTCTTCTATCATGAGCTGCTTGCTCCTCAGGAGTGCGCTCAGAACGTCTCTCGCTTCTCTCCGTATGCTCACTGCGACCTTCGCTTCGCTCGCTGTGTCGGCGGCGGCGGGTGGTGGTCTGTGTCTGTGGGCTTTCCGAGAAGCCGCTGTCTTGTCGCTTGGGCGTTCTCGGGGGCGTGCTTGGAGCCGTGTCGCGAGATCGGTAAGATGATCGGTCGCTGTCGGTGCGGTGACGGCGGTGAGAAGATTGGTGGGAGTGAGACGAATGACGACGACTGCTGTCGCGGCCTTCTTCCTCAGCCCGGCGACTGGAGTATGAAGATGGATGGTGGGAAGAGTGGGAAGAACGGCGGTGTCGGCGGTGCTTGTCGCGCTCCTCTTTTCTTTCTATAAACTGGTTAGCACCAAACTCATTGACTGTATCCGCTCCCTTAGTGGTAGTACTCCTGCGTCTGGAAAGAAGGCTTGGTAGGACCCGCGAGAAAAATGCTCGAGCCTTCTTTGGCTTCATCTTCAACTGTTGATCCAAGCTGGGCATAGCCTTGATGAGCTGTGTGCTGTCCTGGGAGGAGGGACTGTTCGGAGGGCTGAGAGTCTGGGCCGTAGCATAGATAATCACGGCCGCTGCAACAAGTTCTTCGGCCCGAGCAACCGAGAGCTTGCGTTGCCGCCTGAGTGCCTTTGCCCTCGCCCTGGAGGCTGGTGATGAAGGATCGCAAAGATCAGGCAGGATCACAGCTGGAGTCGAGGGCCTGAAGCCGAAGACAGAGCTGCTGTCTGTTTGCGTGCCTTGATCTGAGAAACCTTCCTTCTCCACCGGGCTGAAGTTGGCATCAACGTCGACGTCTTCTGGCTTGGGTCCCGTAAGAGTAGCGGACCCTGACATTGGAATGTTGCCATCAAGAGTCTGTGTGAGCTTGTCTGAAGAACCGCGTCGTGAAATGGTTTCGTCGGAGTCCTTGCCAAGTTGATCTATGGCCACCAGGCCTGCGACGCCGGCAACACCAACGGCTGCAACTCCTGTGATGACAGCATCTGTATCGTCGGCGTCTGGAGCGTCCTTTGTCGATTCTTCTGGTGTATCTTCGACAGGATTGGCTTCTGCTGGGGAACTTTCTTGTTCGACAGGTGCCTGATCCTCTTGCGGTTCAACGGGCTCAGGCTCTTGTACCTCGACTGCTTCTGGTTCTTGTTCGACTTCTTCGGCCTCTTGCTCAGGTTCTGGCTCGGGCTCAGCAGGCTCAGCAGGCTCAGGCTCTTGTGACTCGGCTTGCTCAGGTTCTTGCGGCTCGACTTCTTCAGCTGCTTGTTCGACGTTCTCGGGCTCTTGTGGCTGGGCTTGCTCAGGTTCTGGCTCAGGTTCTTGCGGTTCAGTCTCAACAGGCTCAACGGGCTCGGCAAGCTCTTGTGGCTCGGCAGGCTCAGGCTCTTGTGGCTCAACAGGCTCAGGCTCTTGTGGCTCAGCTTGTTCAGGTTCTTGTTCGACGTTCTCGGGCTCTTGTTCGACCTGTGCAGGCTCTTGCGGCTCGGCTTGCTCGTGCGCGGGTTCGGGCTCGGTCTGTTCGACAGGGGCGGCGTCCTCATCTTCAGGTGGGCTTGGCTCTGGCCCAGGCTCTTCAGCGGTCGTCGTCAAGTCCTCTTGCGGTGAAACCTCTTCTTCGGCTGGCGGCGCGCCATCGCTCTCTTGTGCTTGCGCCTCGGGGGCATCCGGGTCGGCGGCCTCTCCAGCTGGGACTTCGGTCTCCTCTCCAGAGGGCTCCGGTGCGGCATCGTCTTCCTCGGTGTGCGGGGCATCTTCCGGGACATCCTCGGCGGCGCCCTCGGGATTCTCTCCATCCGGTCCTTCCCGTGCATCTCCATCGGGGGAATCGGGGGAAGGAGGGGTATTCTCACCTGGTTTCTCTTCACTAGGAATCGGCGGCACTGAGTCCTTGCTCTCCTCAACATCCAAACCTCGTGTCTTCTCTCCTTCTGGCGCAGTCTTGTCAGCCACAACAGCCGCAGCAGTCGCTCCAGCAGCGGCAACCGCAATTCCTGCGGCAATCTCGGCTGCATGACTATCCTCTGTCGCGGGTTCCGCTTCAGGCTCAGCTGGAGCAGGGTCAGCAGGAGCTTCTTCAGCAGCCGGTTCCTCAGTAACAGGAGCTTCCTCAGGAACAGGAATTTGTTCAGCAGCAGGTTCCTCAGCCGGAGCAGGTTCCTCAGCCGGGGCAGGTTCCTCAGCCGGAGCAGGTTTGGCGGCGGCTTCTTCAGCAGCAGGCTCAGCGGGAGCCTCTTCAACAGCTGGTTCCTCAGCAACGGGCTCTTCAGCAGCGGGTTCTTCAGCAGCAACAGCCTCAGCAGCAGGTTCGTCGACCGTAGAAGGTTCAGCCGGGGCTTCTTCAGCAGCAGGAGCCTCTTCCGCAACGGGGGCTTCTTCCGCGACGGGGGCTTCTTCAGCAGCCGGGACTTCATCATCAGCCGCTTTCTCGGCAACGGGAGCTTCTTCTGGGGCCGGGGCTTCTTCAGGGGCAGGAGCCTCCTCAGTAGCGGGTGCCTCCACAGCAGCGGGAGCTTCCTCAGCGGCGGGAGCCTCTTCCGCGACTGGGGCTTCTTCGACAGTTGGAGGGTCAGCAGGAGGTTCTTCGCTCGCAGCCGGCTCGGCAGGTGCCTCCTCAGATGCGACTGGTTCAGCTTGGGGTGCTTCCGCCTCAGGCTCAGCAGCTGCAGGCTCTTCGGCCGCAGGAGGATCAGCTGGCGACTCCTCAGCTTCAGGCTCAGCAGCAGGTGTCTCATCAGCGGCAACTGGTTCTGCGGATGGTTCCTCAGTGGCGGCTGGCTCAGCGGCGGCTTCATCGGGCGCCGCAGACTCAACAGCTGGTTCCTCTGTAACTGGTTCTGCAGGAGTTTCTTCTGCGGCTGCTGGCTCAGCAGCTGGCGCTTCTTCAACTGCAGCAACAGAAGCAGGCTCGGCAGTAGCATCTTCTGTAACCGGTTCAGCCAGAGTTTCTTCCGCTGCAGCGTTCTCCTCTGGAGCTGGTTCAGCTGGAGCTGGTTCAGCTGGAGTTCCTTCAGCTGCAGCAGGCTCGGCGGCAGGCTCAGCAGCAGGTTCGTCGGTGACTTGCTCAGCAGGGGCATCCTCAGACGCGGCAGGCTCCGCAGCAGGCTCAGCAGAAGGTTCGTCTGCGACTGGCTCGGCTTGGGGTTCTTCGGCAGGAGCTGGCTCCGCGGGCTTTTCCTCAGCCGCGACAGGCTCAGCGGCGGGCTCCTCTGCAGCAGGCTCGGCCGCAGGAGGCTCTTCGGCCGTAGAAGACTCAGCAGCAGGTTCAGCAGCTGGCTCAGAAGCAGGTTCCTCCACAGCAGGTTCGGCTGGAGCTTCGTCGGCAACGACCGGCTCAGCGGGGGCTTCGGCCGCGACAGGTTCCGCAGAAGCTTCCTCGCCCTCAGGAGGGCTTGCCACAGCCTCACTCGGCTCGACCGGGTCGGCCTCGGGCTGCGTAGCGGGCTCTCTGGACTCAGCCGGTTGTTCTTGAGGTTCAGGCGCAGCTTGCTCTGCCTCGGTGGCCTCGACGGGCTCCGGGGCAGGCTGCTCAGCTTCAGCCGTCTCAGCCGTCTCTGCCGCAGGTTGCTCAGATTCGACGGGCTCGGCAGGCTCGGGCGCAGTTTCACTGGCCTCGCCGGCTTCGGCCGCCGGTTCCTCGGGTCCGCTAGCTTCAACGGGCTGTTCCGGTTCGCTGGCTTCAACAGGCTCAGCTGCAGGATCACTCTCGGGTTCCTTTGCCTCGTCGGTTTGTGGTGCCTCAGCTGGTGCCTCGGCTGTGTCTGCAGAAGAGTCTGGCTGGGTATCTTGCTCTTGGACAACCGCCTTTTCGACCTCATCACCGACGGGGCTTTCCTGAGTTTCAGGAGCGGCCTCGCCTTCAGCAGAGACTTCCTTGGGTTCTTCGGCAGAAGCTTCCGGTTGTTCGTCTGAAGGAGCAGGGGCGGGAGCGTCTTCGCTCTCGTTTTGAGTCTCTTCCGCTGGAGCGGCGGCTTCTTCAGGCTGAGCGTCTTCCTCTGGGGCAGCTTCAACAACAGGCTTGTCTTCCGCGGTCTCCTCTGCTGCGGGTGGATCGATTGCAGCGGGTTGTTCCTCTTCGACATTGCTTGGTTGGGCTGCGTCGCCATCGGCGGGGCTGTCATTGCCTTGTTCCTCGCCCGCAGGGGTTTCTTCAGTCTCGGGAGCAGGTGCATCGGGCTGAGCTACCTCTTCGGCCGTGTTGGGGGCTGGCACTGCATCTTCTTGCTTGTCTTCGGCAGTTGCAGGCTGGTCCTCAACGCTTTCCTCAGCGGGCTGGGTGTCGGCAGGGCTCTCTTGAGCCTGCTCAGTACTGACAGCTTCTTCTGCAGGAGGTGCTGTCGTGGGTGCTTCCTCTGCAGCTGGGGCCTCGCCGCCGTCAACAGCCGCAGCCTCCGCGGCGGGGCTCTCGTCAACGACAGGAGCCTCTTCAATAGTGGCAGGTTCAGCAGTGGCAGGTTCGTCAGTGGCCGGTTCAGCAGCTGGCTCATCGGTGGGCTTTGGAGCATCGTCACCCTCGTCCTTGGTCTCTTCCGCCGACGCATCGACGACTTCTGGAGCAGGGTCGGAAGCCTCGGGCTGTGGAGCGGCCTCGGTCTCGGTCGCTTCAGCCTTACTTTCTTCCGGCGTAGAGTCTGCTTCAGCGGTGGCCTCAGCCACTTCCTCTTGGCTGTCCGACGCGGGCGCGGCCTCAGTGGTCTCCGCTTCGGTGCTCTCGGGGGCGGGCTCCGGCACGGCGGCAGGGGCTTCCTCGCTACTTTGCTCGACGGCAGGCTCTGGAACGTCGTCCTCCTGAGCAGTGGGTTCGGGCTCGGCTGTTTCCTCGGCTTTGGCATCATCCGGAGTCTGAGTTTCGGCCGGTTCGGCAGGCTCTGCGGGCGCATCGGCTGCGGTCTCGGCTTCCGGAGTTGGTTCCGGTTCGGCCGCAGGGTCCGCGTCCGCAACCGGAGTGGGCTCCACTGGTGTGTCGGCGGGAACATCGGCAGGGGTCTCCTCCGTGGCAGCTTCCTCGGTTTCCGTGACTGGCTCTGTTGCTGTCTTAGCATCCTTGGTCTCTATGTTTAGATTTGCTTCCGAAAAGGTAAAGTCTTTGCCGTCGCTAATCAGTTCGTACTGGTCCATACCTTCAGTTGACACGGGTGCGTCTTGTGGTGCTTCATCGTCAGGGGACGTTGAGACCGGATCCTCTTCTGGCTTGGCCTCGTGGGGAGCGTCGGCAGCTTTGTCCTCGATTTCCTCTCCAGGAGAGGCTTCCTCAGTTGGTGGCTGATCAGGAGTCTCAATTGGGGCTGCGTCTTCAGGCTGGATCTCGGCGGCCGGTACTTCTTCCGGGGTGATGCTGGCATCCTCGGCGGTCTTATCGGTGGGCTCCTCGGCGGGCTCCTCGGTGGCCGCCTCGACTGTCTCAGCCGGTGCTTCTGCCGGCGCTTCTGCCGGCGCCTTTGCTGGAGCCTCAACTGGTGCTTCAGCCGGTGTCTCGACTGGTGCCTCGACTGGTGCCTCGACTGGCTCTTCGACAGGCTCCTTGGTAGACTCCTCGACTGGAGCGGGCTCTTCAGCGGCCGGGTCAGCTGATAAGACTTGCGTCTCAGCCGTGTCTTCGGCTGGCTTTTCATCCGAACCATCCTCCGGAGCGGCGTCAGTTGGAACCTCGGTAGGTTGCTCGGCGGAAGTTTCAGCCGGCTCCTCAGCGGTAGCCGCGACTGGCTCCTCGCTTGCAACCTCAGTTGGCTGTTCGCCGGAAGGTTTCGCAGGCTGTTCGCTAGGAGCTTCAACGACGGATTCCTCTTGAGGAGCATCGCTGGGCTTTTCCGCTGGGTCCTCGGCTACTGGCTCGGTGGCAGTCTCAGCCGGTGCCGCTTCGTCACTGGGAGGTTCGGGTGGCTGCTCGCTAGCAGCCTCAGCTGGTTCTTCGCTGGCAGCCTCGACTGGCACGGCCGCATCATCAGGTGTAGTCTCGCTGACGGGTTCCGCCGGAGGTGTGTCGCTGGGCGGGTCCTTGGCTTCTTCTTCGACAGTTGCGGATGTGGTGTCAGGGTCGGGTTGAGCAGCGGTCTCGTCTGCGGCATCTGCCTTGTCTTCCTCCGCAGGCGCGGCGCCCTCGTCACCTTGCTGGTCTGGAGAAGCCGACTCTTCAGGCTGGGCGGAGGCCTCATCTTCAGGGGCGGCGGACGCTTCGGGTTCCGCAACCTCTGCCGCCGCGGCTTCTGGCTTCTCTTGGTCCTCAGGGGCGACGGTCTCTTCGGTGGCAACAGTCTCTTCAGGCGTTTTTCCTCCCTCTGCGGGATCGCTGGACGTTGTATCGGCAGCCGCTGATTTTTCGACAGCCTCAGCAACAGGTGGTTCGATTTCTTCGCTCTTGGCTTCTTCGGGGGCAGGAGCATCCTCGGCAGGCTTGTCGCTTGCTTCCTCCGGTTTGATGGGCGCATCGTCGGCAGTCGTTACATCATCGGTGGTGTCAATGGCCGGGGCATCTTGAGTTTCCGCTGGCTCAGTGGCAGCAGCTTCATCAGCAGCCTCAACCGGCGCAGCATCTTCAACCGGCGCAGCATCTTCAACCGGCGTAGCATCTTCGACCGGAAGAGCAGGATCAGCTGGCGCAGAGTCCTCAGGTGGAGGAGCAGCCTCGGCCGCCGCATCGCCCTCGGCCTTGTCACCTGATTCCTCCTCGGGAACGCTGGCGGTGGCATCCGCAGCTGGGAGATCCTCAGACTCTTCAGCGGCGGGCCGTTCCGTCGGCGGTGTACTTTCATCTGGAGCATCAGGCGTAGCCTCCAGTGTGGGATCTGCTGGTGACTCGTCGACGTTTTCGGCCTTCTCCTCAGGCACAGCAGGTTCAGCGCTGTCTGCAGTGGCTTCTTCCGCAGCCTTGGCCTCGTCTTCCGGGGCGGTGGCTTCAGCACTGTCTGCGGGAGCAGCATCTGCAGCCTCGACCTTCTCGTCAGCGACGGGAACGTCTGTCGCATCTGGCGCGTCCGCGGGAGCATCAGGGGTGTCGGAAGGAGCCGCATCCTCAGCTTCCTGCTTCTCCTCCTCCACAGGAGCATCTACAGGATCTGAAGGTGCTGCCTTTTCCTCCTCCAACGTCTCGTCGGCCACAGGGGCTTCTGAGACTTCTGGAGCATCTGCAGAAGCAGCTTCTTCACCCTGCTTCTCATCGTCGGCGGGTGCTTCAGGCGTGCTCTCAACCTTCTCCTCTTCCACGGGAGCGTCCGGTGCATCTGCGGGAGCGTCTGGTGCATCTGCAGGGGCTTCGGGAGCGTCCATGGGAGCTGCATTCTCATCATCCTGCTTGGTATCGTCGACAGGAGCATCCGTGTTGCTCTCTACCTTCTCGTCGCTAGCAGGCGCGTCTGAAGGCTCTGTAGGAGCATCTGGAGTGTCTGCGGGAGCTTCTTCTTCTGCATTCTCAACAACAGCGGAGACATCTGCAGGGGCTTCCGCTTCAGCCGCAGCCTCCTCCTGCTCAGGAGCAGGAGCAGGCGTGTCTGAGGGTTCCGCATCGTTGTCCTCCTGCTTCTCCTCGCTGGTGGGCGCATCCGGTGCATCTGAAGATGCCGCATCTGTCGCAACGACAGCCGCTACTCCAGCGGTCGCAATCGCGGCTGCGGCTGCAGCTGCTGGGATGGCGCTCGAGTCACCCTTGTCGGCGTCGTCCTTGGACTCCCCAAGACTACGGTCGGCAGCAGGGACCTCTGGCTCGTCCATCTTGGGCGGCTTGGCGTCTTCCGCGGGAACGGACTTGGGACTCTCAACCGGCTCCGGTTCAGCCTCCTTGGCGCCCTTCTTCTTCTTTTTGTCCTTCTTCTTGTCTTTCTTGCTCTTCTTAGAGGATTCCTTTGGTGTTTCTTTGGGTACCTCCTTGGCGGACTCTTTGGACTTTTTGGAAGGTGGCGAGGGCGGCGGCTCTGCAACGACTTCGGGCTCGGGCTCAGGCTCAGGCTCAGGTGTAGGCTCTGGTTCTTGCTTAGGCTCTGGCTCTTGCTCTGGCTCCTCCGGGATTGTTGGCTCGCGCTGAGGTTCCGGTTCCTCTTCGGGTTCAGGTGTCGGCTCCGGTTCTACAGGCGGTGGAGGGGGAGGAGGCGGTGCAACTTCCTCCTTCTGGCCCTTCTTCTTCTTCTTCTTCTTTGCCTTGGTTATTGGCGCCCACTCTTCATCGGCGAAGACGGTTTCTTGTGGTGTTTCTGGTGCGGCGTACTCGGGAGGTGTTGGTGCTTCGTCGTAGATGGCCGGGGCTGGTGGTGCCGCGGCGGCCTTCTTGTCTTTTTTGCTCTTCTTCTTCTTCTTGCTACTTGACGAAGCTTGTGGCTGCGCGGGGTACACCTGACCGTTGGCGAATACGTCGTCGTCTTTGGAAATCAATAAGGTCAGAATTGGACAATGCGATATCAATTAAAGCATGCGCGGTACGTAGCTTTCTTACCATTCCGTAGCTCGTCATCCGAGGCTTGAAAGTAGTTGACCTTGGAGAAGTCCTGTGTCTGGACTTGGCCCCAGCCAACGTTTGCCCGGTACGGGCAGTAGTCGACCGGATCTTCATTCGAATTCATGCTGTCCGGGACTGGTGATTATGGGTGCCCTTGCCTAATCTGATACACAGTCAATGCAGATCCGGGGGTGATGGTCTGATGTTGTCTGTGGCGTACCTGGATGATTGGATCTTTTTGGTGAGAGTGAGATTGGGTGTTGTCTTTGCTCACGTTGGGTTCTCGATTGTCTTGTTGCAGTGTGTGGTGCCCAAACCAGAATTGAGAGGAATCGAGTCTCTTGGGCGGGTATCGCGAAACTCAAAAGGAAGCACAGCTTTGTATCTCGTCGCCTATGAGACGAATGTAGCAGTGTAAACAGACAACAGATGGATTGATGATATTTGGTGACCAGGAAGTGGCAGGTTTGTTGTCTCGGCTTGACAATGGATAGGGTAGGGGGAAATAAGGACCATGAATGACGAGATGCGAACTGTCCAAGGCACACCCAGGAGCGCACAACTGGGCCAAGACGTGGTAGAAAAAGTAGGTTCTCGACAAGCAGGGGGGAGCTTTCCTAGCAGTGCCAAACATCGCAAGCATCACTGGCTGGAGACAGGGTACAGGGCGCGGGAGTAAGGGGTCCCTGACGCAGGCGTACCCCACGTCGTCCCCACGAATGGGGACAGATTTGGGCAATCTCTGAGTCCAAGTGATCAACTGTCGTGCTCCAGAGCCATTGGCTCAAGTGAGGCGGGAGGAGACTGGCGCCACGTCGCAATTGGGTTGGTTTGGACTGGGGTTTGAGGCTTTTGGGAATTCGGGGGGCTTGACAGTTGGAGGGATAGATGATGTGATGAGAGACAGGAGAGACATGAGGGAGGTGAACATCGGACGGACCAGGAGCCGAGGTGAAGGAGGGATAATGGCTGCCCAACGACGATGCAATTGGGATGAAGCGGCCAACCGGCATAGCGAGGCGGCTCGACGATGGCGGGCATGAATGCCGCTGATTTCTTCCGGGATATGTACTTTAAATTATGTGGTCTTAACCCCTTTTGTCGTGAATTGTCTTCTTTTTGCTCTTCCGCGTAACAAAACCAAAGCTCTGTAGGGTAGAACACTTGCATCAACCCCATGAGCCCAATCCTAACTAGATATTCTCAAGTTCGAGAGGAAACTGAGACAAGTTCGGTCCAGTACTATGGGCCGTGTCTGAGACTAAGAAGGCAAGCATCAAGATTTGAGACAAATGCCACGGTTGAGAGACAGTCCAGACAACCGTGTTGAACCGTTGTCCTTCAGGGAAGACTTTTCAGACGTGAAATGGTCGGCCCAAAGAGGCATAGAGGGCCCCATTTATTCCTCTATCCCGTGTGCCTGTCTGAAAAACCTGAGAAACGGCAGCCGGTGAAGCGTCGAGTAACCGTTTGCTTAGCAGTCATGAGCTAATAATTGCTGTGCTGCGCTGGTCGTCAACGTCTGGCCCAGCGCACTCGAGCGTATCGGGCAATAGGAGACAGGGAACACGATGGGCCGGCCCACTGGAGCCAGGGCGGATCCTTGCTGTTGGCTAGATACATGGTGCCTGCCAGGACAGAAGGAAAAGATTGCCGACGGAAGAGTGGTTCCTGGAATCACACAACGGAGGACACCCTCAACCCAAGTGGTCTGTCATCCGTTGTTCGAGAAGATGGAGGGTGGACAAGGGAGAACCCGCGGGTTGGCTACATGCAGTTAAGCGGCAGGGTGAGATAGGTTGTATGTGTGTGATTCTGTGTGAGAGTTTTGTGTAAGCGGGAGAGGAGTTTCCAGCGTCCCTGAGGGCAGGTCGCAGCGGCAGGTACTGGTGACGGTGGGGGTTGGAAGGCGAAAGAGCGCGGTTTGTTTCTCATCGGCCATTTAACCCCCGGTCAGCGACGTGCAACGTGGCTCGCCTGGTTGAGGCTCGCCTGTGAAGATCCATGCAGCAGAGTCCGGACCGCGGGCTGGCGGGAGGGGCGGATGTGACTGCAGTGACAGCGATAGTGGCACCGGCCGTCGCAGTGGTGGGGTTGGGCGACGGTTTGTAGCGGTTTGTAAACGCAAGTAGAGTACAGTGAGTTACTCGGTAGACTTTTCGACGTGCAGAGATATGATGGTCAGGCGGAATTGCGAAGGCCAGCAAGCCAGTGCTGACCATGTCAGCATGGACGACTGAAGTTGGTATTCGCGCGCGATGCTCCTTGGAAACCTTGCGCCCGACGCGAAGGGTGCGGGTTGGACAGAGTCAGATGTACGCATACGCATAGCCTCTGGCATGGTTGTCACTGGCGGGTCGTGGGGAGAGGTTGGCGTCTACCTGGGTACGAGAACGTAGGCAGCGGAGGTTGGGCGGGATGATGGTCGCGGTGGATGGCTGAGGTAACCACATGGCTCCTCCCGAAGGACGGTGTGTGAGAGCTGCAGTAGCCCAGTCTGGCCCGAGGAGATGTGCAGCGAGTATGCGTCCCGTTGCGCAAAAGCAATTACTGCCATTGGCGCCGTTGATGCCCTGCGGAAACCCGACTTGGTCCGACGACATGCCACAGACGGGGGACAAGATTGAGGGAGATGCGATGGGCCGCAGAAGTCGAAACCCGGGGGTTGGTTGGGCGCTGAGAGCACGACAGCCGACGACATGGCCGCTGATTAGTGCCAACTTCTGTCTGGCAGCGACATCCATTCAGGCTGATCCCGACAATGGGTGAACAGTTGGCAGATGTCGGTGGTTGCCCGTTGACGGACGCCCGTCGGGCTGGCAGGGCATTGAAGCTCACGGTGAGGCCATCGCGATACCGAAGGTGATATCGAGTGGTATCGTTACTGGGAACACGAGGCGAAGTAGATGGCTGGCTGCTATCGTCTGTGAGGTGTCCTGTTGTATTCGCGTGATAGAGGTAGAATTGTCCGATCGCGAGTTGTTTTATTGTTCATGCTGGACGAGCAACGGTCCATGGATGTTTCCTGGGCAGATGGAAAAAACTAAGTTGGCCCTTCAATTTACCAGCTCAGGGAAAAGGAAGGTCGGCTGCCATTCCATTCCATTGTTCTGGAAGGCGCACTGGCCGCTGTCACGTCACCGCCAGTGCTTTGGGAAGGGCCGTTGTGACCCTACAGGGCACCATGGGCACCGTTGGGCTGGAATGCCAGCTCAAAAGTTGGACGTGTCCTGTAAGCGTCTGGGATTAGGGCAGAAGAAAATACGGCGGTAGTGCGTTGGGCGCTAAATGAGACAGAAACACAGCAGACACAGGCCATACTTCCAGCGCGCTTGTCTCTGAGGTGAGGGTACCGTCTCTGAGAAGCCTGCTCTTAGCTGCCGTAATAAACATCTCGTGTGGGCCTCGATAAGAAACAAGTATCGGTATCCCCGTCATCGCCCAATATCTGCGCAAATTGAGTCCAAAGGTACTTTTGCAGCATCGCCGGACGCCCGCTTCTTCAGCAAACGTCCCTGACTTTTTCTCAGAGAGCCAACCGCACCACCCGCGTCGTCCACCCACCGTCCATGGCCTCACTCAACCCTTAACAATTTTTTGCATGAACACGTCGTGAAGCCTCATTTTCTTTTCTCCTGATGGTCGAGTCCACTCTATATCATCGAGATAGCATCGTCCAGCGCATAGTGACCCCGCTTGTTTTACGGAGACCGTAACTCGGATCACGGCTGCGGCCAACGAGGCCTCCGGATCGCCATCGCCGCCACCTCGACGCCCACGGGGAAATTGATCGTAGCTTCGGATGTCCATCATCACGATCGGTCACTCCTGACGACTGGCGGTGTGCCGAGACACATGAGCAGTGGCTTCTGTCCCGCTCCCGGTCAGGTGGGACCCTCTCACCTCGACTCAGGCGGCCAACACCGCCATGATCCATCGAGCCCAGGTGGACCGTCGATGTCTCGCCCGCCGCTCACCGGACTAGACACCGCTGCAGCGCGGCTGCGTCTGCGGCGCATAAGCCAAGCAACCCATTCTAGTTCTAGAAGGACCCTGGAGAACAGACGCCAGCGATGCATTCCTGAGTTACATAGGTTTCCAATGATAGACACTGCATGTATTCCTTACACCGACCCTTCTAGCTTCTCAACAATGGTCAATGTGTGTTCTATGAAGACTTGGACGTAGACGTAGACGTAGACTGTGTAAAGTACCCTCCCGCAACGCAGAAAAAGCTTGTCAAACTCCCTTCAGCCTCCACAACCGCGAGATTCCCATCGAATAGCACCCAAGTGCCCCAAAACGCCAACGCCAGTAGACAGGTCTGGAAAGGGGAGAGGGGCTATCTGGCTGGCTGCGAAACATGTGAACCAAGGCCGCGCAGGACGTCTTCTGCTTCACAGCACGCCCTGTGTTCGAGCGTGCCTGTGCCTGTGCGCTGCGAGGTATGTCGTGCAGCGTCCACTTCTCTCGGGCAAAGGACCATTCGCATGGCACCTCGGTTTGCCATCGTGCGCACCGTAGTTCCATGCATGCCTCCAGAAGCCCCCGTCCCAAACCAGGAATGCTATGCCACCACTCTCGACCGTCCCCACAGCATCACTTGACGTCTTGGCCCCTTACATGGCCATCTCCGCCTGCAGCTTGCGGAGCTCTGCCTCCTCGTCGTCCTCCTCGACAGCGACGGGCGTCTTGCCTTTGACTGCGCGGTTATGATTAGTCATTGGATCTAGACCGGGCGTGGATGAGGGAGGATCCTTACGTTCTCCGTTTGCTGGAGCGGGCATGCGGTGCACAGCATCCGATACGGGAACCGAGCCGGTGCTAATCATCTGCTCGTCCAACTGCTCCTGCTGCATCTGCTCCAACTCGTCCTCCAAGTCCACGTCGTCGATGGCGTCCGTTTGTCCCGTTGTGATAGCGTTGACAATCTCTTCGCTGAGTGCGTTCTGTTCTCGAAGGTCCTCCCTGCATTTGCTGGTAAGTACGTCGAAACATCTTGATGTAATAAGGTTTGGGGACATACATGGTCTGGTCCACCTTTTCGACCGTGAGTTTGCCGTGAATTCCCTTCATAGCCTGGCCAGCCTTCTCCATAGCGAGCAGTGTCTCGCGGTTGATGTT